GTACAGATGGCCAATGTGGGTTGCCATTCTGTCTACAATGGGTTATCTATTAGCGTTCATAACAATGTTTTCGTCATTTTGTACACTATGCCGACGTGATAAGACAGTGCAAACGCAAATTAATCGCATTCGAGATCAGCTGCGGGTTTAGGATTTTGATCCTTGGATGCGATTCAAGTGAACAAAGCTATGTAAAATATATCATGATCCTGTTTATTGGACTATTTCTACGAAAAGAAAAGTAGAAGCAAATTTCGAAGGTGATGTAATCGCATTCCTTCGAGATCAATTCGAAATTTCCCTTTTTTTTTGTTTTGTATGATCAAGTTTATATTTATTTCTGTGATTAGAATAATCCACAACATCGATTAAGTTTTTCTTTATCAATAAATTGTCAAAATTCGAACTTCTTTCTTTCTTTGATTCATTTTTTACAGTTTTATCGTCGGACGGATATTCGTCATGAGTGCCAATGGTAGACACAATATCAGCCTTGACAAACATAGATTAAATAGAGAATAAATGTGCATAAGTATGCAACAGATGAACCGATGTTGATCCAAAATGAAAAACCAAAATCCGCCAGACGAACATTGTAGTTTGAAAATTTATCATGTTGTAAATTTGTTGTTAGAATTATTGTCCAAACTGCACAAGAAAGTAAAACTAGAGAGAAAAAAGGAATTCAGCATTGTTGGGAAACGAAAACCTTGCAAATATACGCACAGCTGAGAAAAGCTAGTAACATTGTTAGTACAAGTAACCAAGTAGCACTATGTTCATCTGTATGCTGTTGCAAATACCATGAGCCAAGTACAAGGCCAATAAAACTTATCAAAACGCAGCCGAGCGCACATGACGAGATGACGATTGGATAGATAAGATTGACTTAAACAAAGAAAGAGTATACATTCAAAGAGAGAAAAAAGCTTGCTGATGTATTTACTTGATTCAAAGTGTGAATTATTTGCCAACAAGCTATAGGTCCATGGACACTGAAATGATATCAATGAAGAATTGCATATTTTGAATATGTCAATATGTAGTGTCTGATCGGGACTAGTATACCAATATGGCGTGAGCACAGCTGCAATAAATGCTAACGTAGCGATTAAAAGTACATGATGTCCATGTAAAGCCAGCGTCATATTGCTTCTATTTTCTTAGTTGTTCAACTGAGAAAGTGAAGTTGATTCTCCGTTCCTTTCTCTCTCGCTTTCTCACTTTTTCCTCGTTGCGTCAGTGTTCTAACCCTTACTTTCTCTCATTCACTCTCTTCGTGCCTGATGCTCTTCGCTTTCTGCCCGCTCTTTTATAACTATATCACGTAATTTTATCGCTGTCTCATTTTCTGACGACAAGAATTACTAATATTGGTAATAATACTAACGCACATCACAGCAAGAAAGAGAGAGAAAAAGAAATCCAATCTAAACGATGAAATAAAATTAAGAAAGAAATGACTATCCTTTGTGCATTTACCCAGCTGCTCGAACTAAACCAAACAATTTCCTTTCTAATCTCGCAGATGAAAAGTAGAACAGCTAAGAAACATCCTTGACTTGAAACTGTTCTCAACAAAGACGCATTCGACGCACATCGTATGTGTTTGGGGACAGTAGTTCTTTGTAAAGATCAGAAATGTGAGATTTATAAAATCGTTGACTGGCGACAAGATATTAACATGAACAAATCGAAGATTCAATGAAATCTTATCTTGAAAAGTCATATTTCATATATTCTATTCAAATAAAAGACTATAGATCGGATCAGGTTTCAGACTGGCATTAACGCGAGCAGATATTAAGATGTTATTTATCTATGATTTCGAACAAAAGACAACGGATTTGGTTCCAATCCAGCAGACCAATTGATTCTTTGTTCTTGACGAGTTTTGAAGGACTCTGTCGAGAAGACAAAAAGGTGACTAACACATAAAGAAATAATATGTTTCAGATTGACCATGAAAATTCATAAATTTCTTTTCCTCTAAGTAAATGACTTGTAGCGGAAAGTGTATGATTAGAGCGTAGTTCTTTTTTCTTTTGTTAGTAGAAGTGACAATGAGCATATTACGATCTTAAGTAATGAATTATATATTTGCCGTTTGCTTCAAGCCGTTAGTAGCGTCGCAAAAGGTGAAATTTGCAAGAAAAATTCATGGAGAAATAAATAGATATTTGATGAATTATGTGTCATCGAAGTATTTTATTAAATTTATAGGAAAATGACATCGGCAACATGTTGATTATAATTTAATCAGATGATAATCATGTAACGTGACAGAAACTATTTAACTCATGTTGTATAATCTATAGAAATTAGATTTTAACATCTCTCTATTACGAGTATGCATCAGTTTGATGATCGATCGCTCATCAAAGAAGAAGATTCTTGTGAATGTTCGTTTTTTCTTTTCTTTCCATTCGAAATGTCCGTCACTTATTTTCACGGACTCGCCAGTTCAGTAGTCGTCTTTGCTTGTCAGATATGTAACGAATAGGCTGGATTATCCGAAGAACGAAAGAGAGAAAAAGAAGATGTAGCGTGTGGACTGAAAACTTTCGAATCAGTTATACCAGTCGCTCCCTTCTTTCGCCGGCGGTACTGATCATAATCGAAAACTTCTTTTCCTATCATTGAAATCAATGGCTGATCGAAAATTATTTATCGGAAATCTTGTACGTCGTATTACTCAAGAAGATCTATGGGTGATGTATTCAGCATTTGGGCCCTTGGAAGAATGTGCCAAATTCCACGAATCATTTGGCTTTGTTCGTTTTCTGCATGCTGAAGATGCTCGACAAGCATTAGACGCAACGCATGGTATTACATTGAAAGGACGATGTATTAAAGTCGAATTCGCTGCAACGACAACTTCATGGAGATCTGCGAATAACTCTTGCTGTAATGAATGTCGTTCATCAAGTAACATTGATCAATTTGCAACTGACTCATTTTCATAATGATAATTTTGTTTTTCCTTAGCTCGATATAATATTCCACCAATTCGAGCGGTTGATTTGGCAAATTATCGAGGACATTATCATACAAGTTTCGCACCGAGATCACCGCCGCGCGTCGGTCCTATCGGTCATCGAAAGAAAACTCAAGCGAAAACAAGTAATACTTCCAGATTGTTTCCTGTCAATCAACATTCCATTGATTATTTTAGTGACTTTAGAGAAATCTTCAACGTCAACAAAAGTTCCTGACGTTCATACGATTGTTTCTTCGCCACCCTCATCTTATGCTGCATCATCATCAAGCCATATTGCTGAAATCGACGATTATGATTGTGAACTTGATAGTGGATACAACGATGAATTCGATTCGCCAGTGTCTTCAACATCACCATGGTCCGATACGCTAAACACGGATGAAATGTTCATATGGGTAATTGCTTCATTCAGAAAATGAAATGTCCGTTTTCAAAATATTTTCTTTTCATTAAATAGGATTTTCAATTGTATGCTGATATTGCGCGTGAACCTCCATCGATAAAAATTGATTTTTCATCTTCCGAATGCACAGATGATGATGATGATACATGCCATTCATTTGAACATCTCACCCAATTCAATATCGACGAATATCTATAAGCATGTCTGCTTTATTTTTTTATTTTTTCTTTCACATAGGAGAGTCAGTATGTACATAGCATGAATCGTAGTCAAAATGACTGATTAATAGTAAGGAAAAGAAGTTTGTTTTTCTTTATGCTCAAATTCAATGAAATCTTGTGTCAATCCCGTTGTTTTGCTTTTCTGTATAATTTCATTTGTGATACGGACAAATCTTCATTTCTTTGATTTGCTTCTTCTTGTCCTGTACAAATGTATCACCATCATCATCATTCACCTAACTTATAACTCTTTTCTTTGTTTCGTTTCGCTTTTGCTTCTTATTGAATAATTAATTCAGATGCTTAGTTGTTAATTAACTTTTTCATGTTCTTTATTTGCTATCTTTTTCATTTCTAGTCAATGCGTGAAGGACATTTCTATCTTATTTATCAATATTCATAATTGCATTTCAAATGTTTATTTTGTTTCTAATAGAAAATAGAACATTCAATGAGAATTAGACAAAAAACGCTTTCTCCATCGGTTTTCATAGGCAATGTTGTAATAATACTCAAACGAATCGGATTTATAACATCTCAAGTACTCTCTGCTTGATTGGAGTTCAATATTTTAGATTATTTCGATGACGAACATAATTATGATCGTTTTTCAATATATTCAACTTTCGCGTTCAATAACATCAAACCTTGAATTAACATTTTTGTTGTTCCTATTGAACCATATCATATAGGAGGGTAATTATAATCGAAAGAAAAAGACAAAGGCTCGTCTGTAACGTGAACAGACCGATAATTTGCGTCGTTTTTCCCCTAAAGAATTGAAGTTTGTTTTGCAAACGAAACTTGTCTCGGTTTAAAGAGACTCTTTAGCAAATGCGACGTTGTTATACCGAAATATATTTACACGTTCGTTATGTTTTCAAAAGACAGAAAAGAAAATGAATTCACAATTGTACATAGTACAAGTCAATCACAACAAAGAATTTCGTGTAGAAGAGAAGCAAAAAAAGTTTGAACGAATGTGAAATATTTGATCGATTCTAAATGTTAATTTCAATGAAAAACCAAAGCGTTAATAAGTAGCAGCAATAATAGAAGAATTGGATTGGATTGCGTAAGGATAAAAGCATGAGAATGATTATGCAGAATAAAGATCGTGAGATGAACTAAAAAAAGGATAAGATAGAGAACAAGCAAATTCAAGTTAAACATCTAGTTAGTAACATCTATCTAGAGTGATAATCAAGCAAAACGAGTGGTCGTTTTTTCTTATGTCGAAGAAGAAAACTGACGAGCTCAATGTCAATATTTGTTCTCGTCTTTTTTCTTCCTTTTACTAGTTAACATTACCATAACATACGTACAAATTTTTTCACAGTCAACTGTGAGATGAGAAAGCAAGCAAATAGAAGGGATGCAAACAAATACATACATACATACATACACATCGCAAGTTTCTATTTTCACGGGGATATATAAATTTGATCTGCATTTTAGATTAATCTTTTTTTTACTGTACCGCCTTGTCGTTTTCGTTAGTATAGTATTAGATACGGGTGAAAAGCATTTGTTTTTCCAATATGCGAAGCAGTCTCAAATGGAAAGGTGATCTGATCAACTAGAAATGGCGACTGATCTCATGCGTTGGACATCGAGATGAAGATATGTTTTGCTTCTACTTGTTGATAAATTTATGTACTTGGATGATGAATAAAGAGAAGAGAAACACAGAGACACAGGCACAAAGGGGATCATGCAAACATAGATTCGAGCAAGAAAGTGACAATTGAAGAGTTATATGTACAAAACATATCTATTTTTCCGATAGAAATATGTATCTAAAAACGACGCGAATAGTCCATTTCTTTGAGATACCTTCGGTGGCCAAGATCGAGACGATACAGACCAAATAATAATATGAATGTAAGCAAATAACCGCCACTTGCACCAACAGCAATCCATGTTGAAAAGCCGATACTCTGTCGAAGTATTCGCATATTAATATCACGATTCATGGTAATCATAACGATCCAGATGATTGCACTGATAAAAACTAATNGAAGTTCAATTGCGACAACGACATATCCCGTATCGTCAAATTCAGGATAATAAAGATGGAATAACAATCATCATCGGACCGTTTCATAAATCAACGAATCTAACTGCAACAATGATGATGTTTAATCAATCACGTTTTCATACGAATTTTACTAAGATCATCCCGATAAAAACATCAATTGGTGATCAGAAGAATCTAACTAATACAACGATTCAATCCGATGAAAAGAAAACTCCCATGGATCATTTTCGAATATCTGTCGAAGCACATGAATACGATCTCGCACATGATCAAGGTAGTTCATCTTCGTATTCTTCCTGTCACACCTCTTTCGTTTGATTTTTTAGAATCTTTGGAATTTCGGAACTGTTTGGAAGCGTGTGAAATCTATGAACGTAATGAATTGAAACCCGATCATGATTGTATTCGAAAGAAATGTCTCAAGGATATAACAGGCATTTGACAAAAACGGCTTTTTCCTAATTTTAAATAAAACTTACCTCATCTGAAACATAATCTGCGAATCGATCAAGGATAATCAGTGTTAGTAACCGAACGCTTAAATCCTCAAGCCATTGAGTATAGAATTCATTCTAAAAAATTATCAAATCATTCTTTGAAATGTTCGAAAAAGAAGAACAAACAGAAGTCGACGTTGATTGTTGATCTTTAAGAAAATCACGAAGTGCAGTGACCGAGCCATGTCGATGTTCCCAAACTGGCTGAAAAATTTGTTCAATTAACCAATCATAAAATTCATTCAATGACCAGTCTGGTCGGTTCTAAAAGCACACATACATAAGTTACGAGTTCTTACTTCAGTCGGAACTTGAAAAAAAAGCCAAACTCACATCATCGTTGTCTACACTTGTACTTGATGATTTAAGTCGTTTTGATGGCGTTGGCTCAGTGGATGAATCTTGTTCAAAAATTGCATATTGCTCACCAAAGACAAATCTTTGTAAATCATTTGAAGAAATCTACAAGTTAAACATTCATCGAAGTTTGTATATGAACTTCTTTTTTCTTCACATACACATTTCATAGTCGAATTACTATCATTAACCGGTTCCATTTTGAAGTCATTTTCTTCGACAGGTAGATCCGTTCCTGTCAGACCTTCTTGTAAACCGAAATTGAACTCTTTTCGAACAAACTTTTTCTGTACGGATACATTTCCATCTAACAAACAAAACTTTGATGAATACGAAACGAGAATACAAGTCTTTACGAACCATAATCGCCTATTTCTTCGATTTTTCTCGCACCGAGATATAATGTGGCACTATTAGCAATCACATTATTGAAATCGAATGTAGCTAATTTCAAACCATATCGCGAACTTGGATTAAATAGAACTTAAACAAAACGAATTGGGATTAACTTGAATTGAGAATGAAATTTTCAAGATTTACTTGTGAAATCGTCTGAGATATTTTTACTAATAAGTTCAATGGCTAAGCCGCATGCAATACGAACATCCCATGTCGAATGAATAACGTGTTTTTTCAACTTAAACAATCAAAAGAATGTTTGATGCAAATAGTCATCCGATCATTTACTTTCTGAAGTATCGGTCCGACTTCTTTGGGTAATGTACTCGCTATTTGACCAATCTGTGTTGCAGCTGATCGTCTGACTGATAAGGAATCGCCATTGCTTAGTAAAGTTAACAGACGATCAAGTCTAGTCGAGAAAAAATGAATGTTACAAGTGAAAAGGAACAATGGATCCATGTTTGTCTTTAACACACCTCGAAGCCATTCTTCGCTTGGTAGTTAATTGTTAATAATCTAGAAGAAAACGTTCAAAATCGACGAAAACCAGGCAACAGATGAATTGCTGTTCGTAAATCAAATTTTGAAGAAGCATTTGAATGATTTGCTTGTGTGTTTTCGTTGGGCTTTTATAGTATGAGAAGAAACTCGTCTATCCAGCGTAGCTTTTTGTCTCGAACAACGTCAATGAATCATACGCAATAAAAACTATTTATTTATTGGTTCGTATTATATCAGGTACAACAGAGGACGCTAAATATAAGTCGAAAATTTCATTTCAATATGTTTTCAAGCGAGCAGTCTGCCAGGAGCCAAATGACATTCTCGTACATTGATATTGACATGTAAAAGATCGCGAAGAATTATCTACTTAGCCGAGTAGAGTAAAATCTATTAATATGTCAGCCATAAAACATGACAAACTCGCTTATAATCTATCCATTGACCTTGCGGTCGTTTTCGGCAAAATATATGATGTATTGGACAGTCATTCTCCTAGTTAGACCCTGAGCAAACCATTTGCGAAGTCATGCGAGCTTCAACAGTCTTGACACACATCTGCGACAGGTTTTAATTAATTAATTAGCTGAAGTAAACATCCGTTACTTATCTTCTATTTAATTCTTGCTGACAATTTTGAACGTCAGAACATTTTATCATGCCTTACAAAGACTTCTTTCTGAAATTTATGTTGATTTTAAGCGATTCAAATATTAAAACTTCAGGTAACCATCGGTAGCTATTCTTTGTACTTTAATGAGTCCAATGTTATCCCGAATTTTCTTCGCTTCAAATTCGAGTGCTTCCAACAAGATATCATCTTGACTATTCTCGAAAAGTCTCTCAATGCCGAGTAACCTTGATTTATTGCGATGTTATGTTTAGAGATTGGACGGTAACATTGGTGACTGTGTAGAAATTGAGCTGAGATTATATCTTTATTCATCTACTTTTGTTCTCTTCTTGTGACTATTTGTTTATATTTGTTAAAGCATATGCATTCATACACACGTCCAAGCACTTCACTTACAAATCTAAACATTCTCTTCTCTTGCGTCTTTCTCTCGTTTTTGATAAACGAAAAAGTATATAACATTGAAAGAAATTGTCGTCTGATCATCACAACATCACCATGTTCTTCAATTCCAATCTTCAACATCGCGTCAAACATTACGATCTGCTTCTCTCGCGAGAGTTAGCAAATCTTCAGCGTGAACATTCACAAAATCTCATCACCTACGAAAAATTTGAAAACTCCATTCGTCGAGATAGCAAGCAGAACTGTCAGATGAGTAGAAGAAAGATCTCGACACCATCGGAGTATAGCTGCCACGAACAAATCGATGCATTCGATTATCGTAAAGTATGTTCGAATAGTTTCAAACGTCGTTTATCGAGCAGTACAAGTAGCAATCATAGTCAACATCAATTAGATGATTTCGATGATGATACAGTGTCGTATTCATCTTTCAAACAACGACGATATTCAACGAAAAACCAACGTTTACCACCGATGGTCAAAGCAACATCGAACGAACGAGGGAAAAATAGAAACAAAAATCAGTATTGGATGGCGAATTTTCAACAGACGAACAAGTCGAAAGAAAACCCTTTTGAACCATTTACAATTGTCATAGAAGAAACACCAGTACCTATTCGACCTGAGCCAACACCCTTACAACGACAAATTCGATCGTTTTTAAACAATTTACCCACATATCGAGGTATTCAAAATGGTTTTGATAATTTCGCTCCATCGTCACTCTATTCCAATCGTCCGCCAATTGTTATTCGCTGAAAATCAAGTCTCATCTTTTTGAAAGAAGACTAATATCGAGCATCTAGTCATTGAAAATTTACTATTCTTCTTCTTGTTTGGTTGATATTTCAATTATTACTTCTTGTCCTTGCCGACATTGAACATTGTCGTTTTTCTTCTTCCTTTTTAATAAGTCTTCGCTTAGCACGACTTGTCAGCAAGTCGTCTCAGGTATTCATAAATGTTTTTTTATATTATTTTAAGAGTGTAAACATCATCGAGATGACTCTTAGATGGCTTGATGAAACATATTATTTGATTCCAAGGACTAAAGAAAGAAAAATGATCGCCATTCAAGTATCAATCGACTGAACAAATGTTTTGACTGATTCTCTTCTTTTCTCTTATTGTAGAAAAAATATATTTAACAATAAACAAATAATGGATTTTTCAATGTTTCAGTTTTCAATATCGTCTAGCCAGATATTCACGTTTTTGACATTCGTACAATCGGCGAACGTCATTGCGAAAATTAACATTAAAAAATGAATAAATCAACGGATTGCACTAAAATTCACACGAAAAGAAAAGATTCCGTTTCGTTTCCAAAGAAATGACGTTACTTACTGCACTATTCACGTAACAAAGTAGAAACAAAACTTCACGGTAAGTATGATTTTGAATGTCGAACAAAATGTGAATGATGGATGGTAAATACATTAGGATGAAGGTAGATGTAACAATAAACAATGTAAATGTTGTTCTGATGTTTGCTAACCGTTCTTGTGTTTGTTGCCGTTCGAGTGTTCGTTGTGTTTCGCAGTCGAATGTCGAAGGACGACGCGTAGATGAGATGGACAAAGCTCGATCCGACGGATTTGAAGGATCAATCGCTGAGACCGTCGATAAAGAACGCGGAGTATTATTCATTTGAACGGCTAAATGACGCTGTGCTGGATTGGTTTGAGGCTGGTTTGCAGCTACGGGAAAATTTGATGGAGCAAGGCTTGCCCGTGGACAGGTACTTGACGTATCTTCATTAATACATCGATCAGCAGTAGTTCCAGAGGATGTCACTATTGATATAAAGAAGAGAAAGAATTTCCGGAGTTCTGACTGTTGTGTGTAATTATCTTAAGGGAAGGCAAAAGCAGGCGAAGTCTGCCGAGCTAGTCATCAGTTTTTGACGTATACTTCAAAATGAGAAGTGTCGTACAGGGAGAATGTCATGTTCCATTTATGTAAACAGCTTCTTCTTTGATAGAGAAATGAAAGTGAAAAATATAAGCAAGCTCTTTCATGTCTGAATGAACGCGAGTAAGGCAAGCTGCGTTCTCAGGGAATTGTACGGAAATAAGAGTTCCTGCAGGGAAAAGACAAGATACGTACGGAATGAAACTTTCCGTTGAGGAACGGACGCATCCGATGGCCGGGCTTGTGCGCGAGTAGATAATGTGTTACTTGATTTGCGTATATACGATGGATGTAGCAGATTTGCACATTGAGATACACTTCGAGGTAATTCATTTTCAGTCAATGAATTTTCTTTTGGTACGGCGTCGCCTGTAGAAGAGGATGAACAAGGTGGTGATAATGTGGTTCCTGTCGTCATCTGAAGACCAGGAACAGTTAAATGTGTTGGATTGGCAGCTGCAGTAGTTGATGACATTGGACGTAATTGTAACAATGTATTGTTTAATGTCAATAATCTAGATGTCTGCTCAAACGAATCTTCGGTGGATGTCGACGGTCGACTAGTCGATGAATTTTCCGTACCGCAATACGTCGTTGCCGCTATTGAATTAATTCTCGAGCGTATTAGACTTGTTGGCGAAGAATCATCCCAAACTCCACTCGTTAAATAAGTCATTGAGGTCATCGATATCGCTGAGTAACGTTTTCCACGAGCACCGTTGACTTCTAAAACAATCTTCGGTCGATTTCGATTTGGATTCATATCAATACACGATGGTTCATCATGGTTATGTCGACGATACGATTGTCGATTTCGCTCACTTAATGGAACATTCAATGTACCTTCGGATGTTCGTTGTAAATCATGCATATAATCATCATTAATTTTACAACAGTAACAGCATAAAAGTGTCAATGTGGAAGGTTGCTCTCTATGATAACGACGGGAACGACGACGATGACGATGATGATGATGATGATGATGGTGCATTTTTGATGGTTCTGATTCAGACAGTTCAGGCTCGTTGTGAATTAAATATGAACGTATGATACGTCGATAAGCTGAGAACTTCCTCGTTCGTGTTATACGTCGCTGATAGACAGCATTGTAAATAAATGCATAGAGAATAATTACAAGTAACATACAAATAGCAAATAGAGAACTGTGAAATTTCCGATAAATGTCAATAAATATGGGTAATTTCAGGCCTAAGCACACATTCGTCGTTAGAACATAACTGAACTTATCGAAAAGTCAATGACTTACGTAAACTGAATCTTGGACTACAGACAACGCTGGTTTCATTGCCTAATATATACGACGAAATCGATGCTGTTTTAATATGATCCACGTGTTTGTAGGTGAAATCATTCGCATCTAGAGGTTTCGATAACAATTGTTCACTATGATTGCCAAGTACTTGTAGCGCATGATCCACGGTGGAAAATTCACTCATGGGCATAATAGCTGGGAAAAAAAGTGACATAGATTTTTCAAACGAGTGAACTTTACTCAAGAACAATATTACCTAATAATGACGACACGATTCCACAAATAATAACAACGGCATGCGCTCGACGTACAGTGATGATTTTATACAATGGCCAACAGATGCAAAAATATCGATCAAATGCAATAACAGTGATGAGAAAAGTTGAATACAAAACATGTGTAGATAAGAATCCATAGAATTTACATAGAAATTCATTTTGAATTCCTAGAGATGACAAATAGAAGAAATTATGAAACTTCTAGAAAATTAATCTGGCATTGTAAGCTGTTAAAACTCTTTTTCATTTTGCTCATTTCTTGAAAAGATCGGAAAAGCTTTTCCTTAAGACTCTCCTATTAAAAAGCAAAACTTTTCACACGGTTTCGACTCAATACAACATCAAGTTTTTCTTTAATTAGCAAAAGAAAAACTTGATAATGAAAATTACTATTCCATGTTTTCTTTTTCTCCAAGTAGAAAATCCCTTTTGATTTATTTTTCATAATTACAGAGATCTCTTAAGTAACACTTTCTCTTCGTTTCGCATACCTGTTGTTACTTGGTACAACTCCAACGGGGCCAATATTAAACAGATGATCAGATCAACACCTGCGAGCATTGTGATGAAAAATGTACATGTTTTATTGTCTTTACGACTGATATAAACATAGAGAACGAGAATATTTCCTGTAGTTCCAAACAAAATGGTTATTAATAAGATAATCCAAATCGCGATCGAAACAGCTAAATGATTCGACTGATCCAAAGAATTGGGATTAATTGAATCGAAAATACTGTCATTGGAAATATATGAGGTGAATGACGAATCAAATAATGGATAATAATACTTGGTTCCCATTTACTAACAATCGAATTGTGTTTATTTCTTGAGATTACGAAAATTTAAGACTAAAAAAAGAAGAAAAATCTTTTCTTTACTTTACTGCTTAAAAACAAATCTAAACGAGATGATTAACATGCAGTAACAACATGTCTGAACTACCGATTTGATAGTTTTAATAAAATACAATAATAATAAACTATCGAGAAGAGAGAGAAAAACGCGACAACTAATGGGAGAATTATATTTTCGCGTTGATTTATGCCACCGAAGAAAGACTAGTAACATAATTGAACTAGTTCACTACGTACTTGAGAACAGATCAAGTTTTCAACTAAGCGATTATCAATAATAAATAAGCGAGAAGACGATCTGTCATTTTTCTTTTCGGATGATGGTAAACTTAATACTTCGATGGTTTAAGTACATCTTTGAAGAGTCTATGTTTTGTTTCTGCTTGTTGTCTGTCTTTTTTCCTCTGCATAGTGTTTTCACTTACTTCGTTCTCATTATATTGACTATAGGCATTCTTTCTTCCCTCAGCTTCTCTATCTTTCCTTTTCTCTCTCTCTCTCCCTCTATCTCGCTTCGCTTGTTTCCAGCTGCATAGGCGGTGCACTATGCAACGTTTTCAAAGCACGCACAACTTTCCATATACACACGCAAGTTGACAGCGTTCTTATTGATAGTGTCTCATCGTTGACTAATCATCGAGACGAGGATAATAGTATGGTTCGTAACTTGAAAATCGTTGTATTGTTAGGAACAATGAGATCGATAGGGAAAACTGAGATGTATAATGAGGCGGTGGAAATAATAAGACAAGTTTGAAAGAATGAGTGGAGAATAGCATGGGAGAAAAAGAGAATATTCGCGACGTGGAATTTCTCTATGAAAACTGGGAATAGAAAGGAATAGAAGAGAAAAAAAGACAGAGTCAATTAAAGTAATCGTAAGTGGAGAGGAATGAGAGACCTACAGACATCAAAGTAGTTGTTTCATGAAGAGGCTTGTTAGAACAAGAGCAGAAGGTCTCCTGATCTCGCCGTGTTTTTCTTAAACAAATGAGAATCTCCATCGAAATGTTCATTACACAATGATCTCATTTGGTGCGAAAAACAAACGCGTCTTTCATTCGATTCAATTAGCAAGTATTCCGAAGAGAACTTTGGTAAAATAAAACCATTTTGATTTCAATGATTATGATGTGTCAGATTCTTTTTTCTCTACCGTCATCATTAAGAATTAGAAGAAAAAAACACCTTGTGTTAGTAAATAATGACAGAAAAGAAAAGAAAAGAAAATATAGCAAAGGAAACAATTATTTATGAAACATACTTAATTTTCTATTGACAATTCTCGTTCTATTCTCTCATTCATACCCTCATATACTTCAGCAATATAAAGCAACAAATCTTTGTACTCAGTGACCAAAATATATCAATATCATTGCCTTGACCGGCGGAGAACCGATTGTTTCGATCTCATTCGAAAATCTTTTCAAACTCATAGAATAAAATACGTCGGACAAATATTCTTCAAGAATTCCAGTGGTTACTAACTGGTGAGCGTCACTATCGGAAATCTGCCTGACAGAATCAAGTCTGTATATTCACTTCCATTCATTTGCAACTGCACACGTTCATGAACAACTGTCATGAACACAAATACACGCACACAATAACAAGCTATTATGAAAACTGAGAATGAAGAGGACTAACTAACAGACATAAACACACGTCGAGGACAGAACATAAAACGGAAGTCGATTTTCTCTCTTACTCTTTGTGTTCTTAGATAAAAAAAAATTTTCTTGATCCTATTGACTAAAAATCTCAGCTCGTTGCTCGATATGTTGTCTCTTTCTTCTTTGAACAAAAGTCTAAAGAAAATAATCAACATATCAAGGCCTGAACATGCTTCTAGGAACATTAGTTCGTGAATATTGATGGGCTTTTGTATTCGATGCCTAAAACAAATCTTCAATTGTCAAAAACATCTTCTTATTCGAGCAATGCTGAAATTATTTTCATGTGTCATAGCCAGTTGATGGCGATCCTCCTCTGCCTACGGTCGACCTTTCGTTACTTCATTCATAGCTCCATGCTAAAATGTCATGTCAATAAAATGAAGACGAGCCGACTGATTCGCTAATCCGACAGAGTTAAATTAAAAGAGAAACTCTTTAAAAAAAAGAAAGAAAGTCATATTCTACCTGGAATGCTCGTCAAACAATCGCCATGTAAATAAATAAGTGTGCTTATCGTTGTCTCAAAAATGTGAAATAAGCCTTCATTAGAATAAATAGAAAGAAAATCAAACATTAACTTATTGATATAACATTAGTACTTACAGATTGCAAAGTTCGTCAGGCTAAATTTACTTGCCTTTTCAGACTGTTTTTTAAACGACTAGAGCATGAAATAGCACAAATAATTTCACGTACATGAATCAATCGTTTCCAATCATGGCGATGTGTTCATAGTGAAGAGTTAACTGGGTTTCTTGCTTGACAAAACCAAATATGGGAAGTCGGGCTAGGAAAGAGCTAATAGAATCTAACAAAATGTCAAAGAGTCAGATAAGGAAAGAGAAACAAGTAGCGAGAATTCCTTAGAGAACAATTCTTTCCTATACACACATACACGATCACCTAGGCACGAAAGTAGAGAACAAAAATAACATGTTCAAAGCATATTAGTCAATACAATGAGAACAAAAAGAACAAATTTATTCCTCTTTTTTTACCTCTAAGGTTAATAAGCACAGGTAGGAGGGACGTCCTATCGATAGCGATCAGTGGCAACAATGATTGATTCTTGCCGTCGTAGAGAAATGAACAAATGATAATGAAAAAGGATCGGAAAGAAGAAACATGAGAAAATACTTAAGTGAGATTGATGAAAAAGACTATCTTGATGTTTTCTTGCATTTGCATATGTATGTGAACGAGCAAGATGCAAATGAGATTTCTCAACGACTTAGAGAAGTATTCATCTAAGACAGGAAATCGATTTACTTGGCAAGATCTAGGAATCGATGCAAACTCATTCAAATTCTTAACCTTTGAAACAATAACAACAACAGACAGAATGAATGATGACTCGATTTTTCGAATAGCTTTGTCATGCGATTCAAGTGTTCATGATGCAGAAGAAGAAAACAACGTTGTTTATTGAGCTGAACTTCTACATATGCATATCAAAGATAAAAATGTAAAAATAATCAGGATAGAAAACTAGAAACGAGGTAGTTATTTGTTTTCCGATGATGATTCTTCTGGTTCCTGAGAAAAAAACAACAACAACATGATTAGTTTCCGATTGATTTATTCGACTTCATCTTACTGTCTCATCAGCATCTTCACCATCATCAGCAACGATTGTTGTGGTAACTATTGTAGATGTGATTTTTTTGTCCTGGGATCGTTCAGTTTTGACCTCAACTAAAAATAATTTGAATGAAAATCCAGAATAACTCCGACATACTCAACTTACCATGTTCCTGTGAACTCTTTTGTCGTAATTCTTCAATTTGTTGAGGAGTTAAAGAATCGTGTGAGAGAATTTTCTCGAGTTTAGTTGATGATTTTTCTATTTCCGGCGTTTTCATTGTTGTTTCACTCTTTGAAATCTGAATTGTCTTGTCAGAAACGTCACCAAGATCTACATGGACATCAAATTGAAAGAAAAAAAACAAGTCAATAGTGAACCGTCAACACATTGATTCGAAAGATTTACCCATTGTGTGGACGATGTAAGTGAAAAGTGTTGCTTCGAGTTCACCATGTTTGTCAATAACACATGAATATGTTCGTTCATATGTATTACGATCAATAGTCAACTCAATTGAATAGTCGAATGGCGAAAGAGGAAAAACACGACGTAATTGATCACCATTGTGATTATTTGTTGTAAGATAATCAATAATAACTGCGTGGTTTCCTGTTTTATTGCCAACGACCCAGAACACATTTACTAAATACAAATGAACATTTGTGTGCTTTCATTCGGAAGAGAACTTAGCAAATGTGTATTACATTTGTCATGTGGTACGATACATTGAAGAAATGCCGATCGATAAGCGTCCACGATCGTTGGCGAACTTGTACGTGTATTTTCGAAGCATGCCTGGCGTTCGAAGGTATTCTCACAAAGACGGGGAGCTATCCACAAAGAGAATCAATCATTTTTCCTCTCGATTTTTACTACATACCAGATAATTCAACGTGGTAGGATAGTGAAGGGAGTGATTGATCGTTTTCTAAAAGTAATTGCTCGATATTGGGAACAGGTGTGTCACTCCATGAACGAACAACGCATCGATACACTCCACTGTCGTCAACATCAACGTTTTTCAATAAGACAGAGACATCCAGGATGTCAGTTTCATTCGAATTTGCTACTAATGGCGAAGCATTCGTCAAGAATCGAAGTACTGTTGGACGAACAGCCGGGTAAACAGGATAGATTTTGATATTGATTTTCTTTTGGAAATCTTGATACCACCATTCAACAGTTGAACCTATTCCAAAAAAGAAAAAGTCTATGTCATATGTGGAATAGTTAGCCTTACGTTTTGATCGAGCAATATGACAAGGTAAGATTATGTTGCTGCTTGATGAGCGGATACGAACAGGATTTGATGTTGATGTTTCAAGAAAACACGGCGTGTCTTTATCATCGATGGATGTTAAATTGCTGCAGAATGTTGCAGATGAACATGAGAAAAACTAATTGCCAAGCAATGAAACATTTCTTATGGAAAACTATCGAACTTACGAGTGTTAATAAAACAAATGAACAAATACTTAAATGCCGATGACTAAAAATCATTCTAAAATCGGTCGACTATGGTTCGCGAGTAGAAAATAACGAAAAGAAAAGTAAATAAGTATGACCAGGGTGGTTATATACACAAGAGAAATGCAGCAGCGAACAAATACATCTGCTTTTCGTCCGTCGGTCGGTCGGTTGATCGTTCGTATAATAGTATTCTATCGAGGGATCAATGAAAGTGTCGTCATTGTTTCTGTTAAACTGTGTCTTGTACATTCAAAACTAGAGGATATCACTTGGAATAATTGATTTTCCAGCAAGCTTGATTTTATTTAATCGATTGTCGCTGAAACTCAATACTACAGACAGATAATCATTGACAAACAAATCGCCATCGACCGTGACGAAGTTGTTGTCGGAGCTCGACGTAGACTGTAACAAAAGGAAAATTTTCAAAGGCCGTATGTTTTGTTAATGTTTATAAATGACGAAAGGAAACGAAAGGGAAGCTAACCTTGTCATATCATCCATGTCTTCTCTCAAAAACTAATCACTGAACGCATCTTTCTCCGCTGATCGCCATCCATTGCTTTTCTTTGATCTATCTCATACTATTAATTTTCACATCGGTATTTTTTTTCTATTAATAACAATGATTATTCCCTGATTTGCATGAGAATTCCTCCGGGAATATCTTATTAACTTTCTTTCGGAATTCGACAGTCGTAATTGTTTTCGAGAATAGATTGTAGTATGTTGTTCAAACTTGTGCAATTCAATATGATTCGAGAACTGTATTTGAAGGTCGAGCAGCCAGACAGTCGAATAGGCAAAAAAGGTTGTTTCTGATCAGTAACACAGTTAGATGAAATTGACCTTCATAGAACAATGGAAAATAGAAGAAACGTCGAGAAAAAATATCGAGTGCGACTGCGATGACTTCACTTCATATTCAGTGTACACACTTCAAGAGACATTACATTGAATTCCCTCGAAATTAGGCAATAGGAACGTTCGTTTTCGTTCTTTTTTTAATATTCAGTAGTGATACGTATTTTAGTTAAGCATTCAACGAAGTCAGCATCATGTTCTTTCTGATCAGTTTTCTATCGCTTTTACCGGCTAGTTTTCTCTTTTTCCTTGCGGCTTTGTCTCCCAATTGGTTAACGTTTACGAAATTATATCCGACTGGAAATGTCATTGTTCAACGAGGATTATTCTTTATTTGTTACGTTATTTCAAGCAATGGAACTCACGAAACAACCCGATGTGTGTCGATGATACATCAGCAAGAATCAACTGAGCCGGACAGATGGATTCATGGTGAGACTTTGAAATATTTTTAATATATCTGTCAAAAAGTTCATACAAAGATAACTATTTTTCATAAACTCTTGTCAGATGATTGATCGATAAAGGTAAACATTCGTGCCTTTTCTTCTTTTGCAGGTTTTGCGCTCGGAGCGGCATCTATGGCGATGATTTGTATCATACTAAGTCTAATTATTTTACTCCTATCAGGTATTTACTTCCAACGTCGTCGACGAAGCGATCAACATCTATGGTATTTACTCTCTATGTGTCTGCTACTGTTTATCATTCGTAGGATAAAACATAAAGTCTCTTGTTTTCCATTCACAATCGTTTTCTTTAGTCGGATGTTCAATATCAGTTTGGATTTTACTTCTCTCCGAAACACTCGGTCTTGGCACGGCGATTGACAATCGTATGTACAGATGGCCAATGTGGGCTGCCATTCTGTCAACAATGGGTTATCTGTTAGCGTTTATAACAATGTTTTCGTCGTTTTGTACACTGTGTCGACGTGATAAGACAGTGCAAACGCAAATTAGTCGCATTCGAGATCAACTACGGGTTTAGGAATTTGATCCTTGGATGCGATTCAAGTGAACAAAACTATGTAAAATACATCGTGATCCTGTTTATTGGACTATTTCTACGAAAAGAAAAGTAGAAGCAAATTTCGAAGGTGATGTAAACGCATTCCTTCGAAATCAATTTGAAATTCCCTTTTTTTTGTTTTGTATGATGAAGTTTATTTTTATTTCTGTGATTAAAATAATCCACAACATCGATTAAGTTTTTTTTTATCAATAAATTGTCAAAATTCGAACTTCTTTCTTTCTTTCTTTCGTTTTTTTACGGTTTTATCGTCGGACGGATATTCGTCATGAGTGCCAATGTTAGACACGATATCAGCCTTGACAAACAGAGATTAGATAGAGAATAAATGTATATAAGTATGCAACAGATGAACCGATGTTGATCCAAAATGAAAAACCAAAATCTGCCAAACGAACCTTGTAGTTTGAAAGATTATCATGTTGTAAATTTGTTGTTAAAATTATTGTCCAAACTGCACAAGAAAGTAAAACTAAAGAGAACAAAGGGATTCAGCATTGTTGGGAAAAAGAAAAGCTTGCAGATATACGCACAGCTGAGAAAAACTAGTATCAATGTTAGTACAAGTAACCAAGTAGCATTATGCTCATCTGTATGCCGTTGCAAATACCATGAGCCAAGTACAAGGCCAATAAAACTTATCAAAACGCAGCCGAGCGCACATGACGAGATGACGATCGGATAGACAAGATTGACTTAAACAAAGAAAGAATATATATTCAAAGAGAAAAGAGGAGCTTGTTGTTGAATTTACTTGATCCAAAGTGTGAATTATTTGCCAACAAGCTATATGTCCATGGGCACTGAGATGGTATCGATGAAGAATTACATATTTTGAATATGTCAATGTGTAGTGTTTGATTGGGACTAGTATACCAATATGGTGTGAGCACAGCTGCAATAAATGCTAACGTAGCGATTAATAGTGCATGATGTCCATGCAAAGCCAGCGTCATATTGCTTCTATTTCTTAGTTGTTCAACTGAGAAAGTGAAGTTGATTCTCCGCTCCTTTCTCTCTCGCTTTCTCACTTTTCCCTCGTTGCGTCAGTGTTCTAACCCTTACTTTCTCTCATTCACTCTCTTCGTGTCTGATGCTCTTCGCTTTCTGCCCGCTCTTTTATAACTATATCACGTAATTTTATCGCTGTCTCATTTTCTGACGACAAGAATTACTAATATTGGTAATAATACTAACGCACATCACAGAAAGAAAGAGAGACAAAGAAATCCAATCTAAACGATGAAATAAAATTAAGAAAGAACTGACTATCCTTTGTGCATTTACCCAGCTGCTCAAATTAAACCAAACGATTTCCTTTCTAATCTCACAGATGAAAAGAGTAGAACAGCTAAGAAACATCCTTGACTTGAAACCGTTCTCAACAGAGACGCATTCGACCCACATCGTATGTGTTTGAGGACAGTAGTTCTTTCTAAACATTAGAAATGTGAGATTTATGAAATCATTGACTAGCGACAAGATATTAACATGAAAAAATCGAAGATTCAATGAAATCTTATCTTGAAAAGTCATATTTCATATATTCTATTCAAATAAAAGACTATAGATCGGATCAGTTTTCAGACTGGCATTAACGTGAGCAGATATTAAGATGTTATTTATCTATGATTTCGAACAAAAGACAACGGATTTGGTTCCAACCCAGCAGACCAATTGATTCTTTGTTCTTGACGAGTTTTGAAGGACTTTGTCGAGAAGACAAAAAGGTGACTAACACATAAAGAAATAATATATTTCAGATTGACCATGAAAATTCATAAATTTCTTTTCCTCTAAGTAAATGACTTGTAGCGGAAAGTGTATGATTAGAGCGTAGTTCTTTTTCCTTTTGTTAGGAGAAGTGACAATGAGCATATTACGATCTTAAGTAATGAATTATATATTTGCCGTTTGCTTCATGCCATTTACTAGTGTCGCAAAAGGTGAAATTTGCAGGAAAAATTCATGGAGAAATAAATAGATATTTGATAAATTATGTGTCATCGAAGTATTTTATTAAATTTATAGAAAGATGACATCGGCAGTATGTTGATTATAATTTAATCAGATGATAATTATGTAACGTGACAGAAACTATTTAACTCATGTTGTATAATCTATAGAAATTAGATTTTAACATCTCTCTATTACGACTATACATCAGTTTGATGAGGGAATGATCATCAAAGAAGAAGATCCTTGTGAATGTTCGTTTTTTCTTTTCTTTCTGTTCGAAATGTCCGTCACTTATTTTCACGGACTCGCCAATTCAGTAGTCGTCTTTGCCTGTCAGATATGTAACGAATAGACAGGATTATCCGAAGAACGAAAGAGAGAAAAAGAAGATGTAACGTGTGGACTGAAAATTTTCGAATCAGTTATACCAGTCGCTCCCTTCTTTCGCCGGCGGTACTAGTGATCACAATCGAAAACTTCTTTTCCTATCATTGAAATCAATGGCTGATCGAAAATTATTTATCGGAAATCTTGTACGTCGTATTACTCAAGAAGATCTATGGGTGATGTATTCAGCATTTGGACCCTTGGAAGAATGTGCCAAATTCCACGAATCATTTGGTTTTGTTCGTTTTCTGCATGCTGAAGATGCTCGACAAGCATTAGACGCAACGCATGGTATTACATTGAAAGGACGATGTATTAAAGTCGAATTCGCTGCAACGACAACTTCATGGAGATCTGCGAATACCTCTTGCTGTAATGAATGTCGTTCATCGAGTAATATTGATCAGTTTGCAACTGGTTCATTTTCATAATGATGATTTTTATCTCTTAGCTCGGTATAATATTCCACCAATTCGAGCAGTTGATTTGGCAAATTATCGAGGACATTATCATACAAGTTTCGCACCGAGATCACCGCCGCGCGTTGGTCCTATTGGTCATCGAAAGAAAAATCAAGCGAAAACAAGTAATACTCTTAGATTGTTTCCTGTCAATCAACATTCCATTGACTATTTTAGTGACTTTAGAGAAAACTTCAACCTCAACAAAAATTCCTGAAGTCCATACAATTGTTTCTTCACCACCCTCATCTTATGCTGCATCATCATCAAGTCATATTGCTGAAATCGACGATTATGATTGTGAACTTGATAGTGGATACAACGATGAATTCGATTCACCAGTGTCTTCAACATCACCATGGTCCGATACGCCAAACACAGATGAAATGTTCATATGGGTAATTGCTTCGATCAGAAGATAGAATCTCCTTTTTCCAAACGTTTCCTTTTCATTCGATAGGATTTTCAATTGTATGCTGATATTGCGCGTGAACTTCCATCGATAAAAATTGATTTTTCATCTTCCGAATGCACAGATGATGATGATGATACATGCCATTCACTTGAACAACTCACTCAATTCAATATCGACGAATATCTATAAGCATTTTTGCTTTATTTTTTTATTTTTCCTTTCGTGTAGGAGAGTCAGTATGTACATAGAATGAATCGTAGTCAAAATGTCTGATTAATAGTAAGGAAAAGAAGTTTGTTTTTCTTTATACTCAAATTCAATGAAATCTTGTGTCAATCCCGTTGTTTTGCTTTTCTGTATAATTTCATTTGTGATACGGACAAATCTTCATTTCTTTGATTTGCTTCTTCTTTGTCCTGTACAAATGTATCATCATCATCATCATTCGCTTAACTTATAACTCGTTTCTTTCTTTTGTTTCGTTTTTGCTTCTTATTGGATAATTAATTCAGATGCTTAGTTGTTAATTAACTTTTTCACGTTCTTTATTTGTTACCTTTTTCATTTCTAGTCAATGCGTGAAGGACATTTCTATCTTATTTATCAATATTCATAATTGCATTTCAAATGTTTATTTTGTTTCTAATAGAAAATAGAACATTGAATGAGAATTAAACAAAAAACGCTTTCTCCATCGGTTTTCACAGGCGCAAGGTCGTAATAATACTCAAATGAATCGGATTTATAGCATATCTCAAGTACTCTCTGCTTGATTAGAGTACAATATTTCAGATTATTTCGATGACGAACATAATTATGATCGTTTTTCAATATATTCAACTTTTGCGTTCAATAACATCAAACCTTGAATTAACATTTTTTTGTTCCTATTGAACCATATCATATAGAAGGGTAATTATAACCGAAAGAAAAAGACAAAGGCACGTCTGTAATGTAAGCAGACCGATAATTTGCGCCGTTTTTCCCCTAGAGGATCGAAGTTTGTTTTTGCAAACAAAACTTTCTTTGATTTGAAGAATCTCTTTAAGCAAATGCGACGTCGTTATACCGAAATATATTTACACGTTCGTTATGTTTTCAAAAGACAGAAAAGAAAATGAATTCACAATTGTACATAGTACAAGTCAATCACAACAAAGAATTTCGTGTAGAAGAGAAAAGAAAAACTTTGAACGAATGTGAAATATTTGATCGATTCTAAATGTTAATTTCAATGAAAAACCAAAGCGTTAATAAGTAGCAGCAATAATAGAAGAATTGGATTGAATTGCGTAAGGATAAAAGCATAAGAATGATTATGCAGAATAAAGATCGTGAGATGAACTAAAAAAAGGATAAGATAGAGAACAAGCAAATTCAAGTTAAACATCTAGTTAGTAACATCTATCTAGAGTGATAATCAAGCAAAACGAGTGGTCGTTTTTTCTTATGTCGAAGAAGAAAACTGACGAGCTCAATGTCAATATTTGTTCTCGTCTTTTTTCTTCCTTTTACTAGTTAACATTACCATAACATACGTACAAATTTTTTCACAGTCAACTGTGAGATGAGAAAGCAAGCAAATAGAAGGGATGCAAACAAATACATACATACATACATACATATCGCAAGTTTCTATTTTCACGGGGATATATAAATTTGATCTGCATTTTAGATTAATCTTTGTTTTACTGTACCGCCTTGTCGTTTTTCGTTAGTATAGTATTAGATACGAGTGAGGAGCATTTGTTTTTCCAATATGCGAAGCAGTCTCAAATGGAAAGGTGATCTGATCAACTAGAAATGACGACTGATCTCATGCGTTTTACATCGAGATGAAAATACGTTTAGCTTCTACTTGTTGATAAATTTATGTACTTGGATGATGAATAAAGAGAAGAGAAACACAGAGACACAGGCACAAAGGGGATCATGCAAACATAGATTCGAGCAAGAAAGTGACAATCGAAGAGTTATATGTACAAAACATATCTATTTTTTCCGATAGAAATATGTATCTAAAAACGACGCGAATAGTCCATTTCTTTGAGATACCTTCGGTGGCCAAGATCGAGACGATACAGACCAAATAATATGAATGTAAGCAAATAACCGCCACTTGCACCAACAGCAATCCATGTTGAAAAGCCGATACTCTGTCGAAGTATTCGCATATTAATATCACGATTCATGGTAATCATAACGATCCAGATGATTGCACTGATAAAAACTAATTGAAAGAAATAAGAAATAGGATGTCTGATCGATTTGAAATTTGTCAGATGACTTACATATTAATAATGTCAATGCTGCTAGAAACGTAACGAAATGAGGAGCGAGACGTCGGCGACGGATGTAGAGATAGGCACCAGCAAGCCAAAGGAGAATGATGGATAAAGAAGACGCAACTATGGCCAACGATGCGCAAGCAACCGCATAAGCTAAACAAAAACTTCTTTTGAAGAAATAATATCAGAATGTGAACGTACTAGGGCGGCAACTGTTTACGGAGTCTTTGGGAGTAAGAATCCAATCACGGCATGTGTTATTCGCAAAGCCCTGATCGACATAAAAGATTCCCTGATAGTTAGACTCGGCCGGAGAAGCAGGATTTGCATCCGAAACGGGAAGATTATTTGGATAAATCCACTTCGGAGTTAAAATCGCAACAATAAATGCGACCGTACTTGCTACCGCTAGTAAGTAGCCGACGAAGAAAAGAGCCATTTAAATAAATTTATGATTTATCTGAAAGAAAATATAATAAACAGTCGATATATCATGGATTTATATGAATAGAAATGGATCTGTGTTCGTATGCGTCGTATATAAATGAAGAGAGGGAAGGAAAAAAATCGTAAATCAAATCCACCCACTGATTCAAGGTGAGATCCAATAATACTAATAGAATTGTCAATTAGTCAAAGGAGGAATAAAAATGATTCATCGATTGAAATATCACTTCTTCTTTCTCATCTCCTACATTCCGATCTTTACTTCATTCATATTCTCACATTTATTTTAACATTTGAGTCAACAACAAGCCGACAAGTGGTACCCGGTCGATTATTACGCATGTATATACGTGTCCGACAAGAGTACAATGAACTAGAAGAATTCTTCTTACTTCTTTTTCTTGCTCTCCCTCTCTCCTTCTCTTTCAAAGTATGCACGCGTCTATACGGACACCTAAGCTCATTGAGGAATGAGAAAACGAAGAGCAATACGAGTTTGTGACCTTCCTCTATTCTCTGTTTCGTGTACACACATACATAAAAGAAAAGAAAATGAAGAAGATTATATATAACTACTTGTGAACCACATTAGAACGGAAAACGACGGGAAATGTAGATGTAAATTCTTTTGCCTTTTAACCTCTTCTCTTTGAGAAAAAAATCTCTCGTTTGAAGCTTTTTTCTCTTCTTTTTCTCCTTTTTCTCGAATCAATCAAAGAAAACCTTACCTCCGTTTATTTCTCTGGTTGTCAATAAGAAGCTGAATTATTTTTCAAGCAATTAAACTTATTGATAGGAATACAGTTCGTACCTAAAAATAGTTCGCAGCATGAAATGATAATAGATCTATAAAAAAAAATAAGCAAAAGATCGGCTACAAGACTAATATTATGCGCACTTGATCCACGAGACGTGTTTCATAAATTAACTCAAGAAATATTCGCTGATTCAGTCGTCAACTTGGATTTATACATGAGTCAGCTTGAAAAAGCAAAAGAAAAACTTCAAACTATGAAACACTCAAGTCACAGCTGCATCTCGTTCAAATGATTAACATTATCATTCGCTAATAATCTACACTTTTCGTCCACAAAGGAAAGATTATTCCGACTCAACTAAGTCCAGATATCAATCTCAATTTCAACTTGAGACGAGCACGGCCATGCATAATCTTTCTTTTTCATCATCTATACAATCAAACAAAAACACTTCAGTCACCACTCGTTCTTCGTTTTACCTTAACTCTCCGATGATCAAACTCCGAAAAATAACAAGACATCTCCATAGGGCAAGCGCATCTGTGCCTTGAATACTAACATAAATTGTTTATACACACATACGCACGGACTATGGCAAGTTTAAAAAGATAAAGTAGCGACATATACAAACATCTAATGGATTGCGAACGTGTTTATACACACCTTTATAAAAATCAATTGAATTTGTGTGAATAGAGAAAGAGAAGAAGAAGACGTAGACGTCGACATATCGAATAAATCTAAGTGAGCAATTATACGTGGATATGTCGAGAGAGATAATAGTAGAAAAGTTCGTTGGTCTGCGCAACTTTCATCGTGTAAAACTAATTCCTAATTAGAACATTTCTCTATTCGATGATTATTAAACGAAATCTTCGCACAGATTATATTTGTTCAGATAAATTCGATATGAAAAGATCGATTTTGAACTAGAGAAATGACATGTTCAAACATGATTCTACTGGTTTATGTAAGTTAGTACGTGCAAAGGATTATAATTTCATCTGAGTGAACTCTCAAGAATAGCACAAAAGAGAAGATCAGCTTCACTCTCGATTTCTTTGTTGTGTTCTACACTATGAACGATACGAATCCATCGAAATCGTGTCATTTTAATGTACTCATCCGCTGTCAAGGTGAAAAAGATGAAGAGACTTAACTGAAACCTTACAAATCGATTGGCGCGTCAGTTCTAACATTTGAAAGTTTTCATATCGAGATGAAAAGAAAGACTCTCACACAAAAATCTGATCATAACTACGAATTACCTGCATATTCCTCGACAAACATCAGAATTTATATTTGCAAAACTAAAGCGTGTCATCGTAATTCGATGTAATAGTGAAAACTGAGAAGGCTACAAATTATACACTGTCTACAAAAAAATGCTCATTTTCTTTGCTCAAGATCGACCTTCTCTCATATTCACATCAATCAAAAAAAACGATGGTGCTCGTATACACATGATGAAAGTGCAAACGAAGAAGAACTCGATTTCGTTCGTTTTTTTTTCTCCACTTAACATTAAAAAAAGAATTGTTAATGTATCAAATCTACATACAGGTGCGAGTTGTTCTAACGCTCAATTCGCATCGGCAATGCCTGTGTGCATACGTGCATCTTTAACGCGAAATTGATGATGCTATTCGAGCAAAGTTTCTCTCACGACAAACAAATAAACAAATCGAATGTTATCTCTCTCCAGTCGTAAACTTACATTCACAAAGACAATTATGGATTTTTCTCGTAGACGATTTGAAAGGCAAACGATTGATCGTGGAACAAAGTTTCGTATTACATGTACACATGCCCGATTGAAAAGTGAAAAGGAATCGACATTCGAACATATACACTGAGAGAGAGAGAGAGAAAGAGATGGAGGAAGGCGGTGAACAGACGCTATTGAGAGAAGTGAGGGAGAAAAGTATTATAGTGCAGGGACATGTCGTGCAATTCTATTCTACTGCTTTGCTTTGTTCTAGTTCTTTTCTTCTTTTCTTAACAAGAATGATTAATAAAGAACAAATGAATCACTAACAATCAAAACAAACATCGGTGAAAGAGAAGAGAAGAGAGAGAGAGGAAAGAAAAATCGAATTTATTTAACAAAAATCAAAATGTTCGCAATGAAGAAAACTCGAAAAGGATTACCTTCTTTGAGAGCAATTTCTCAATAAAGAACAAAAGTAAATGTAACGCTTCTCGTATATGTAATCACAATCAGACGAGTAACGATTGCCAGCTGTCACTTATCGACAAATTGAAAACAAATTCAATCGAAATACGTACAGATAGATAGAAAAACCTTGACGATCCGTTATGTATAATGTGAGTAGAGGGGAAAAGACAAATATTAACATCAATAAAGATGACATATCGGTTAAGATCGACATTTATTTTTCGTTTCGTATATCCAATTCTTATCGAACTTCGTCTTACCTTTGTGAGCCTCTCTTCGAGTGACTCCTGTATCCAATTACCGTCAGTTATATATTCACAAAGAGTGTTTTTTGTTAAGCAAGAATAGGCTTATAGAATTTTACACAAAAAAAAAACACAGAATGGATTGAAATCGTTGTCTCGTTTGTTATAGATTGATGAATAAATGTTAGAATAGTGAGTAGGAGTCTACAATGTGAATTAGTTCTTGTAAAATGCCAGCTGTATGTGAGATAAAAAGTAAATTTGAAAATTTGCGTTTCTCACCGGCAATTAAACTGTCTGTGAATGTTATTATCGATCGATGAAGCCTTATCAGGTTTTAATTGATGCCTAAGAATAAATAATTGTAATATCGAAATGAAAGAAAGTCGTTTCATCGTAATCTTTCACTTCGCCGACGTAAACTTCTTCTAACAATGAACAATGAGAAGGATATTTCTGTATACATTCTTCGTTTAGCACAGAAATACTGACCTAAATAGCTATGATCTTCGCGAGTTATTTTGAATCGATATTCACTGCGAAGAACGAAAGGATCTGACAGTTTTCTTGACTCTGTTCATGTGAATTTTTCATTGCGAAAATACAGTTAAGTTCACATAGAAAAAAACCTTTCCAACTAGATGCGTGCATTGATATCATGTTGATAATATCGAATTCGTATTCGAAATTGGACATGAAATGCGAAGTTTCGTGAAAGAAATTATCAGTATATTATCGTGAAAGTCCATTTCGTACTGATCAAGAATGTTTTCGAATATTTCATGCATATGACATCAAAGCATCTTGCGATGTTTGGAGCTCCGATTCAAAACTACTCTGCAATACTCCTATTCTACAGATAGAAGTGAAGTCGTGCGTTAGTGATTTGATGATTTTTAACACATAAATAAAAAAAAGAACAGAAGTAAATACAGTTAAACATAACAAAAATAGGTTAGAGTCATGAGTGATATAGTTTATTTCTTACTTTGCTTATGTTCATTTCCAAAATGCTTCAATTTCAGGTAATAACTTATTCTTAGTTTCAGGCATCTAAAACAAAGACCAAATTCCATTGGAATGGAAAGAATATCCGTCAAATTCTTGATTTTACCTTTAAAAATAGAACGACAAAGGCGATAGCCACGAATATACAAAATATCAGAAAGACATATCCACCGATAGCAGATTGAAGCGGCAAGAACAACAGAGCAACTAAGAAATTGCAAAACCAATTCTAAATAGAAGGACTTTCGTCGAATGAATATACATTCAGATGAATAATATCATACCACAAACATTGCCAGTGAAAGTCCAGCAGCACATGCTTCGACTGCGAACACTTCGTTCGAGAAAACATATGGAATAGGACCAAGGCCAATTGCGAATAAGATAATGAAAATAAGAATAAATACAATGCTAACGATGGCTAATGCTTCCCTCTGATTTTCAGAATTTCTACTCTAGAGATCCATGATTCAATGAAGAACACAATATGAATTGTTTTCCAAACTTACATTGACAACAATGAAAATCGTCAAGCCAATCATGACGCCAATAATTACAGCTAATGGCCAGATGATCAACGGACGACGACCCCATAATTCAATCAATTTCAAAGCAACAAGAGTGGCGATCAAGTTGATCACACCTGTTGCCAATATACCCCAAAAGACCTTTTCATCTCGGAGACCAGCTAATGTAAACATATCTCTTGAATAGAAGAAAACCTTTGAAAAGAAAAATAACTTGTCAGAAGAAGAAAAAAACGAGAATATTCGTGATGGAAATGTACTGCATTGATTCCTGAGAGTTGTTGAGCAGCATTAAGTAACAAACTTGTGATTAGTGGCCATCGAAATTCTTTCGAGGAAAGAACTTTTCCTATTCCCAGTTCTTTCTTTGCTGTCGCCGTTTCTTCTTGTTCGATTTCGATCAATTCACTTTCAATATCGTTACTCTGTCTTAATTTACGTAATGACTGTGCCGCTTCATTTGGTTTCCGTTGTTGTATTAGCCATCGAGGGCTTTCTGGTAGAGTCCATATAAATACAGCCCCAATCAGAGACAACAAACCCACCCATGCCATACCCCAATTCCATGTACTAAATATATCGAAAGAAAAACAAATATTACCTTTTCGTTTGTGAACTTTTACTTATGTCGTCCTAATATCCATGGTAGGCCAACAATTTGCCCAATAAATATACCGATAACAATGGCTAATTGATGACATGAACCTACGGTACCTCGCAATGCTCGAGGACTTATCTCGTTCAAGTAAGAGGTTGATACAACGCAGCACATACCTGAAGAGGATAGTACAGAGGAAATTAATCTCTGACTAATCTTTACCAGCAGCAAATCCAGAAAGAAATCGGGATATGTAGAAAAAAGCTATAGCTACATCTTTATGTTTTCTTGCTTTATCTATTGTTTCCTGATTTGGATCAGCTTTTTCGTAACCATGATAAATGTATAAAGTAATGATCATAAAAACCGAAGCAATGATTTGAAAGGGCATATTGGCAAAGATGGCATTGCGTCTAAATGAAGACCATTTGAATTCTGTTCAAATTGATACAGCTGACGAACCTCGACAAACATTTGTACCAATATTGTCCCGAGTAAGCACCGATAAAACCACCAATTACGAACAAAACATTGTGCAGCGAATCTCGCAATCCTTGAGTGATAAGCTGATTTTTTGGTACTTCTGGTAGATAATAAAATCCATTCTCATTCTTGCGTGTATCATTATACACACAATTCCACCATTCTCGTGCTATCCATTGTGATGTATTGTCTTCTTTTTGACATGGAAATGGATAACCGCGAGCCCATGGAGTGACAAACTAAACGAAACGCCATACAACTATCGAATTTCAATTATCGGACAAATAAAATATCATACACCGTTGTATAAATTCGGACCGCCAATATTCACTCCCATGACAAAACTAGTTGACGCGACAACTATGATTATGGATATGAGTAACGATACCGTCCATTTCTATGAAAACAAAGCTTGTCGCCATCGAATTGACAGAAACCGAAAACAACCTGCTTGATTGGTTCGACAAGAGTATCATTAGTTGACAGAGTAACAGTCGTTTCTGGGACAGTTTGCGAGTTTGACGGAGTGACATCATCATCCGCAACACTCTCTTCTTGCACACTTGACATGGACAAAATGTGGTCTTATAGATTTTAGTTACAGGATATTCAATAATGGATGAATGAACTTGATCAATGTCATAGACACGAAAAAACGTTTTATAAAATGACTTGAAGAAACTGAGCGCCAAAGCATTTAATTACGACAATGACACTTTTTGGTTACTAGTCAAAGTCCCTTTCTATCTGAAAACTGGCTTATTCGGACGGAAAGCATATACACTACATATTGCGTTGGGATATACTTTCAAAAGCGCTTGAAATGTCTTTCAAATACTTATACGATTGGATCACTTGATTTACAGAAGCACTTGACTGAAGTAGAAAAGCATATATTTTCATAATATTTTGTTCTATCAGCTGCGTAACAACTTGAAATTCGTACAATCAACAGTTCAACAAGTATTATCCATTAATCTAGTATCAAACTTGATTATTTCTTAATCAGATCAGTGTACATCATGTCTAATCTGTCGTGTTCTTCGACAGATATTTAATAAAAATAAGCCTGACATTCCACATGACAGATTCAATGTTCGGTAGAACAGGTTTAACGGAAGTATCATCAATCTTTGTCGTTTAGTTGTTGTTTTTAGTTTGTATAAAATCGATTTGTTACTTCCTCTAGTTTTTTTTTCTACGTGCTGTTCCGTGTATCTCACATTATCATCATTTCATTGACTTTGTATTCATTTCCATTGTCGTTGTTTCTTTGAAAGAATAGAAGAATAAGTAAATGTCGACTCTTTTCACGTTTTTTTCCTTTGTATGACAAGCGTGTAGTTTTTTTTTAGAGAAAACGCGTCCGACAGGCAAGCTAAATTCATTATTACTTAACGAACACTTTCTCTCTTTAGTAAAGCGTATAAAATTGCATTATGAAATTTTACTACGTTCTGTAGACGAGAGAGAAAAGGGGGAGAAAGATTTGAAATCTTTAAGACAAAAAAGCGCAAGAGAATAAAGAAAGTTACAAGTGCTTTTTCTTCAAACACTTTATCGTTGTCGTCATCGTCGTCATCATTCTTCTTACTGTTCACGAATATAGTTGCTTAGCACCGTGTCGCAAGGAATCAGTTTCTATTTGAAAAGGCATACATACACACAACTCGTTCCGACAGAACAATCAACAATCTATTCATTTCTCTTTATTCGTCTTTGTTTTCTTAGTATCTAAGCAATAAAGTTTAGAACAAGAAGGAAGATTATAATAAAACGCTTTGATGACAACCTAACGAAGCATACTTCCGAAGGAGAGAGTCCGAGGTAAGAAGAATAGTGATAGTGATAGCAAGGTAAACCTTGTTTCATCATCTGATATTACCTAAGAGTGCGATAAGCAATTTGCATAAGAGCCTGCTTGTGATAAGTGTCATTCTCTTCTCTCTCTCTCTCTCTCTCGTTCTCTTTACTGAAAAATTTCTCTCTCTCATTTCACATCAACTTAAATTATTTCCTCATCGTCAAATTTTTTAACGAGAAAAAAAAGAGAAAAAGAAGCAAACTAACACCTTTTTTTGCTAAATGTCCTTTTATTTCAGATGTGAATATGTAGTATAAGCCATCATTTGTTCCTCTATTCATAGAGGTAATAAATGATCTCATTTTCTTTTGTATCTTATTTTCAATGTCGTGTTATTGATTGTTGTGATTCACCGAAGACAAGATTATCGTAAACTACCAAGCAGAAATGAACTACTCGCCGTTATTCCGTCCATAATTGACAATTGGTTTATCATACAAATCAATTTCAATGCACATTTTTTATTTGTTTTTCTTTTCATTTTTGTTGTTTCGTTTGAAATTGCATGGAAAATCAACGCCATCAAAGCAGCACCAATCTGTGATATGAATTCTGTACAGAAGCAAATGCTTACACATATGTATTCGTCTCTGTTCGTGTGTTTGTTTGACTTTATTAAAACAACAAAAAAAAACAGAAATTAGAACTAAATTTTTCTTTGCCTATTCTATATCAATACAAGGGTCGCATTTCTTTTAACCAAGTGGGGATATATCGTTCGGGAAAACGTTTCTCATTGATGACTCGAAGATATTCTTCTCCTTGTTCATTATACCTCGTCCAATATTCCCACGTGTCTTTATCCAGCTCATCCAAACTGATTTTATCTAGTTTTTCTAAGCCAAACAACCATTCTGGATACGTGGAATCAGCTTTGATTTCTACTGGTGGTTGATCTTTCTTATAATTGAGTCCACAGCAATAGTTGACTAATTTCTCGGGATCTGTTTCAGCGTCGATGTATTGTTGAACTGTACTTGTAATCACTGCACCTTTTTCTATATACGTAAACATCTTTTCGAATACAAATACACTCGAATGAAGATTTGCACTTACTGGCTACTCCACCTCCAAGTTTCAAAGCTGCGCCCGACGGGCCTGTCGCTGTTTTTGTTACTGCATAGTGTCGTTGAATGACGAGAGGTAGCGAAGATAAGCGTAGATATCTGCAACTGAGCATTGATCTACAATAGATATTGAAGACAAAAAAGAAGAACACATTTTATTTTGTCAAGTTTGCCATCATCTGATATTATCAATCAAATTGAATAGAGAAGAAAAATAACATCTTTGGAGATCTTTACATAATATACAAACAGAAAATATGAGAAGAATTTTTATCTAATTAGTAGCATCCATCGCAGTTGAAGTTTCAGTTGGAACAACAGATTCATTTACTGTTGAAAGTTCAACAGATGGTTCCATTTCGTTTGTTATCTCTTCTGTTGTTGTTGTTGTTGTTGTTGTTGGCAGCGGTAGTGGTTCAGTCGATGGTTCGCTTTCATTGGTTTGTTGCGGTTCACTTGGCGTTTCATTTGTGCAATTGACATTTTCTAGACTATGGCAAATTTCTAATTCTTCAGTCGTTTCAGCCATTTTCTTTTCTTCTTCAGTTAATTCAGCAAAGACAAGTTGGTCTGTTGATTGTTGTTCATCCCAGACAATTGGAAATGTCGTTACACGAGGTTCATCAACAGCAATGTTTCGATTCAACTGAAAGATAACGTTGAGTTACCGTTAATCTATCAATTAATGTATATCTTACCTTTTCAAAATCAACTTTTACTGGAGGATTTTCTCGCAGTTCGGGATCATCGTATTCTGTAAACACATAATAACCAACGCGTGCGAATTCTTGATTACGATACAAAGCCAAAAGAAGAACAACGGAAACATCCACATCGCTATCATTTGGAAGCTTTTTTGGATCAGGTGGTGGTGCCTTTGATGCAAAAAAAAACAAGGGAATTCGTTGATCATCATTCGTATTCAGCAGTCTCCTACTTCGAAGACGAATTTATATGTTCCTGGCGCAACGGCGTCGATAACAACAACATCAAGTACTTGATCTTGTTTATCTTCTTTGGCATCGCCCACATAAACAAGTTTGAATTCAAGTTCTACAAAATGCAAACCGCGATTGCCTTTGATTCAAAGAAATTCGCTGAAATTACTATTACCTTGTGTTAATTGTTCTAAACATTCGAATTTAATCTCGAATGTATAATTTGATAGAAACTTCGCTGGATTATTATGAACTGCAACATTACTTATCATCACTTTCACCATATTTGAAAAAAAAATAGATCAAATTATCCTCTAAAACGGCAAGAACACACATAATTATTACAAATGTCTATCTACAAATGAACTCATTTCAATTGTACATAAAAATGAACGAGAGAATAAAACACAATTTAATAATCAATAATCTTCACTCGTTTCGCATTTGCTTTTAAAACAAGTTTTCCATATTCACTGATCCGATGACAGCCCGTTAAATCGATAGTTTCGATCGACGGACTGGCCAGACCGAGTAACGCAAGGTTTTTATCGGTGATCTTTTCACATAAACTTATATTCAGATGCTTCAAGTTTGTTAAACAGCGAATACCAAAACGAAACAATCGGTTTGTCAATTGAATACATTGACGTAATCTCAATGTTTTCAAATGTTTTAACTTGTTTATCGAATAGAAGTATTCCGGAAAGAGTTTATGTCCGGTTAAGATACTCAGTATTTGATCAGAGTATTCATCGTCATTGAAATTGAAGTCTTTCAAACGAAGTTTTATGCATGACGATGATATATACACGGGTAATTGACATTTACATGGTGTTTGATGGGTGATGGCATAAGTCCATATTGGTAAATCATCGATAAATTGTCGATTTATCAGAAACTGATCAAGCCATTCAATCGACTTGCCAATTCCACATATCGATACACCAATAAACGCAAAATCATTAATGTTGATATTATCATTGATGGATAATTCTTCTAGCAAGGTTAAATACTTGTTAATTAGTAATATTGAGCGGTTAGTTAATGATGAACAATTGTTTAAATTCAAATGAGTTAATGAGAGCACAAAAGATGATTGCGTGCATATCTGTTGTATCACATCATCTGTTGTATTTCTTGGAAGAGCAAGTTTTTTCAAATGGAATAACTTATCTTGAAACAAATTCATTAGATCGACTTCGGTTAATGGATATAATGTTTGGATATCCAGATCAGTCAATTGCTTCAAGGATGACAAAGATATATCCGATGATGGAGCAAGAACTAAATAGAAATGAGCAAGTCTAGGAGAAAAGTTTGAGAAGATTACATTACCTGGAAAGAATTTCTTGTTTTGTTGTGTTACCGAAAACTTCATGGGCGGATTGAGAAATACGCAAAGTTGTTTTAAGTTCGTGGCAAACTCGTTAATGGCGGAAAATAATGGTTGACAACCTGTATGATCAAGTTTCAAGCGGCCAACGATCAATATTTGAAGATGATTGTCAAGAAAAACAAGAAGATGATTTAATGCTGATATTGTCAATGTTCCATCGATGTAAAAATAAGTTAATTTCGACGGTGTGTTGGAAAATAAACGTTTTATTTGTGTATCACAGGATAGGGATGGTTCGAACGAGATAGTCAATGCTTTCAAACAATCTTCATGCTTCTGAACGTACGAACAGATGTTTTCAAATGTCAGAAGTGTTCGATTTTCATCGGTACTCAATGTTGATCGGAGTGGAATGCCAAGTAGATGTAATGATTCGATATTTGGAAATGCTTTCATTAAATGATTAAATGCATAGTCCGATAGATGAATGTTTCCGTTCAAATTCAGCTGTTTGATCGACGGAAAGATATTGGTATTTTGAGAGAAATTGTGTGATAAGAAAAAGAATTTGTAATCGCTTAGATCGAGTTTTTGTAACGATGTACAACAGGAAAGTAAGTCGAAGAAAACACGACAATCGATTAGTGTGGTCGAACTCGCAAATGATAGACTGGTTAAATTGTTAAGACAAGAACGAAACGATGGGGATGTTTGTAAAAAGGTTTTCAGTTCTGTAAAGTTAAAATTCGATATCGATAATTGATCGAGACCTTCGAAAGACGTGGCTTTGTCGAGAACTGCAAGACCAGAAGATGATTTTGGCGAAAGAATAATCGAATGTAGATGTGAATAGGATGAAAACGATGATAAACGACTATAAATTGTCCGACTGGTCAAACGAAGACATTTCCAATCGGATAGTGTCAGATGTGCCAAGATGAGATCGAATATCTTTTTTAAAATATAGAACATAAGATTAGGTGTGTTTTGTACATTCGTCAAAGACTTACTTCGACGGGTAACTTTTCCATTTGCGTGTTCGAATGTTTCTATTAAAAATGAAATAGAAAAGAAGAAGATTTTCGCTGATAAGAAACAACCTTTTATATCCATCATTTATTTAGTATAGAACAGAACATTCTTGTTGATTCTTTTGCTCATTTGAATGACAAAAGAAGAGAGAAAAAAGGTAAATAATATGACCAATAAACATAACAAAGAAAAGACAACTTTACTTTATCAATGAAGTTCATCATAGACAAAAAATATAAAGTATACAACAAACAAAATAATAGAGAACACACAAGCACATCATTTTCTCTCTGTTTTTCTTTTTCTAACAAAACAAAACAAAAATAAATGTAAATGACAACAGATAGGTTATATACACATCCAAAAAGATTTTCCTTGCCTATTTACTTGCAGTTGTTTTAACTGAAGATGCGGTATTTTGAAATAAAGAAAATCTATGCGATGAGAGAAAGAGAAAAGAAAACAAGTGGAAGTTATTTGAATGAAAATCGATGGGACTTACGGTTCAAAATCAAGTTTCTGCTTAGAGATGCCACTGAGAGCGAATTCTTCACTGACAATCGGCACTCCTTTTTTATATAAATCTTCATATTCATTTTTATGTACTTGTGCAACAATACAAATTAAATCTTTTCCGGGTTTTGTCATATTGATTTTCTCGATAAACTTTCCACCGGCAGCTTCCACAATATCTTTCAGATCGTCATAGGGTGGCGACGTATCTTTTGAGCAGAAGAATTTGTAATTTTCAAAGATTGGACGTTGTTTCGCCAAGCGAACACTTTCGCGTAATTGAAAGCCATAGCGTGTTTCAGCCGTGGTATCTTCGAGATAATATTTCTCATAGGGGATGTAACGATTTTCTTTAATCATCGCTTCAATCCATGTTGGTGATAAGATATGCGCACCACGTGCTAGACACATGAAAAACTTCTTCGTACGCCTGATACGATCGACAACAAGTGCATCGACATGACATGATTCATCCATGATCTCGAAACCTAGTTTACGTAATGTCACCAGATGATTTTGATCGAAATTCTAATATTGAAAAATTCATTTTTAAGGGAAGAAAAAAGAAGAAGTTTCTTACTAAATGACTACTGAGAGCTATTCGAACAGGTCGGTCAGTGGAGGTGCTTGCTTCCTCAGATGATTGCTCGATTGAAGTTGCGGTTTTTGTTGATTTTCGGCCACGTTTTGGAGTATTAGTAGATGCTGACAGATCGGCGTCGGATGGTTGACTACGACGTGTATTCACCACGGATGCACTTTGTGGTGCTGCTCCGCGACTAGAAATATACACAACAGTTATACATTTGCTAGCATTGTACTTCGTAGTACATACGTTCGTTTCGTGGTGCTTGAAGCAGCAGATGTCACAGGTGTTAAGCTCTTTCGTTTTCGTCCGATTGGCCGCGTGGAGAGATCTGGTTCTTCATTTTCACCACCGGTATCCATTTGATCGTAGACATCGGTAGTCTCTTTTGTTTTAGCGGATTTTTCATCTGGACTTTGGGATGCATCGATGGGTTGTTGACGAAGACTGATTCGCTTTTGTGGAGCAGACGAACTGCGTCCACCTCGAGTTGAACGACGCCCTGTTGTCGTTGGCACCGGTGTTTGTGGTGTGCTCGAAGATTTTGATTGTTTTTCGAGATCATCTAAATCGACATAATCATCGGTGTATGGAAACTGACGATTTCGACCGCTTGATGCGCGAGCTTTGATTCGAGCTGAGAAAGAAAACCCAGATATTAATGTACACAAAATGAAATTATATTTTACCAGACACTCGAATGTTTGAGCCAGTATTCGTTTGGCTAGATGCTGAATCATCTGCAGGTTGCGTATCAGAGATAGATGTATTTGACTTGAGTTCGTTGGGTTTTTGTTCCACGTCTGGTGTTTTAGTAGCTTTTTCAGTTTCGGTGTCTACCAATTCTTCTGGTGGCGCAGTATTGACCTCATCATTAGTCGATTGTTGCAAATTACCACTACGGCGGGCGCTCGGTGTGCGTGTGCTGGCAGGACGACCTCGTACAGAACCGCTACGTCGACCTCGACCACGGCGAGATCCTCGTCGCGAAATACCACGTTGGGCAGGAGTAGAACTTGAAGTTTCTTCACCTTCTTCGGCTTCATCTTCTTGTTGATTTTCTTCACTTTCAGGGATAGAGAGCGGTGCCTCTTCTGGCGTCGATGCAGCTAAAAAGAACGAATAATTATTTCTTTTCTCATTCAAAAGAGAGACATCGTACTTGATTCAACGGATGCTGCCGCTTCTTGTTCCTATTTATCATCGAAAAAGAAAACAAGACTATTCACTTCATATATTCAGATCTAATTTACTTTGCTGGTTGATTCCATTTGCTGTATTGCATCAACCGTCGCTGCATCGGAAATTTCCGCTTCGCTTTTTCGTTGTTCATCAACGCATGAATGCTCTTTAGAGAAAAGCAACATCAACACTTAAATCAATCATACTCTGTCAAATCCTATTTTACCTGGTTGATTTGTTTCCATTTGTTCATCTGTCGCAGCTTCTATACCTACATGTGGATCAATCGTAACTTCAACATGTTGTTTCGGTATTGTATCATCCGTATTCTTCTCTGCATCTTTAAGTTCCTCAACTAATCGTGATACAGGTACGACTTCCAACGTTTCAGAAGCTGGTCTTGGCGATGAATTATTCATTTCTTCATCAAGACTATATTCTTGTGTGTCAGTACATACAGCAGGTGCAGTCACATCAAGATTAATCTGTTGATCAGTTGGTTGGAGATCGTATGCTAAAGTTTGGGCTGGTAAATCGCTATTCTCCACAAGAGTTTCTGCCATTGTTTCGGTTGTTGTTGTTGTTGTCGTTGTTGTCATCATTGTAGTTGTGACTTCGTCGGTGCTTGGTTGAAGTTCATAAGCTAATGTATCTGTTGGTAGGCTATTATTTTCAATGGTAGTCGTAGTTTTCATTGTAGTCGTTGTAATTTCCTCAACCATTGTATCACCGCTAATGACAACTTTGTGAACTTCCTCGCGTTTCGTTTCGATCACATCGGTTACGATTTGTTCGGATTCAAGTTCGTATGGTTGAGTATCTGCTACTGCACCGCCTGAAGTGCTAACTTCACCGGTTGGTTGAAGATCGTATGCTTGCGTATTTTCAATTTCAACTTCAGCAACTACTAACGTTGTGGTTGTCGTTGTCTCAACTGTTGTAACTGTACCAGTATCTTCATCAACGACTTTCTTTGTTTGTGATGACGAGACAATCTCCAATTGATCCTCGTTATTGATTTGTGTTGGTTCGATATGAAGAGATGCAGCTGCTGGTAACGTTGCTGCACCAATGACTAAGCTATCATCATCATGAACACTGTTTGGTACAGTTGATGAAATTAATGATGAAGATTGATTTGATGATGGAATATCGGCGTTGCCATTTTGTTTCGGTACCACATCTTCGGAACCTAAAGACAAGAAAATACATGAAAAGAGATGAATTTCGAAGAGCTTTGCTTCTTACTTTTCATAGTTGCTCGACTGAGTCCTAAAGCAAACAAGAGTAATTCATGATAGTGAGATCGAAGTTTGATACATACGATTTGTATTATGGTTGTTTCCATTCCAAATTTTCATCGGTTGTGTTGGTTCTTGATCATCGTACGAATCGGATATTGTTTGTGTAGATGCTAAAAGACAAATAGTGTCATGAATCGCAGCCAACAGTATGAAATCTGCTTACGAATAGCATCAACATTTGTATCTGTAACGATCTAAGAAAATAAATGCAAAAATCAATTGAAATACCGATCAAGCGATCAACTCAAGCAGAGATTAAAAGTTAAAGCGATCACACAACCACTCATTTTTCATACCGGAGAAGGTATATCGTCATCCAATGGCCATGGTGAATCCTCTTCAACAAGAGTATTCACAGCAGGTACATAACTTTGATATGTTGGTTCAGACAATGTCTTTAATAATGTTTATTGGCTACTACGTTCTCCATCGAGAAATCTATACTTACATTTTTACTCGTTTGCGTTTGTTCTTGAAATGTACAGATAATGTCACCTAATTTGATTTCGTCGTCATTGTGCAAAGCATAGCAAACATTCGGTTGCAGTTGAACCTAAAAGGATGAAAATATTTCTCCAAAATTTGAAAAGAATTATCGTACTTTGTTCTGAAATGTTTTATTACTACTACCAAGATCAGTAATGAAGTATTGTCCATTACTAAAAGTTACTTTTGCGTGTTGTTTAGACAGCGACTAAGGAAAAAAACAATTAAATAAATGTATTAAGTTTTTTTCATAGAATTCCTTACTGGAGCTGAAATAACTAAATCTGATGGACTAGATCTGCCAATAATTGTTTCTTCTACAGAGAAAAGAAGATAGAGCTGTTGTTTTTATAGTTGAGATACTTACTTCCTATTTGATAGGTATTGGAATCCGCACCGCTGATAATTTTCAGTGAGGCTTCCTAGATAGAGAAAATTTCGTACGAAATTCAACGAAAAAGAATACACGTACGGTATCAACTATTGAGGAGTCATGTGAAAGACTTTCATCTGCCGGAATAATTTGCGTATTATCAAGATCTGTCATATTGGTTTCTTTTCAAGAATTATTAGATTTGATTAGAATGATTTTTCGCTACAAATGAATGTAATGTCTGTACTTTACAATTCTGGTCTTTGTTTAATGCAATTCGTGACATCTATTCTTTGTCTTTTGTAAAATTCCTAAAAAAACACTAAATTTCTCCTTTGAAATTAATTTGAAAATTTATCACTTGAAGAAACATTCATCACTTCATGTTCAAGTAGAATTCAACTAGTGCAATATAAGTGAGAATTAGCGCCATCTATAGATGGGATTAAAACTTCGATTGTTATAGTATGCGTTCCTCTTTGTCCCGTTCACGACGATAGAAAAGCCTTGAGTATACCACTCAGATTGAAGGAAATAATAAACAACTGCGTCACATGATTTGTTTTTCTCTTTCTTGCGTAAGATTATTTCTTCGTCGTACAAAGTTCTTTCGAGAAGAAATTTCCTATCATTAAACATAACATTCTTTTCAAATGATACCATGTATAAGTAACATGATCCTGCGCAATTTCGTTTCTTTCTTTCTTTTTCGTCTATTCAAATGACGCACTGTAGAAGAGTCTGCGAACATTCATTATTTATGAATAAGCAAATATTTGTTTAGGAGATATATTGATAAGTTGCTTCACACACCCAAAAAATATCGATTCTTTGCTCTCACGACTTCACTTCGTGCTATTCACATGCAGTCATGCGACTTTCAACCCATCACATTCTCCCTCTCCTTCCCCCCACCCTTTGTTTTTCTCGCGTCATATGGACTTAATTCACACAGGAGAAAAATATCAGTGTATATAAGGGGTGGCTGGTATCAGATAAAACATAACTGAAACACTCTTTGTCCTATTTTTAGACAAGAATCTGCGCATTCACGCCAGACTTAGAAGTGGCGGTTCCTATTTCTACGTATAATTCATTGTTGACTTGCGAACATGTCAACGGCCGATCAAAATCCGGTAAGTTCACGATAGATGATCTTCTTCGTTATCTTCCTCTCTATCTCTCTCCTCAATAGATTACTCAATATCGTCAAACAATAGTTATTGGTTCTGGTACAGCTGGTTTATCAGCGGCATACCAATTGTATCAATCCGGATGTAGATCCGTTTTAATTCTGGAAGGTTCCAATCGTATCGGTGGCCGCATCCTCACCGAATACTTGGACCAAAATTCCTCTAAGCCCTTAGAAATGGGCGCATGTTGGATGCATGGTTTACAAGAAAATCCTGTTTATGAATTAGCTCAACGCGAAAATTTCCCCTCCCACACTGGAACCATCTTGAATTTTGATATTGGTACATGTGTCGACGAAAACGGCACACAAATTTCCAGCGAATTACATCATGAAGTCGATCAATTCTTCGAAAGTCTGTTACAAGATACGCGTGATCTATTTGAATTTCAACAACAAAATAATACACAAATATCGTCCATCAGCATTCAAAAGGTTTTCCTGGAAAAATTCGAAAATTTTCTCAATCAAAATGGCGCTGATCAAGAAACACGTTGCCTGAAGCTCAAACTACTTCAACGAAGGTACAGTGCCACTTTCCGCAGCCCATCGTTATGACCAATCCTTTCCTTTCCTTATAGATTCGATCAAGAAACCGGCGAATGCGGATGTCAATCGATGGAACAAGTTTCATACGCTGAATTTGGCTCATACCAACGACCAAAAGGGCCTGACATGGAATTTCCATGTGGTTATTCAACATTGATTCGTTATTTACGTGCTCAAATACCACAAGACTGGATTGTATTCGAACAATTTGTTGAAAACATCGAATGGGACACCAACAATCAGGTGCGAATCACATGCGCAAATGGCAACATCTACGAGTGTGATCACGTTATCTGTACTATTCCATTAGCGGTTATGAAATGGAGTTACAAATCATTGTTCACTCCTGCATTACCAGGTAAATCAATGAAAATATTTCGTGATCATCGTAAACAAAAGTTATTTTAGTATGGAAAACCGAAGCCATCCAGAAGATGGATATGGGTACTGTCGATAAGATCTACCTGTTCTATGATCAATTGGATTTCTTCGATGGAGACTCGTTGGCTATTGTATATGATCGCGAACATGAAACATTGGATATAAAAAAAGAATGGTACAAGAAGATTTTCTTGTTTCAAAAGGTGTACGACAACGTTTTACTATGCTGGATAACGGGCGACGAAGCTATCTTCTGTGAACAATTGGATGAAACATACATCGGCGATGTCTTAACAAATTTATTTCGAAAATCATTGAAAAACAACGATATACCAACACCGAATAAGGTCGTTCGGTAAGTGAAAACAAAACCTTGATGCGCAACGATGCATTTCAATGATTTTCCTTCTTTCATAGAACACAATGGTTTTCCAATCCATGTTCCAAAGGTTCATATTCATATGTTCCTGTCGGTGCTTCATCTTGGCAACATATTCGCGATTTGGCCAAACCGCTGACCGTTCACAATAAGGTAGGCGTTCTTCCAAACGACGAAAACAAATCTCTTGTAAAAGAAGCTCGTAATCATATGTTTCTACTTGAAGTTCTTTTAGTAGTCTCTCAGAAGAGCAGAAACCGATTTATGGATAACACACGATGACGAGGCGAAGGTAGACGATATCTTGGGATGAATCATCCTTCTTAACCTAAGAATTGTTGAATACGCTTTTTGTTAATCGGTCTGTTGTTGTTTATTTATCTAGCTTCTGTTCCCATGATGACGATGAAGAAGACGAAAAAAGTCGTACTAGGTTTGATAAAACTTTCTTATTTAAAACTCTCTGCTCTTCATTCTCTTCTTCTTTCAATAACATCCCTATCATTTTTAGCCACGAGTATTTTTTGCGGGTGAACACACCCATACTCGGTATTATTCAACTGTAACGGGAGCTTTCATAACTGGTCGGACTCAAGCGCTACATGTCGCCCAAGAACTGATCATGAATAACGATACGGAAATGTTAGTCAAGGCTAACACTGATGATTTCACTAAAATTCAATGGAAACGCGAAGAGCCACCCTGACAAACCCCCGTATCAAATCGTCGTCTAGAGCCGATGACGGCGATTCAAGACGGTACTGGTCAAGCACCATCGATACCAACGGCGATTCAAGATGTTGCCCAAAAGCCAGCCTGTGGTTTGACAACAAAAATCTTCTCGTCTGTTACTCGATTGGTTACGCAGACCGTCTATTATATGAAACAACTTTCAATCAACATGATTATTTAACTTTCGCTTTTTTTTCTCTCTCTCTCTTTAGCATGCTCGTATATCTAACTTTGTGCTTAATAGTGCGCGTACTCGCTGTCTTTATTCGTCTGTGTTGTATCGTGTTCATTTAATCATACGCTTGCTCCTCCTTCATTTAATATTTACTCAATAAAAGAATCATTTAATCATGAATTAAAATACGAAATTTATTTTACGAAAAATAAATCAAACAAAGTTCGGAGGAAATAGAGTAGAAGAATAAACATCAGTTGTATCGATTGATTGCATAATTTCGTCAGCTAAATCAAGTTGAATTGAACCAAAGATCTCTTCGGGATTCTTATCGTTGAAATAAATTTGATTGATAAATGCCAATTGTATTTGACTCTCTAAATGAAATGATGAGATTCTTTTTCTTTAATCACTACTTTTTCTCAAATCTTACTTCGTGCCCAACGTGGAATTTTCTTCTTTCGTCTATGGGAGAAAGATAAGTCCGTCTCGTTCATTTGATCATCGTGAAATATTGTCATGTCATAGTTATTCGTTGAGTTCGCTTTAAAACTACATTCTATTATTGGATTGACTTCTCGAACAAAATTTGATCTAGATCAATAGAAAAAAAAGCATGTAAAAAAGACGAAATGATAAGGACTGAAAATAAACGCACCCGTTAAGACGTTGAAATCGGACATTGTTTTGCGTATTGGAACATTGTGTAGGCGCACGAGATCGGCTGATATGCGTAGATTTTTTTAATAATTGACGACGTAATAAACTTTTTAATGACAGCGTTGGCTGCTGAGTGTGAGTTACGATGGATGAATTTGATGGACGTAAGCACTAGAAGATATTTCGACGTTAGAAATTGAGTTTGTATAGGAGAATTGACCTACTGAAGTGCAGAAAGCCATGATGCAAGAGATATGTAACTGAATGACTGAGTGCTTTTCTTTATATTGTGTCAATCTTATTTAGTGAAAACAGATAATACTGTTTCAATTAGGAATTGAATCAAAGAATTGTACCGAAAGTAGGATTGATTGAACGGAAAGTCAATTAAGTACTCTCTCTTTTTTCTTTGCGTCGTTCAATTAGACGAACATGTTCTTGCCAATGTCGTCTCTAATTGATTCCTATCACAATATACTCGTTATTCAACACTGTTTTGCTTTTTTACTCACAGATGGTTCCTTTCTCAAGAATATTTGCGTTTGTTTGCGAGTAAAATCAAGTGATATATAATCTATGCTTGTGGATATGTTTCAAACTGTCTTGATTTTTATGTACGGTATCGAAATCATACAAAAAAAAAGAGCGAAGAAAAAGAAGAAGAAGAAGAAGAGGAAGAAATAAACGAAAACACCATACTTAGCTTGTATACAACAAAAAAATGATGAACACAGAAATCTTTGTTTTTAGTTAAGAAGGCTTTTTTCCTTATAAAAATCTGTATAGTACATATATGAATATTAATATACAGAAAATCAATGAATCTGACCGGTTGAATTAGTTGGTATTTATATTTATAGAAATAAAAACGTTTGAACACTTGATGAATACAGAAGACACGAAGAAGACTAGGTTTATTGTTTATTTCTTATATGTATAAATATATATATATATTTGTATGTGAGTGCATTTCTTTTCGAATGACGAAAGACAATCGGGTAAGCACGTCAGAGAATTGTCTATCATTTCCATATTTTCACAACCGCATCACATGAAACTGTTACTAAATACGGTGTACGTTCCTTCGACATCACTAATTGCATTGATGTAACAGTGTCCGTATGCGCCGGGGGGATATTGGCACTTGATTTAGTTGATCTAAACTCGGTAGTTGTTGTCGTTGGTGACATTGATGAAGCACTTGCTGCTGCAGCTGCTACCGGCGGTGATGATGTGTGTCTTCGCTTGTGATATTCTTCAACGGTTACGTCAACACCATCGATGACTTTTGATTGATAACGTGCTGTTAAAGCATCATCGTCTGCTGGTCCTCGACAGACAATGTAGGATTGAAATGCTTGGGTTAAATTCCAGTTTCTAATACGCATATCTGTTCCTGCGCAGAGCAATGATGTCGAACTATCGTTTTTCCAGAGAAACATTGCTGCGATGTAGTGATTGAGTGACTAAAGAAAGCATTTACTCGATTATTGGAAGTATTTTCTAGTACAAAGACATACTTGTGTTAATGAAAGTGGTGCTGTTGGTGATGGCCAAAAGACTTTTTGACGAATTTGTGGTTTATCAATATTCCATATCGCTACCTCATTGTTACCTTGAAATGAACTGATTAAACTGCTGGGTTGATCTTGATGGCGAAGAAGTGAAATCACACGCGCACCTAAAACAGCATGAGTTATCCGATTGGTAATTCAAATTTGCTTTCTCTTGTCTTACCTGTTGGATGCCGCATGCCTTGTATACATAATTGAAAACGCATATCCCATATATCGATAAATCCACTGCCGGTACCAACAGCTAACCAAGATTGAAGCTCATCAATTTCAAATGCGGTTATCAAGCCTAAATTGAGTTGAGTAAAATAACAGAAGAAAGAACATTAGTTTCAGTTTATATTACGATGATTTAGATCGTTTTTAAATCGAAAAATAGGTGATGAACATCGAGTATCAATACCAATAATCAATCCTTGCGATGTGGCTAATGCGAGAATATCTTGTGAGCCAGTGTTGAAGTATTTTAAATCGATGGGCACGCCAACATCTTTGACATCCAAGTTTAAGTTATAAAATGATTCCTGAATATCTGTAGCTCCTGCGCCAAGACTAGATCATACCAATAAAGTTTCTTTTAGTTAATAAAAGATCGATTTTTACTTACTCGAAGATATTCAATTGGCCATTTTCACGCAACGCAGCCAAATTCGAATTATCCGATGTAAATGCTAATCCACGAACGGAAGATGCTACGGCGAAAAGTAAGAAGTCGATTTCATCAATCTCATATTGCATACAACTGATGACCTACATGTTCCACGAATGGCTCTTGACGGCCGGAAGATTAATGATTTCTGAAATTGATTGATGTCCCACAATCGAATCGCTCCTTTGGAATCGCCAGTAGCAAAATATTGTGTATAATACGTAGCTGACGGTGAAACCAGAGTTGATGTTAGTCTAAATCAAACAATCGATTGAGTCTGTTCACCGATCGTTATTGAAATCATACTTCGTAATCTTGCCGTTGTGTAAATGAACGTGAGCAAGAAGGGTACCTTGCGGGGTCCAGAGTTTTTGATCAGATATTTCAAAAACATTTGTTGGCACACTATGTTTGAGTAATTTCGCTCGTTGACAATCCTCTCGATAGATAGCTTGATGTTTCAATACTAGATTATTTTGTTCGGTTAAACATTGTAAACGAAGACCTTGAAAGAAAGATATTGAGTATCGTCTACGAACGAAGAAACGGATGTCCAACCTGTTCGCAATGTTTTCGTCATTGGTTCAACAAAATACTGTTGTCGATGTTGCGTGATATTTTCTGTTGAAGGTAATTGATACTGAACCGTATCAACCAGCATTGCCTCATCGGTATTTTCTTGAATTGTCTTCTCGTTTGAGCTTGGAGGAATGTTCTCTTGTTGATTAGGTACTTGCATTGGTGGTGCTCCAAACATTTCCGACCAATCGGACTAAAAATAGAGACGAACGATGAAAGAATACCTTTGGAGGATGCGAAACTTACACCCTCATTATTCAGATTTCTAGCAGAATAGTTCTCCATGTTAGTTCGATTGATATTCAGACTTAGGTCATGTCGACGTCCGGGAGGTATTTTGATATTTATTGTGCCTGGTCGATCTGTCATTTCGGTTTGTACACTTGCACTAAATAAAAACCATTGATTATCCTTCGAGAATAACTCAGTTCGAGTATTTGTTACCTTATTTTATACTGTGGTGCTTGTTTAACAAAGAATTTCAAAGCTAAAATTTTATTTTCATCCTCTTCTTTCATTCCTAACTCGATCAGTTTATCAAACGCCTAAAAAAGAATCATATCCGACATTCAGTCAGTTTCAACGGAAGAAAGTGTAATAATTCATACATCACGAACGAAAAGATCCGTCGGTTCAGTATACGCCGGTTTTAGGCCTGTACCAGTCATTTGTCGAACATTAGATCGGTCCGTTAAATGTCGAAATAGATTTTCATTCGGCTGAATTTGTTGGATATACTCAAATAAATCACGTGACAATGGTTCGATCAAAGCATTATACAGAATATCCTAAGCAAATGTTCATATTTCAAATCTAATAGAGAAAAAAAACACGACATACGGGATTTCCCACTTGAACAATTGGAAATTTAAAAAATTTCTCAATCACCGGAATTACAAATCCATGTACATCAGCTAGATGGGACTTTTCGCAGATACTATTGATAAATTCGATAACACTCAGTCGGAGCCAAAGATTCTAAGCGAGATTTAATAGTGAATGATTAACTAGACAAGAATCGTACCGGGTGACAAACAAGTGGCGCAACTTGTCGAAGAAAATCATAAATGGTCTTTCGCTTCAACAATGACAACCGAACAAAACATGCCAACGCTTTTAATACTCGATGAACAACAAATTCCTCTTCATCAGTTAATCCCTTCAAGAAAATTCGTGAAGAATTGTTCATCAAACAAAGTCCTTTCTCACTTGAGTTAACAATGGCTGGATAAATACTTCACTTTCCAGTCCAATATACGAAGCAACTGTGACCAAACTATCGAATAGTGTCGCACGTAGACGCCAATTCGGTTGACTCAGCAACGTAGTCAAATGCCCACAAATAATTTCGATTGCTAAACGATACGAACATTTACTACCGCGAAAAGTTTCTTTCCCTTGGAATTTACTTTTTCGTTTGCCAAAAAATGTGCATAATCGTATAAGATCCGATCGGCATACCGCTTCTGCTAATTGCCCATTTTGATCTTCGTTGTCACCATGTATAAGATCACCGAATTTACCCTGCATCCATGTTTGAACACTCTTCAATTCTTCCTCATAAAGTTTCTAGCAAATTTATACAACGAAAATCATGTATTTCGATTCGAAAACACAGTGTCTACTTACGAAATAATCGTTGTTTATTGTATGATTTCGTTCTTCGATTAAATACGTTTTTTCTAGAAATCTATTCGAACGGAAAGAGAGAAGTGAAGCAGATGATCCATTGTTGCTCCTACCGTAGTGAGTGCTCAGCTAGGACTGAGAGATATTTCGCTAGATTTGACCGAACATAGCAATCCTCTTGGACATACGGCGTTGACTAAACGAATAAAAGCAAAGTTCATTACCAATAAAATGAAATGTTTCAGTGAAGTTCATACTAAAGTTGGAAAGAGATATTCGCTAAAAAGATCGGCATTTTCTTGATTGATATTCTTCACAGACGATATAGCAAAGACAAGTGTTCGTATCGCATCTGCTCGGACACGATGATAAGAATCATGTAGCATTGCGTTCTACATAATGAACGTCGAATAAACAATCATCAAATATCTGTATTTGCTTACCACATAAGGCAAAATTCGATCGAGAATAATCTGATCGTCAACCAATGGAATCATTAGACGTAAAAGTTCCAAAGCTACTAATCGAGAATGCAAATGCTAAAATTGATCAAATCAAGTGTAATATTTCGCTTCTTTTTTTCTCATCGAATCTTACTTTCAGTTTTCTCATACAAGACAAAGCCAAGGACAGAAGTATTAGTAGACACTGCGATGATTCGCCATGCTTTTCTTCATCAGTTTCCGTTTGATTTTCGTTGGTTTGACTCGCTTCCGTAAACAAACTACTCATAATGTGCGAAAAATCCCGGTGAAGTCTAAATACAAGTCGAATTTGCAAGAAATTCAAATCTCTGATGCAGAAATTTTCATACTTATAGATCACATAATCAGGTGAAAAATCTTTTAAAATTTTCTGTACATATGGCAGGAGAAATGTATGAAAACATGATGGAAATGCTTTGCCAGTTTGCTCTTGAAGGTATTGTTCAGCTGTCAGACGTTTCAATGGATCTCGATCGATCATACTCGCAATCATTGTCTAAAGACGAAACTTAGATCTCGAAATAAATTATCGTCGAAACCTTTACTCGTATGTCAACATCGGCGATTTTATTAACAATTGGCATCGGATCGTAACTATCATTTCGATAGTCAAGCATTTGGGTTAAAGTAAATAACGGTTGTTCAGTAAATAATTCTGTTAGGATACAACTGAAATAAAGGAAAGATTTTCAAAGTTTATCGTTGATTTTTGTTGTCGAAAAAATCTACCCGAGAGAGAAGATATCCATTGCCGGTGTACCCAATTTTCCGAAGCTAGTTGAAAATGTATCATTATTAATATCACTTCTAAATCTCGTCTGGTCGTAGAAACGTTCCGGAGCTAAGTAACATACATTTCGTTGTGATGCATTAAAATAATAGTAATATTCAGCCGGATCCTCCTGAAAAACAGATGTCATATCTTCGATTCCATATTCTCAACTTACATAAGCAAAAAATGTCGGTTTAAAGTTTGCAAAGTCACTCAACAAGATCCAGTTGTAACTTGTTAGTAGAATATTTTCGATCTTTAAATCACCATGCGTGATGTTCTCATGATGAATGTGTTTCAACGCAATCAACAATTGATATGCGATCCATTTCTTCTCAATTCGAGTCAGATACGGCCGAGTTTGCAAACGATAAAATAGATTGTCTTTGATGTAGGGGCGTGTTAAGATTATTGAACGATCGTTTTTCTAAGCGAACATTGAAAAAAATTGAATGAGGGCTTGTTTAGAAGAGAGAGAGAGAACCTACAGTAACGATTTGAAATGGTAAACAATTTTTCAGTGGTGATGGTGCGACTTCTTTTTCATGAAGTATTGAGTAGATTTCTAAATGATCTATATGGAGATTGTGTTTCGAAAAGATGAGAAATACTTTGTATTTGCGCTTTGTATTGATCATATGGAAGAGATTGATCAACAATCTGGAAGATTTTTATGACACAATAACCATTTCTATAGAGAAGGATGAGTTTTTTGGAAAGGATTTTTTCATTTCTTTACCTGGTTTTTGCTTTCGCTACTTTTAAAAATCGAGTAACACCCAAACTACAAGAAAAAACGACATGATAAACATGAAAACTCATTAGGTTTTCTCTGCATACTTTTTAACATAGTCGTATCCACTTAAATCATTAAAGTAGGTTTCGACGTTAAGAATCTGATTAGGTATATGTGCAATTTGATTTCCCATCAAGAAATACTCATCATCTAGAATAAAGATCATGTAGGAAAATAAACGATTCCTAGGATCCAATATCTCAGTTGTAATAATAATATAAAAAGATATTTTACTAAAAAAAAACCAACAAAAATAATTTGAATTATTCTTTGCCGTGTCTCAACGTTGATCGTTGACATCCTAAAACAAGACAATATCCATCTGGCTTCCACAGTTTTCTTCATTTTACCTTAGGTACGACGAACACCCAATCTTTCATACGTGGCTCCACGATGATTTGACAAGCGAGGCGAGATGTCGGTGTTAAGCCGAAAGCCAAGTCTAACATATCATTTTCTTCTTCGACAGGTTCGGGCAAAGTCTTGTAGTTTTCACTATCGAGTATCACATGGCACGTTGAACAAGCGAGTGTGCCTTCGCATGCACCAAATCCGTCAATATCGATCTTATTATCAAGAATCACATCGAGCATGTTGGAACCGACTTTAGCTTTGGCGTCGATTGGCTTTTGGTCGCGATCGATAACTTTAACGTTAACAAATTGATTTGCATTGGATGAGTATCTTTGGAATACGAAATTTGGGTTGAAAACTGTTCGGGTGATTAAACTAAGGAGATTTCGTCTCATCTGAAACAAAAACAAAGCTTTTCAAGAGAAATTTTCTCATTAAAACAAATCAGTGTGTTCGGTAGAGGGCGGGGGAATGTCTTCATCTTGTTTAATCGGTTTTAAAAAGAAATGTTCATTCGATTTTTTAATTTCTTTCGCCTGTTCACTGATTTCCGACGAACGATTATCGTGAATCATTTCATCAATATTAAATTGAAGAACTTTTTGTAGATTTTCATGTTCAGTTATACATGTCGAATACCGAGAATTGCCGAATAAAATCTGAAGAAATCTTAGAATTTCACGTTTCAATCCACTGGACTTTGTACGCGGACCAAGGTTGACGATTGGTTCGATGATTGATACGATATCCGAAGAATTTAACGTGGAACTGTTTTGTAGAATTTGATTGACAGTTTGAGTAACAATTAGTTGAAGTTGCCAATTTGAATGGAAAATGATTTCAACGAGAAGATCGAATGTCGCTTTTTTGTATTGAATTTCAATTTCATGTGTTTTAGGCCAAAAACGTGGTAAACACTCGATCAATGTTCGTTTATATGCATCTGAGAGACCAGGATCCTCATCCTCATCATTATCTTCCATTTCTTCATTTGGATCCTAAAGAAAATAACTTCAATACTACTTTGTTCCTCAGATTGAACAATTCGCTTACCGGCTGTTTCAGCGCCTTTTCAAACCAAGTCCAGAAGAGTTCGTAAGCTTGAAAATGATACTGATCAGCAAGTAACGACAAAACCCGTATGGCGACCGATCGATATGTCAATGATTCTTTTTTGCATTCCTTAAGAATTTGTTCATAAATACGTCGAATAAGGTCAGGTAAAGTTTTGAATCCATCCCTAAAGAGAAGGTTTAATCACATTTGATCCGCTGTTCACACCAAATTGCATTGTGATCAAATAAATCAAAACGTCATATAATGATGACAATACAAATTTCACAACTGTATGAAAGAATGATGTAATCAATGTGTTATGTGATTAGAGCATATTGCATAGAGTGATTCAAAGACAAGGTACGTTTATGTTTTCAAATGAAATTAATCACTGGTAACGTTTTGGAACTTCGATATTACAGTACGAGAAAGAAATATACTTAAAAATAACTTTTGAGGAATATGTGTGATTGGAGAACTTACTTGCAATGTGTACAAATGGTTTCGATCGCACGTAGAAAACATTCCTAACACAAAACGAACACGTAACTGCAGTTCTTTTTCGAGAATAAGACAATCTTACTTTTCCTTCATAAACACGTCCGTAGAGTCCTTTCAAAAGATATTCTACTAGAATATTTAGACTCTCTTGATCTAAATTGTTCTTCAATGTTTCTCCAATCATTTGTATTGCTCGTGCACCTTTAATTTTCATTCCGTATGAACTATGTTCGATTGCTAATCGAATATTTTCAATAATTCCTTTCATATACATTTGTATGCCTGTTATTGAACTTCCCGTATGTTCGATCCATAAACTTTTCCAAATTGATTCTTCTTGTTGTTCATCTTCGACTTTATTCACGAAACTTTTCTCTTGCATAGCTAAATAAATCAGTGGCAAAATCTGCTGTCCATATTCCATCAGCAAATCGTGATTCGATTGGGATATCGAATTCAATGTCAATGCGCAAACATATTGATAATCACCATCGGCTTGATAATACCACGTGGAAATTTTCTGGAGAAGATTTTCAATTGACGAATGTTTCGCGATTCGAACAATAGTTCCCAATACACTGGTGTATGTTTTTCTCAATGTACGGTTCGAATTCGCGCTCATAGTGTTTACTAACACAGCCATCCATTTTCCAACATATTTCGAGCAGTTTGTCGGATAGATATTTGCCAGTGTAATGAAATATTGTCCAATAAGACATTTAGTTGTCAGTCCAATCGAGTGTTTGATAGCTTCGATTAGTTTTGCAGAAAGTTCATCGAGAATGTCTTCGTCAACGTATTGATTCGTACACGTATTGATCGCATCCATAAGTGGCGATGAACGTGCGCACAGCAAACGTGCAACGTCGATTTGTTCTTTCATTTCAGCAGCAGACAGTTTCATTGATGCATAGTTGAATATATCCGGCTCAATCGATGATAATGCTTCGAACAGGGCAATGATTATCACGGTACAGTATGGCTTCAACGTCTCACGGTTACCATAGCGAATGATCTCAACTAGAAAACAAACATTCATTCAAACTTAATTCAATTTCTGATTGGCATGTGCGTAAATATTTACGAGAACGTCTGATAGCACTCGTCACTGTGATAAGAATGTTATCTCTCATAAGCAAGTGTGCGAAGACACCCCCACGTTTCAATGAATATTCCTTTGACTTACTAATTGTATTTAATGAGAATTTGGCAATGTCTTCGTTCTTGTTGTAGAGTCCATCGTTGAGGAGTACTGGTAGAACTTGTTCAAGTACATATCTGCCACGAGCTTTGTGTTCTGATTCGTTCATTCTAAAAACCGAAAGCGCAGTTGAATTCTTTTACGAATCTGAAAACTTACGAATTCGATATTGTTGTCGCGGGATCACAAGCTAACAATAAACAATTCTGTTTAAAAGAATTGATTGATGTTAACGCTGCTTTTCTCACGGATTCTTTCGTATCATCACAAACAGCTAATAATCTTCGAAATAGTTCTTGAAACAATTCGATATATTGCTGATTATCAATTAATTTTCTGTTCAACATGCGAAATATGTCCAGGAAAGCCAGTTGAATGCTTTCTCGTATTCGCCATCGTGATGATAACATATCAGTGTACAGTTCATGAAAAATTAATGAGAAATACTTTTCAACAATTAAAATTTGCTTGGTCGAAGCGAATAATTTCTTCCATATTCGTTCGATACATTGCTGAATGCGAACTTGTGGATCGTAAAGCAGACGATACAATCGTGAAATCAATTGCTCTATGTAAATTAAGATGAATTCAATCGATTTCTTTTCATAATTATCTAAATGAAACAATTGGCCGTAGCGTGTTGTTGACCAAATCGAATTCTCGTGTGCCAAATAGAGAAACGAATAAAATAACTGAGATTTCTCATTCTTTCCAATGTTTAATAAGTCCACTAATGAGCACAGCTCTTTGTAGAGAGCAATTTGAGCATTGTCAATCGTTGTTTGTTGTACATTATGTTCGTACGCGATTGTTGTCTGTTGACTGGCAAATGAACGTGTACTGTCGGTGAAATGTTCGAATAATTTCGCATTGAATTTCAATTTTATATCTTCATCTTCGAGAATTTCGTACATGTAAATCAAACATTTACACCCTAATTCTTGATTTAGTTCATCCTGATCCAATAATCCATAGATAAGATTTGTCTGTAAATGAAATAATTTGGATTCGAATAAAGTTCGATACGTCTGTTGTAAATAAGGACGACGGCAATGGATGAGAAATGTTAATAACCAAATAAGTGCCGCTTGTCGACTATGAGGATTGTCGACATCCGAGGAATAATGAAGAATACGTTCAAGAAGGTATTTAATCAACTGATGACGTAGTTCGTGTTCATTGGGAGTTAGCTGATAAGAAGAAGATTGTGGTTTGCAGTCAAGTATAAGATAGGGATCATCAACCAATGGTGTATCAACACTGAGAAGGCAGCAAATAAGAGCATCACCTGTGACATAGAAACAAAAAGATAAGAAAAGAATTTTCTTGTTTTGTTTTATTCGCTACCTATGTTTAACTGAAGTTCGATTTGTTTGGTATCAACAAGCGATTGAGTTAAGATCTCAATGATACTTTCACTCTGTTCACGATAACAAACAGCGAGAAATCCCAACGTTTGAATAGCCTTTTCTTTCAAACGATTCGTTTCATTGATCGTCCGAATCTTGGTTTTGACTTTCTCAATGAACAGTTTCAGTTGACTTTCATCACGAGAAGTAAAACACTTCATTCGTGCTAGCTGACCAATGGAGGTTAACAAAGCTAAACTATACTCATTGAAGTTCTCGAAGAACATTCGTAATAAGATGTCTTTTCCATGGTTGATGTATTCATTCGAGTCACGAAGGTATGAACACACATAACCGAGAACAAGAATACTTGCTTCACGTTGTTCGAAACGCTGATTAGCATTCGGAATGATTTTGATCAATTCATCAATGGCTGGAAGATTGTCTGGTTTCTTCGAGAGAACATAGGCGTAAAGTATCGAAGCGTAACGTCGTGTGTCATCACGGGTGGAGAAAAGAGATAATTGTCGGAACGAACTAAGATTATCGCGTATCAATATTTGAATGTCCGAATCGTTCAAATGGTGACCAATAAGAATCGCTTCCAGTAAGAAATATGTCGATAAACAATTATGCACAACAAGAACGAAATCAAGCAGAAATTGAATGTAATTATACCAAATCTTTGGATTTTGTTGGGCCACTTGTACAATCTGTACAAGTTGCTCTTCATACTTCCATAAAGGTGTGTTCTTTTCGCCATTAAAACTCTGTCGAATTAAACAGCGATGTAGGTAATAGATCATTTCTTGATATGTCTGAGGATGATAAACTAATGATTGTTTACCCATTGGATAATCTCCGTGTGCGTTGGAAAGAATTAGTTTTAACAATGATTGAAACTCGGGATAATTCTCGTCTTGATCTACGAATAGATTTCGGTTCGCTAGCGAGCGTATGTCTTCATTTCGATCTGAACACGCTGTTAGGAGAATGAAACGTGATGTACAATCATTCGATGGGAACACGTTCATTACGTATGAGACAGCAGCTTGGCGACAGTTGGGATAATCAACGGGTATTGCATCGGACGACGGATTCGGAATGACTTGTTGAGTCAATAATTGTTGAAGCATGTGTTTACTAGCTATGCTAGCATCTTTTTGAGAGTAAGCCAGTAAACTAGAGTACAAGATTACAGCGATGCAAATTTAATGATACGGAGCTTACGTTAAAGCTTCTTGAATATTCAAACAGCACTCATTGTCTTCGGTTTTCAACGCTTCAAAAAATTGTTGAGTTAATCGAATATCCTCGGCGAATAATTTGGGCACTCGATATGACAATTTACCAATTAAAACATAAGTTAAACTTCTTAAACGGGATGCGTCGTGTGTTTTATGTGTTTCGGTGTTGAGAACTTTTTCCAAAGCATGTAGCAACAATTTTGATACAGCAGTTAGTTGATCGGATTCTGCACTAGAAAATGAATTGCCGAGTAGGACAAGTTTTTCGTCAGACTTTAAACAAACTTTTGAATAATATTCTGGGCAAATTGTAAAGAAAAGTATTTGATACGAGCATTTGTTGAATTGCCGAAAAGGCTCTCATACAGAATCTATGAAAAATGAATTCCCAAACTACTCTTTAACCGGATAATTCGTTTACTTGAATTGAGTGTGGAAAAATCGTGCTAGCTGTGCGTGATTTCAACAGATACGGATAAAGTTTTAATCGAATTCGTGTGTTTGATGGATTACGAATCAATTCTTCATTCTATATATTTAACTAAAGATTATCATATCACATCCGATGTTAAAATCTCACATGTTCTCCTTGTTGTTTCACTGTTTTCGATGTTCCTAAGAAGAATTCGAATAAACTTCGAACATGCGTCATCAGATTCCAATCAACAGCTACGGTTAATCGTTTAATATCATGTTCAGCTGCGAGAACGACACTAAACGACATCACCAAGATTTGTTAAGAAGTTCACTTAGGCATACCTACGAGTATCTTGCATCAGCTGTCGATAGAACGAAATGAAAGATAATTTCATTCTCTGAATAGATATTTCCATTGAGAAATTTTAAAATGCCAACTTTAAGCTAAATTGACCATCGGAAAATTCTTCCTTGGAGGGAAAACTAGGATATTTACCTTTTCGACTTCATCTAAATCATCTGTTTGTATGGCTTCGATGATTCGATTGTACAATGATTCGTTCAGACATGGAAATGGCTGTTTGAATGCTTCGGTTTCTTTGCTTGGCGCATCTTCCATGGTAGAGAAAAGAATTTCGTCAACGGGCGCTTGAGATGGTTCCACATAGGATTGCTGTGTTGAAGGAATAGTGCGAGATTTAGTTTCATCAAACTTGTAAGATAGAAGAAGCACGTTTAGAAGAAAATTAAGAAATAAATGTCGAATTGTCGGTTGATCAACGAGACCGTATTTAACAATATTCTCCTGCATATTTGGAATAATTCGAACGTGTTGTAAAGCGTAAACAATAAGACCCATGAGAAGTTCTTGATGTGGAGTTGTTCGATTTGGTAAAGATTGAAACAGAAGTGGAATAAGTTCCACTTGAATATTAGATTTTAAGCGCATAAAACCCATTTTAATGTACATTATCGAAAAATTCTACGAAAGATAAGGAGAATCGAGCCTTATTCTAATGAAATATCAAAATTTCCTTACTGAAGAAAACGGTGAGCAGTGTGTTGAGGTGGTAAAAATTTCAAGAAGACTTCTCACCGGGATTTGAATTTCTGGACGAGATTTGACTCGTTTGTTCACATGAATGAATATTTCGAGTGCCTAAACAAAAGGTGAGCGACATCGTCAAGATGCTCATCACTCACTTTTTTTCTAAAATCATCCGTTCGTATTTCAATGCTACGGATAAGCACCGGAATAAATGTTTTGATCAATTCTTGGAATTGGTAGTCATCCCCACAGGAGATCAATTGGATGAAATGGCGATTTAGTGTGGCTAAAAAACCAAAATGCGAATTTTTTCCTGAATTTTAAATCGAAATTTAGTTTTACTTGAGTCAAGTGGGTACACGACTTCGTCAGTCATTGTTTTCCCAACGAAAATTTTATTTTGTACTTATAATAAGAAATAGTATGACCGGATTTATATCGCGTGTTTATGATTCATCGCAGTTGCCTGTCAACCAATGAAAATCGAGCATGACGATCGATGTCTTTTTGTCGAAATTTTCCTCCTTGAATTTCTTTCTTATCGTCAAGGGAAAATTTTTATAAAGTCGAAAATAATTTTTTTTGAATTATAACGAAAATTTTTCTGTTGCCTTTTCTTCCCATTGGCTCTCCACTGAAAGAACGTCAATAATAATAAATAAGCAAGAGAAGACATTTTTCATTTTCATCATCGTGTTTTCTTTGTATCTCATGTCAAATTGTCCGATTTAGATATGTCGCATCGTGATAATAAAGACCGTCGAACGTTGTATTGTGGAAATTTGCACGAACATGTCACGGAGGAAATGCTCTTCGAACTGTTTCTTCAAGTACGAATCAATTACTTTGATATTACAATTCCATCCTGCGTTTTTTGCCTTTCAGAGTGGTCCCTTAGAAGCAGTAACAATCAAACGTGATGGACGACGATCATTTGCTTTTATCACTTTCAAACATGAAGAATCAGTTCCATATGCTGAAGCTATCATGGAAAATGTTTCGTTATTTAATCGCCCATTACGTCTAGCAGCTCGTTCTGCAAATAAAGACTTTAATAATAATCCAAATGAACCTTACACACCAGAACTCTACGTGAACGATTCATTACTACATCGTTCCGCAGCTCCTTGGCATTCATCACAGCAACAGCAACAGCAGCAACCATTACCAGTCCCATTGTTCTCTAATAATCATGATAGTAATAACTATCCAGCTCAGTCACAGTTTTCTTATGAGGATCGAATGCCTCCACAAAGATTTGACCGTCGAAAACAACACTCGTATCATCCATATAATAGAAACGATCAAGATCATTCCCATATGAAGCAACGTAATGGAAATTATAACCAACAACGTAGAGGAGGAGGAGGATACAATAATTACTACCGTTAGAAAGTTTCAAATAAGATATATACATATTCCTGTTCGTCAGTATCTCATGTTTAACTTTGTATGTACATATGGATTTATCTATTTCTGTTTTTTCCTTGTCTTGTGAAAAGAATTCGTATTTTTTCTGTCGAACGATATGGATTGACAAGTCGGTTCTCAGAAACAAAATGCGAAGAAGAGAAACAGACGAACTGGGAGAAAAACGTAGATGCATAGACATGAAGGAGAATATTGATGATCCTTTACGTTTGTTTGAAAACAAAAAAATTGCTTTATTTAGTTTGTTTTTCAGATTTCCATGACGAAAATTTGAAATTACTTTTAGATAAGACATGGCCGCATTAATCGTTGATGGATGTGTAAATATCGAACGAGAAAAAGCAAATCTGCTTTGCTTAATCAAGTAATGTTGTTTATACTGTATTGAAAATGTGAAGAAATCAGATATTTTATTAGATTGACGTTGAATACATTGATTGATCAATCTTCATCAACACCAATCGCGCCCGCGCTCGACGATCGAAGTAGAGATGTAACTAATTTTATTCTCGTACTCGAGCGCATTCTTAGTTTTCGTATGCGAGGTAAAACAAAACAGATTTTCTCCATCAGCAAAGAGTTTCATATCCAGTTCTATAGGAAGTTGGTTAACTAGTCGATCATATTTCTGGGATTTTATTCGGCCGGCATGTATTGGTTCTTGTCGCCAGTCAAGTGAGACCACATTCAAGTGTTTCATTGCTAATAATCCACGTCTACCTTTCAGTTATTGAGCGAGTGGAAGAAGTATCGAACTCCCGATGTGCAAGGGACAAGGTACGATAATTGTAATATCCATTCCATTTTCCATATCTTGCTCGCTTTTAGGGTCGAGCATGGCTTAAATTTGCTTTAATGGAAAAGAAATTATCTGAACTTTTAAAATTAGTCATATCCGATTGTCATCTTGTCCGGTATGATTCTCATCAACTTCATCGAAGCACACACTGCCTTTGATTTCGTTTAGAAAATACTATCACGATGATTCGATTATGACTTCATCTCAAGCGTTTATTATATGTGATCAATTAGCGGCTTTGAATACACTAGATTTCAGTTTTTGTTTCAAACAAGACGGCCCGATTATTGCGCCAATCATGATGAATGATTCCGAAATTGATGTCATCGATCTGACGCCATTTCTATCTTATAAACCCAAACAGTAAAACTAGGATATTTAAATTGTTTTGCATACGATAGTTTGATTGCTCATTTAGAATGAAGCCATTATTCACGGGTCAGATTAGTAATGAAGAAAATAAGCAACCATCGTCGATGAATTCGGCAGATTGCGAGGTGATTGCGTTAGAGAAACACAAACTCGAAGTTGAACAGAGAGTAAGTCGGATGCTGATCGGTTTCGAATGACTTTTTCCGTTCTTTTAGAAATATTTTGAAGAGCTGCTCAGATATCGTGATCAAGAATTGCATCAATTAAAAGTTCGATATGAAACTCTGCAAGGTGAACGAGAAAGTGAAGTCCTACAGATGGAAAATATCATTCTTGAACTTCAACTCGAATTGTACGTATCCAATCACAAAACATTTCGATCTATTGTTCTCTTTATATAGACGAACTGCTCGAGATGAAGTCGAACTTCGCCGCAAGAAAACTCAGTATATTGGTTCGACCACCCCACCCAAAAATCTCTCGACATCAGACAGTCAAAAACCCACACCTGTCAATGATTCGTGAGTTTTGCTCAATGACAAGCCAAACGTATTTCTCCGTGATTCTATTTTTCAGTAGAACGATCTCCATTGAACTTGAAGAATCGATCAATAAAAGGTCGTCCGCTAGTTCGATCTATTCTTCATCCAATCGTTCCAGTCAATCGATCACTACCACCAATACTGATGATGATCAATATGAACTCGTTCGTAAACTTTCCTCGAATCTTCTCAATCCTCAGAACGATTTGGCCCCTGAAGTCAAATCCCTATCAAGTCCCGAAATGATTTCGTCAGTAACATCATTCAGCGATGAAGAAGATCAACAAAAGCAAGTACAAACACTAACTACAACTACTCCTGAAAAAGAAAATACAGCTCTCAACGGATCTAGTCAACACCTTCCTGCGAAAGTAACAGTTAAATAATTTCAGTCAATGTCGAAAATGATGAAAACAACATTTGAAAAGTTTCTTTTTATTCCATTTTTATTATCAGACATCTTTCATCTTTTTATCAATGGTTTTTATTCGCTTAGCGTTCGAAATCTTTGTAAATATAGTCGATTTGTACATATCAGTGGAGAGATCCTTCTTCGTATTATTTTAAAAGCTGATTTATAATGCGACAAAGTAATTACTTATTGCTTTCTGTTTCTTTAATTCTGATTGATTTTGTCTCATATAAAATTCATGTCTGATGTTGATAACGAAATTTAGCCTTTATTTTTGTTGTAAAGGTTCATCGAAGCGTAAAAAGGCTACCTAGATATCGTCAAATTTGTTTATCTTTGTGAGTACGAGCGAGAAAAAAAAACAAGATAAACCTATTTTTTAAAACAAATAGTCGATGATGCGTGCAAGTCATATAAATAGAGGCCTTTTCCGGACCCAGTTTAGTAGAGCAAAAAACCATGTCTACATCATTCGAAACGATTGATACAGCAAACCGTCAGTTTGAGCAGCTTTTCAATAGTGGAAAAATCGGTGAATTAGCCGACCTTTATACACCGAATGGACGACTGTTTCCTGCAGACAAAAATAAATATGAAGGACGCGAACATATCAAACAATTTTGGCAAGGTGCGCGCGATGTCGGTGTTGATCATCTTTGTCTTACAACAGGCACTGTAATCGAGGCTGGACATGATCGATTGATTGAAACCAGCTCTTATCAACATTCACTTGGCCAAGGAAATTATCAGGTCGTTTGGAAACGTATTGCTGAAGGAAAAAATGAGTGGCAATTAGAAACGGATATTTTCAATTAATCAATTCAAATAATAAAGACTTGAATTTTCTTTTATTTATAAAAGATGTGTCATTCAGAAATAAACGACAACTACACGACTAATGCCCTCAGCTCATTTTGTAGATTGTTGATCTCTTGAAAGATAGAAATGGAGTTCAGTGCAGATCTTATCGATGATCGTGTATGGCTTGGCGATTTCGATGCAATGACAAACACTATTGCTTTAGATAGACTCAATATCACTCATATTTTAAGCGTAATTAATTCAGATTTACCAACTGATGTGAATGATAAATATACTCGCAAACACGTTCGTGTTGAAGACGTTGAAACAACTGATTTACTAATTGAATTTGATGCCTGTTATGAATTCATATCCAGTGCATTGACTGAAAATGAAACAAACAATGTTCTTATTCATTGTCTTGCTGGTTCGTTCTATTATCTCATAAAGTTTCTATTCACCCGTACCATTTTAGGCGTCTCACGCAGTGCTACTATTGCATGCATGTGGCTCATGCGTCGATACAAGCTATCTGCTGATGTCGCACTGAAAAGTCTTACAGCTGCGCGCCCGGCCGTTCATCCAAACCTTAGTTTTGCTGCTCAGTTATATCTATTCGAACAAATGAACCATCAATTAGATGTGAATCATGATTTGTATAGAGAATTTCAATTTGAACGTGCGCGCGCTATTTATCTCGATCATGACACTGAAATGAATGGTGTTGACGCAAAGAATACTCTTCGTCAACAGTATCGTCAAACTTTTGCACTTCCACATGGTCACGCACAGTGCACAATTATCAAAACGTATCTATGTCGACAGTGTCACAAAGAATTATTCACTAATGCAGATGTGTCCCGGCACTCCAAAGGCATTGGGTTATTCGATTGGTTCATGAAATACGGAAGCGATCGATGCTTGAAGCTGCCGACGGACAAAGAATGCGAAGAAACCAGTTTTACCCATTGTCTGGAATGGCTAATGACTCAGATTGATACACCGGAAAATCGACATAGTAATTCGATAAAATGTCCCAGTTGTTCAACGATTGTTGGGCATTATGATCTAAACGGTTTGAAATGCTTCTGTGGCCGATGGGTTACACCAGGTTTTCTCTTCGATGTTAAACAAATCGAAGAAAAAGAATGTACACAACTTAATATCGAAACCACAAATAAATCATCGGTAGAAACATAAGTTCGTTGTTCGTAAAAATTTTATTGCAGAATAATCTGATCGACTAGCTCACCATTTTTAATAAATCACGCGTTGATATATTGTAAAACGTTTTTTCATGGGATCTTCGACTCTATTTCTTAGTAAGACTATATATCGACATTAAGGCTTTTTACAATTTCCAATAAAAATGTTATTTAACTCGTGTTCGCAAAATACATGACACATTGCTTTAATATATTCCACACTTAATAAAAACTTATAGCAATGAAAAGTACAACCTATGACTTTCTCTAATGGTACCTCTAGATACAGTTTACCACGAGCATTCATTTTGATACAAAACTGGTGGGGATACTATCTGCTCTTACGGCTAGAAAGGAGAGGAGAAGGACATAATGGTTAGTTCACACTCTGTAGATTCTAACTCCGGCTACAAGAAGCTAGTTTTCGTGACATACTGCCCTATCAGAAAGAGAAGACAATATTTTCATCTTTGAAATCTTCCATCACTGACGGAGATATCAATACTTCTATACCATTTTTAATACGGATACCAAGATTTCTCTTTGATGCACGCTTTCTGTATTACTCTGTATAGAGACTCTTTAATAAGTAAGGACGAAATATCATAAAACTGACTACTTTTCCCATATTTATTATCTTTTTTAACATGTCAGAAGAAAAATAGGTAAAACCAATGGTATTTAAGATAAATTATTGGATTTTTCAAAAACATTGGATTTACGTATAGGAGATACAGATCGAATCCGTCACGAAGATAAAATGAATTTATTTTTCATTTATGATGACGGTTGAAAAGTAATGTATGTTCAGTAAAAGATGGTATTGTAGTATTAAAATCACATACTGCATCACTGCTAGAAATAATATCAAAAGAGTAATAATTAAAATAATGAATGATAAACATACATTAAACTTCCATCAGCTGATTTCACTTGAAGATAGGATATACGAATATCATTAGCGTATGGTCCACCCAAATTAAATACTAAGATTAAAAAAGATTATATTTTTATGTAAAAATATACTATTAAATATCTGATTAACGAACAAGATTTTCCTTTATAGAAATAAATGATAGCATAGTCAATATTGTTGTAATCAATATCCGAACTAAATACATGCCGAAGGATATTACCACCTTTGATTTCCACATTTGATCTAATAAGAAATAGATACTTTTTATTTTGTATAGATTTCTTTTCCTTACTTGTGAGTCATGCTCAGATTTGTTAATAATTCGTAATTTGAATAAAGCGAAACATAAATTTCTCCAATTGTTTTCATCATATCTTCATTAAGTGAAAGTTCGATATAATAATGATGACCTATTCATATTTGAATAATAACATTAAGAATAATTTATTAGAGATTTTTCTTTTACCACAAAATGGTGAATTACTCTTCGTAGATAAATACATGTTACCACGATTGACTGAATCTTTTGCATAAAAACCTTATTTAACAAAGTAATAAATGAGATAATTTCAGTCATTTAATAATTCTTACCCATTTGAGAACAACCCGATGTTTCACATGAAAGACATTGTCCTTTACGAAAACTATCCTAAGAAAAACATCGTTGAAAATTAATATTTTGATAAATAATAAAATATTCTAATACAAAATCTTGGCATTGATATGCTGTGTATGGACATTGAGAACTAAAATTAAAATGATTCAATACTTCTTTTTTTAAGCACAGACAAATTTTTAATATTTACTGAATAGATTCAATAAAATATCCATGTGAACGACCTTAAGAAAGTAGATTGTTTATTTGCTAATGTTACTCTTACTTACTATGAGAACATGATGATTGTTCAAATCCACCTGAAAAAGGATTCTATTCAATAAAGTCATTAAAACATTTGAGTTTACTTTCAGATTGGCCAGGTAATAATCCACCAATAAGTCCTGCAACACTAGAAACAAAGAAAATTGTTTATAAAAACCGAATTATTCTTTTGTTGAAAAGATAAATAATATTTACGTCGATGGACAACCTGGCTGTTGCTTACCACCATTAACATAAAAATCAATGTGACCAGATGGATCTTTTGATCCCAAGCCGATACCCAATGCAATTTCTGTGTTTGTATGAATTACATCGACAAATTTGCCATCTTTTTGATCAAGACGAACAGTATTAGGTTTGCCTTCAAAAAATGGTCCAGCTGGATCGAGGCCCGTTATACGACCTATTTGATTATTTATTCCATTTGATGCATATCCACATGTATGTGCACCCAGACTATGGCCTTTGAAAGAAAAAATTAATTTTTTTCAAAACATACAAACAAAAAAGAAATGATTTTATTGAACATACCGATACAATGTACTTTATCATAGGATAACTTTTTTAATGTTTTCATTTTCTTTAAAATTAAAGATATTTGCTTTCCAACTAATCGAATATTTGCTGCAGCTTTATTATAAAACGGAAATTTTGCTCCACTACCCCAATCTACAACCAATACGGCAGATGCTTCATTCTAAATCATTTCAATCAAAGCTCTAAAATGCATAATTTAAAATAAGAACTGGTATATTACATCCTTCAATTTAAGTAATTCTTCAGTTAATCGTGGAATCCAAGGACTATGGCGATTATTTGTAAAACCATGAACAATAATTCTTAACCATTGTGAATTATTGAACTTAGAATCTATAATTGATTTATCATTTTTATCGTATTCAAGTATTTCAGGACTTGTTGCTTGAGAAGAAGTAAATAGAAGAAAATCTGTTTTAATTATCGATGGATCTTGTGGTACTTCCAAGCCAGCATTATCAAACGGAGGATCATTATCAAAACATCCAACAAGTGAATAACATACAGATGTACCCGGTTCGGGAGGACCTGTCGATGGCTCTTCCCAATTATCCCATCCATTTTTTCTTAGATTATCTTTTGAAATAATTGCAAAATCAGTATTTGTTACTGTATCAATTGTTAACATTGAATTGGAATGTGTGGATAATGGTATAATTCGACCATTGATTGTAACAATGATACAAATAAAAAGTATCATATGAATTCCTGTATGAAAAAAAGATCAAAATTTATTTCATTTAATTTAGTTCATCACTCAATGCATGTAGTTCTTTTATCAGAAGAGAATATCACTATCATTTAAAAATAAATCGAAACAAATTCTTCTAATTATTTACCTGCAGCAGAATCCATTAGAGAGAAAAACAATAGATATAAGTACAAAATTATATTTATAACTTGATTTAATCGATGTTATATAGAATATATTAGAGCATACGCTTTATTTCACATATAATTTGTCGAAGCTCCACCATTCAATGAATATTTTATCTAATCAATGTTCTCATCTATTTTAGGTCGTACTATTCATGGGAAAACATACACTATACGATATTTATATGTTATCTGTTTCACCTTTGACTATTCGAATACATATATGAATGAAGAATGTGCCCATTATTTGTACGCCTGGACTTTTAAAAGAAAAATGCTTGTAAAGCCAGTGCGGCTAGATCAATTTGGATGATTTTCTTGTTCAACAGGCTCGTCAATTTCAACTGTCATAGTTTCTAAGATACCAGAATAACAATGTCGAAATACTACCTTAAAGGTGTGTCGTGACGATGAGGAGTATATAACGTGTAGTTTTTTCCTCACCCTCAACTAGCGTTTATTATTACTGATTGGCAATATGTCGTATAATTAATGATGATCTGTATTCAGTATTACAATTTAAAGGCCTATTTGAAAAAAATTAAAATAATTTCGATCCTAAGATTATGCTAAATAACCTCGAAATATATAATTCAAATCGAAATCCACATGGCACATAAGTAGGTGGCATTTTTGAGTGCAGAGCGAAAATATCTCTACTTTTTTAATGCAGTGTTTACCTTGACAACAACTAAATTACGCCAGTTTATTTTTCTCATTCGTATTTAAGGCGTTGCAACATGAATTATTCTACTGATTGTTTTCATCAACTAAGGCAACTTTTCAAGTTCACTACTGATCGAGAAAACATTGGCAAAAATGGGAAATTGTTGTGGTGGCCTTCTTAAGGATTCAGAAAAAAGAAATTCTCATCCTCATGGTGGCCCACCTGGTCATCAACGTCGTGGAAGTAATGATAGTAATGAAAGAGGCGGTGGACGCGGACACGGACCTGGACATGGACCTGGACATAAAAAATGAAGAGATCCTGTTTCTATCATGTTTCTGAATGAACTGTTTTACTTTTTTTAATCTGGCAATTTTTTCCTCACATTATGATTCCAACTAATTTCACCCAGAATAAAAGCTTTTGAAAAAGAATTAGGATGGATGTTTTAACGAGGCTGATCTATATTGAATGCCCTTGTTAGAATGAATCTTATACAGAGTGTTAAATAACCATTATGCTCCCTTGCCGATCATAAAAGACAACAGTAACACTCCCCACCCCCACCTACAATTTTATACCAAATGTAAGCTTGTGAAAACAAGGGTGAGGGTGAAGATGATTCATATTTTCAAACTATACTGTTCTCAGCATACCTAGCTTTGAAAATTAGTACCGTTCGCGTTTCTGATGTTTTGAATATTAGACATGTTTTCTTTCGGCCTTAGTTAGGAGAATCGTTATTGACCTTCTTGATGAGTGATGTTTCTTTTATTTCTCGTTCTTTGTTGTTGTTTTCATGTGCAGCAATGGTGAGCTCTTCAAATAGGAATTTGTAACTGGTTGTTCTGTGATGATTCAACAGGTTGCTATGTGCAGAATGGTTCTTATTAATACTGCCAATATGTTGTTTCAGCCACTCTTATTCTCGTTGTCTCCTTTTTTGTTGCCACTAAAATAGTCTAGTTCTTTTTGAAAGCAATTCTCAAACTGATATTTGTTTTTCTCGGTAATTTTGCAAATTTTACTCTGGAGATGTGTGATTTATAATCCAAATAGCTTCAAACGATGTTAATCCTATTATTATCGTTATGAATGGGATGTTTATCATTGACAATTTTATTATGTGTGTGATCATTATATCTGCTTGAGTCGTGCGTTGTTTGGGTAGATGATTGTTGAGAAATTGTATAGGTGAGCACTATCTGTGAGAAATCGATCGATATAGTGGAATATTAGGAAATCGTTAAGCCCTCCAAACAAATATTGATGGATAGCAACTTGTTCAACACTACAAAGCCAACAATAATCTCTAATAGTGCTGTTGGTCATTACTTCTGTTTTGGTACATTTACCTTTCTTAGTTTATTGACCTTTGTCGTCTGGTATTAATCAAACCTTTTTTGACTTCATCGCACAGAACTAAGCCCATGATATACATTTTTTTTTCTTCTTTGCTTAATAAAACAGTTTGAAAGAAATCTCAATTTACACTCGACATTGGGTGCGGACGAGGGGTATGATTTCAACTGCCATTATTTCCACACTCATGATAATGTAAATGATGGCATTTTAGTCAAAAGGCGATAATAATATAAGAACTACAAAATAAAACTAGAAATGTGTCTAATTCGAAATAAACTCGAACGACTTTATTCTCAATTTCATTCAGACCAATGGCAATCGAATGTATCCGAATGAACTCAAAACAAAACGGAATCGTTATTATTTAGAGAAAAGTGGTTTTGCTTCATATTCAAAACATACACTTTTTTTTCGAAGAATTCGTTTTGATATTTAAATTTTCAAATGTTAATAGGTCTTGTTAAAAATGAAATTGATTCAACACGAATTTGTCTTTTGATCAATTTGAAACATTTGAATTCTTGCATTGAGTCTTTCACTAACAAAAATATTTCCTTCTTTATCTAAAGCTAAACCATGTGCTGCTCTAAATTGATTTGGTTTATTACCAGAACCATTTCCTCCGACAATGATTTGTCCAAATGTTTGATTTTGTGTCCATTTAACAATTCGTGCATTATCCGTATCGACGATATAAATATTCTTAAACTGATCGACTTTAACATCCCATGGATTATTTAATTGATTCGTATTTCTTTCCATTCCATTTCCTCCTGCAACAGTAATTCCTTCTTTGGCATCTTTTTTCCATAATTGAATTCGATGATTAAATAAATCAGCAATATAAATATTTTCACAATCATCAACAAAAATTCCTCTTGGCATTGATAACTGATTCGAATTTTTACCTCCACGATTTCCTCCAGCAACAATAATTCCTTGATTTGTTTTTGAATCCCATTTAACAACACGATCATTATAAAAATCCGAAATATATAAAGTATTGGTTTTTTCATGAACAAATAATCCTTGTGAAGCACCAATTTGATTTAATTCTATACCTTTACCATTTCCACCAGCAATTGTTATTCCTTCTTTTGCATCTTTTTTCCATAATTGAATTCGATAATTATCATTATCAACAATGTAAACATTTTCATTTTTATCAACATAAATAGCACGTGGTTCTGCTAATTGATTTGAAGCATTTCCTTTACCATTTCCTCCAGCAACCGTTATTCCTCCATTATCTAAAGATCCACGAAGGAATTTTTGAATTCGATGATTATCGACATCAGCAACATAAACATTATTTCCATGTTCAACATCAATAAATAAACCAAAAGGTGATCCAAGATGTTGAGAATCTGAACCCCATTTTGAATCTTTTCCAACAAATGCAATTCCATCCGATGACCATTGACTTGTTTCTCGACAATTTTTGATTTGACTTGAATCACAACTTGATGAAGCTAAAAAGAGAAAGAGAAAGAAGAATAAAATATAGTTGTTTTGTTTTAGAAGAATATTCTTTTACTCGTATTCGAAGTACAACTATGTTTGTCTTGATTCCAAACTAAATTTGATGAACGACATTAAAAATGCTGTTCCAAATGAACATTGATAGAAGGAAGATTGATTATCAGGATTTGCAAATAATCCATCATAAATACAGATAAATCCATTAACAATTGAATTTGAATGAAAGAAAAGATAGAAAATAATCAATAATACATTCATACTTTGTTTTTCGATTGAAATTTAATGCAAAAGAAGACATCTGTATTTATTCTCAATATAAAAATATTTTCAATCGTCATCATGAAAATATTCGTTTTTTTTGAAAAAAACAACAATATTTGTCATTAGAAAAAAGATTGTATTTCAATATTTATCTTTTTTATATATCGATTAAAAGAAAAACAATATGATGATTTGACATTTTATATGAAATCGTTTATTTAATCTTTGAATTGATTGTTTTCTAATCAAATTTTTTAAAGAAATAATTTCATTTCAAGCTTATTATATTAAGGAATGAGTTAAGCGAAATCTTTATCGTTATTGAATTGATTTTTTATTATGAAAAATAACTTTTTTTTGCAGCAATCGTTCGATGGGATTCTGACAATGATAGATCTAATTAAAATCTTTTTCTTTTAAATTTTTCATCTGTATATTCATCAAATCATAAAAATAATTCAATGAAATTCAGCATATGCACTTTTCTTTCTTTTTCAATTCTTCGAACTAGTGCGGTAGGTCTTTCATCTATTGAGAAACGATATTTTTAACAGAAAATAATGAATCTTTGCGACCTCTCTCGTAAATTTATTTATTCACACACAGAAGAAATGAACTTTTTTCGAAGTGATTGTCGAAAAAGAATATGGAAACATAAATAATTTTTCGCGAAACATTATTTTAACTCTTACTCTTTATCTGCGCGATCGATCTTTATGAGTGCAAAAGAAATACTTTTGATATTCGTACGAAAGCTAGTGAGAAGCTACAAATACTTGGTCAAGTATTCTAAACACACGTTTTTTTCCTAACATTACCATAAAAACTGATTTGGATTCCAACATTGATAAATATTTGACGATTTCCAAATAATCCTGAAGATGTCAGAGATCGAGGTGTTATGATTCTATTAGTTATTCAAATAAGTACATCTATTATCTTTCGTTTATCTGTTGTTTTTTTTATCGAGTTCATGATCAAACAACACAATATCAAATAAAAACTGAAAAATTTGTTTATTCAATGACCATATTTTCCACGCATATTTATAAATAATTTTATCATCATTAATTCTATATGAAAAATAATCTTTTAGTAATTTATCTGAATTGACAGCGAAAAAATATTTTTTATTTGATTTCTCTGATAATGCAATAAGAAACAAAAGTGTTTGCAAATTACATATGATCTTGAATATGTCTCTCGAGATGACCAAATCTATGTAACATTAGCTGATCATAAAAAGATGTGCGTCGAACTGATCGTGATGTTTCATATGTTTAAAAAGTAAAAATTCCTTGCTTTTTGTTTTTTTTCTTATTTACATAATTTTTCTAGAAAAAAAGCAAATTCTGTTCGATATATTAACACCGGTTGTTCGTCTTCATCGATGATTTATGAAGCTATTTTGAAATTAGTTGATCCTAAGAGTATTTTATCTATTCAAAGGTATCCTTTATGTATTTGAACTTCTTTGATTTTATTATCATTATCATCTTTAAGATCTTGTCTTTTCGCTGAACGAATTTTAGATAGCACAAATATATTTTATCCAACTTATATATCAACACATAAATAAAGCTTCTTTGTTTTTATTGAACTTCATCTTTTTAAATCTTCTTGTGCATAATATATTTCTTTCGAAAAAAACAAATACAATTAAATGTCCATTTGTTGGACTTTATTGATTATTGTATTTGTTGCTTGTTGCACTTTGCTGATCCATTCTTCTTTCGTCATGTTTCCAGATACAAGATTGTTTGTTAAATTTGAAATATAATACTGATGATCAGCAACAACCGAAAGTATGTTTGGAGCAGAGTTCTAAAAAGAGAAATTGTAATTGGTTAGAAAAACAAAAATTGTTGAGAGAAATTTTTTAAATAATACTTGGTAGATATCAGCTATTTCAACTGCCATGAGGTTTAGAAATCGAAAGGCTTATTGTTGTTGACAACAGACAAGCAAGAGGAGAATTATGCGAACCGTCGTGTGCAAAATGCCCGTGAATAGAAAAAAACGAAATTGAAATGTTCTCTCCTTCAACGACGAGGAAGAAGAAAAGTTCAGCCGGATAGTATGTACAATCAGTCAGAAATCAATTGTATGTTTCTTTATCTGTTTCTTGATGATCATTGGTTATTCGATATCAATGAAATAAAGACGCTTTTATTCATAAGAACAAAGAAAAAATGTTGACCATTCTCCTCAGCGAATTCATGAATTAAGAATAAAATCGTATATTACTCATATCAGACCTATTGTTGAGGGTTATATGTAATATTCGAGTCCTTTCACAGTAAGATCATACTAGTTATTTTAAATATCTTGATAACAAAAGTTCATCTTTTTTCGATATATGATTACGAAAGCATGAACTAAAACGTATACTACCCATTGAGTGTTAGCTCCTATAGTATCTAGTTAATTTTTCGCGAGCATAACAAATTCACTTAACATGTTTTGACGCTCTCCTCTTGAGATAGGATAAGTGTTAGTCTACGGTCACAACTGAAATTCCGACAATGATTGGAAACATCAATTAAAAATTTGGCGGCTCGCAACTTTCGATCATTTCAACCATGAAAAAACGGTTAGAAGTGAGAATATCAATGTTAGTAAATGTCTGACACCAATACAAAATCAACTTACAGATTGAAATCGATCATTTTGAAGACCTTGTTGACCATAATTCTCATGTGTAGCCGACATTGTAGTCAGACGACTGTCATTTTGACCGGGTGTAGGACAAAAGGTATTGCTATATGCAGCCGATACTGTGGTATAATCATTTCGATTTTGAACCACATCAGATGCAACAAAACCATAATGTGCCGCCTTTTGACAGGCAATCCTGAATAAAAATGATGTCACAGGTTGAACAAGTTCAAAAAATATAAAATTAAGGCTTACACTTGCTGTTGAAAGTCGTATACTTGACCACAAGTACATTGATGCATTTCTCTTCAAGTGACGGAATCGAATAATTCAGAAATCTATATATAAAAAATAAAACGACAAATGATAAACCAAAGATGAAATAAATCAAAAGATGGATGACATGGTTAAAATCAGTTCCACGAAGATAAAGGAGAGACCGAGAGAAACAACAGGGGAAATATCTAGTAGAAAGAAAGAAAGAAAGAAAGAGATAGCGAAGTGAACAGTACACGTGCGTAAGAATAGAAAAAGAACGAACATTTAAGGATAATTTTTATCCACTTTAATTTAACTACATTGGAAAGAGAAAATAGAACATGTTTATATAACTAAAGTAAGATAGACTATGCCGTACACAGAGAGACAAAATAAAACAAGCAAGTAAACTAAATAAAAAGAAACACAGCACACATGCATGTAGAGAAAAGAAGGGGAAAACTATTCTCGAATGAAATGAAATTTGATTCACTGAGACAGGCAATAAACAAATCGAGAGGGACTTAAATATTGTTCAGAATTTCAACAACGAACGAATCGATTCTTTTTCAAGTATCAGCTCTTCTGTTTAATGAACTCTAATTATTGAAATAGAAATTATTTGAGGTCAATTAGATTCTATAATTCATATCATATTGATATAAATTGCAGCTTATTGCTTATTGAAGCAAAAACTTTTTTGTCAACAATTGATCTACATCTAAAATATCTTCGTATAATAAGTTGAACTTTCGTTCTATAAGAATTGATGAAATATGATCGTTAAAACGCCTGTTCGATCAAAAAGAGAAATAAAATACAATATCTTGGTGTACTAGGTTTTTTTCTTACAACGTTAGAATTAATAAAATCATCTTTTGACACAATATCAAACTGAATTCAATTCTTACAAAGTATTTAAGCTTTTCTAAAAGTTTTAAAGCAATATACTAAGTTTTTTTTGCTAAAGTAACTCATAGATTAACTGCTGCAACAGACATTTTCATGTTATTTTCTATTTAGAATAATTTATCGAATTAGTTTCTAGTAAGGATCATTTCATTCAGATTTTTATTTTCTTTTAGAAGATTCTGTTTAAAATACATTCATTCTTTATTTGTGATTTCCATATCATCGATCATTGGCTACACAACAATCTTTGTCGATCCATCTGATGAGCTTGATCTATATGAATGAGAAGTTCTCGCGCGGCTGTATATACGTAACAGTTCATTTCTTCGTGATCTTGAAATATCTAAAAGAGTGGCGCAACCAATCGAACTCGTTGTGCAAATACTATTGTAATTATCCACAATTGTATGATCCAATTAGAGTGTGGTAGAATTCGACATTCTAAATATAACATCATGTACTTCTGATAATGCCAATTCTGCAAGATATAGTAAAAAATCTTATCCATTATGCATTTTTCGAAGTATATTCTATGCGGCTAATATACAATGTGAACTAACGATAATATTTATCATCACTTTAATAACTAACTCAAAACATTTCAAAACGTTTTTACGTGAACAGAGTTGACACGATTGCAGAGAATAAGTCCGAGGAGATGCACTGATATACGGATCTATATGAATGTGTTCTGGTAAACTAGCATACATACCTTGAAAAAGAAGTAATTGATCACGTTCACCATATATTAACGATCCATCTCATCCAAAATAAGTTGTAAAAAGAGTCCAGAATGCTTTTGCTAGACTGCATTCATCATCTACACACACGTACTTTTGAATAGAGATAAGACTTCAACTTTTCTTTAAAGTTAAAGTGCTACCATTATTGGTGTTCTCTTTTCATATATCATTGTTAATATAACAGCAATCATTATTTGCTTTTCGACAATATTTATATTTGAGTCATATATTTGCAACTGTTCCACACTATTATCTTTCAATGGTATCAATGGATCGAATGTTTATTTCTTCATCTGATGTTCGAATTCCTCAACGTCAGCGAAGTACAAAATATTTTGCTTTATTAATGAGTATTGGAATCTTTCTTTTCTTCTGAATGATTTTTCATAATCAAGCATCTATTTCCAGTGATATTATAGTTTATTCCCATGGTAGTCTTTTATGTCGTCCTCGACCAAGTTTTCCTGTATCATTTTAATTGTTCCAATAACATTACTTTCTTTATTTGGAATTGAAACATTGATAAATACTTGACAATTTCGAAATAATCCTGAACGTGTCAAGGATCGACGTATTATGATTTTATTAGTTATTCATATAAGTAAGGTGCCGGCAACACGAATTTCGAGTGAAATTTTCTTTTTCTCTTTTTTTCCACATCATCTAATAGAGTTATAGACGCTGATCACGAATATCCCCTTTTTAGCCTTACCAAAAACTTCCTTCCGATCGTAAAATCTGAAATACCTAGTGGGAATCGTTTTTTGAGAAAAGCTCATTTTTTCAATAAATTTGACAAATTTTCCACTTTCTCCAATGTTTTTAAGTTTCAAACTAATTTATTCTGACTGGGCGTCATCCGCTGAGTCTAAAAACGTTCTCGAAGAGACTATGAACTGAAAACTCAGCTACTAAGAGCACTCTAAATCTTATGGATTTCAATATGCGGAGCACAGTTTTGTAAATCTATCTAGTTTCTCTACATAAGAGATATAGACCAATACTCTACATCAATCGGCTCGTCATACCAGTGGTCTAGAAGTGACGTATCGTTTTTTCTTAATTCCCATCCTATATCATGAAAACCCAGGTTTTCTGAAACCAACATGATTTTGGACAGAAATTAGTCCATTTCATACTCAAAACAGGTTTTGACCTGCAAACTAATTACAGATTCGGAATCAGCATAAGAAACTGCGTCGAATAATCTATATTTTAGTTGAATCTGACCATTTTCATTTTTTGACCTTTTTTAAAAAATTTGAAATTTTTAAGTATACCGTAGAAAATCTGAAAAAATGAAAGTGGTCAAATTCAATCGAAATATAGGCTATTCGACGCAGTTCCTTGTGCTGATTCCGAATTTGTAATTAGTTTGTAGGCCAAAATCTGTTTTGAGTATAAAATGGACTAATTCCTGTCCAAAATCATGTTGGTTTCAGAAAAACCGGGTTTTCGTGAGATAGGAAGGGAATTAAAAAAAAACGATACGTCACTTCTAGACCACTGGTATGACGAGCCGATTGATATATAGTATTAGTCTATATCTCTTATGTGGAAAAACTAGATAGATTTTCAAATTTGATCTCTACTCGGTCAAGTCGATGGGATTCGAAGTCCCCGTGACAATGCCATGTTAGCTCTAGAACTCATTTGAACACGCTTTTAGACACAACCGATGATGTCCAATTAGAGTAAATTAGTTTGAAACTTAAAAACATTGGAGAAAGTGGAAAATTTGTCAAATTTATTGAAAAAATGAGCTTTTCTCAAAAAACGATTCCCACTAGGTATTTCGAGTTTTACGACCAGAAGGAAGTTTTTGATAAGGCTAAAAAGGGGATATTCGTGATCAGCGTCTATAACTCTATCAGATGATGTGGAAAAAAAAGAGAAAAAAAATATTTCACTCGACGTTTGCGTTGCCTGCACCTTACATGTATTATCTTTCGTCTACCTGTTGCTTTTTATCGAATTTATGGCCAAGCAATATAATACCAAATTAAAATTGAAAATTTATTTATTCAATGACAATATTTTCCATATATATTCAAATAACTTTATCATCATTATTGAATTTTTTAGCAAAAACATCTCGAAATGAACTGAAGAAAAGTTTGAAGAAATTCTTTTACTTAAATAGAAATGTCATTTTACCTTCTTAATAAATTCGAATTGTTAAAAGAACTTGAATCAAAAAGAATATCTTCTTCTTTTTCTCATTTTCTTTTTTAAAATTTAGAATTAAATATCAAATAGATAATTTAAATTCAAATTCTTAACGATTTTCATAAGAATTCTTTATTCAATATTTTCCATAGATATTTCTTGACAATACGAATGAACGTTTTTTCTCACGGTGTTCAATTGTTCTTCATCGAACATTTTCATATTACAATTTCTAAAAAAGAATCAAATTCATAACGCAGTGATTCAATCTATAAAAATATTCTAGAGACAATTTGGTTAATTTCAATAGACTTTTCCCTTGATCAAATATATTTACCTTTATATTATAAAGTTCTTAGGTTTTTAGTGAATATACAGAGACTTTTTCAGATCAGTAAAATTCTTTTCACTTGATTATTGTTACATTGCTTCTACCAGAATGTTTCAATTTTCGTAAAATAACTAGTAGTGTTTTTGATACATTTTATCATTTTTATAAAATATTTTCTCTATCTGTATGTTATGGTAATCTTGTTTTTTCAATTAATTAATTATTCGACGAATTGTCCAGTCACCAGAGGATGCAAAAGTCAGGGAAAGTGAGCTATACAGCAGCAAAGATAATAAAAATCTTATGTTCTGACTGCGTGATAGGTTTTTTTCGTTTTAAATATTTTAATAAAAAGTATCCTACTATAGAATAAACGACTCAAAAAATTTTTGAAGTAGATCGGATGATATATTTTGTTAAATCTCCTGCATAAGAAAAAAATAAAAGAAGATGTTTTTCTATATAACTTCGTCTTGAGATATAGCGTGACTCAATGGTAATCACTAATAGCGGCGCCTAGGATGGACTGAGTTCAATCAGATTTTTAAAAAATAGAGCAGGAAACTAATTTTTGCATTACAAAAAAAAATACAAGATTTCTATCGTTGTGTTCATTTAGGGTGAGAAAGCTGACACCACGACGATGAATCACATCTTAATACATATGTTTATCACACAAGGAATTCGAAACCAAGACTACATTATTTATTGACAAGCGAGCTGTTTTGATATCCTAGTATACAGTACTTCAAATGGCGCAGATATGAATAACTATGTGCACAATAATTACTCATACTTGCTTTATTTGAAATACTGTATGCTAGAATATCAAAACAGATCTTTTATAAGTAAATAATGCGATCTTGGTTTTGAATGTATCGTGTGTTTATGACGTGTGAAGTTGAAATATGAGATGTTGATTCCGAGAGAATCTGTGTGATTGAGATAAATGAGGGTTATCAATAAATATTCTCTCTCTTCCTAAGAAATATTATAAATACATATGCATGAAAATATCTCTCTTTCATCATTTTTATCTCTCATTTTAAATAATGTTCTGTCAAATTTTGATATTTTTCTTATTAACTGTTCTATACACCACTTCGATAGTATCTGCTGTTCAATGTCATAATTCTGACTGCTTTATCAATTTAAATCGTACTATCGATATTATTAATACAACACACTGTACGTACAGTGCAGCAGATGTTTGTACCACTTCATTAGAGATCGAACTGTTACCAAGTGAAGGTAAATTTTCCACTTTTCCGTTCAATGCTGACGCATATCCGATGTTTCTTCTCAACGGCCGACCGCAGGAATCCTAACAACAACGGTCTGGTTTCGAAAGAAATCCATAACACAAAAATTCATTTACTTATGTACAACTGACGCCTTCTGTGGCAAAGATCGTGCTCAAGAACTTTTTCATCAAGCTAAAGCATTGAATGGTGATTCAATATTGAACAATCTAACAGAATCTCTGCATCAGACTTCAGCAAATAACAATCCAAAGTGTAAGAATGAACAAAATGAGGAGGTAACTTGCAATAGCGGTATCTGTCAAGCGATAATTTATAGTGGAAACGATGTTGTAACCCGAGCATGCGTTTCACCACGCGAAACACATAGATGTCATAATACCATTACACCGGGTATCCAAGCCTAGCCGTCCGAATACCCAACCGAACAATCAGCTAAAGCAGAATTTTTCACACAATACCGTAAAGGGTAACGATCTCGTTACAGCAAGCCAAATGCATATCCTATATGTTGAGGGATTTGAGTGGATTTGGTGTATCCACTTCGATACCCTGTCATAACATTGAACTATCTGTTTGAGCCTGAGGGATTTGAGTGGATTTGGTGTATCCACTTCGATACCCTGCCATAACATTGAACTATGTGTTTGAGCTTGAGGGATTTGAGTGGATTTGGTGTATCCTATCTTGAGGGTGAGGGTGTATGAGGGTTTATCTCAGTGAGGGTGCCTCGAAGGGTGTATGAGGGTTTATCTCAGTGAGGGTGCCTCGAAGGGTGTATGAGGGTTTATCTCAGTGAGGGTGCCTCGAAGGGTGTATGAGGGTTTATCTCAGTAAGGGTGCATCGAGGAGTGATGCACAGTTTATCTGGTTGACGGTGTATCGAAGGGTCATCCACGGTTCTTATCGCTGAGGGCGCGCTCAAGGTTGTGTGAGGATGGCTGCGACGGCGATTTATAATATGTATGCGGGTACGGTTTGATGTATAGAATGAAGGATATTTCCCGTACAAAATATCACTTATGATCGAGTTACTATAAACCGAAGATCCGTCGAACAGGTGGAGAGTGAATTAGGTCTCCAGGCTTTTAACAGACACTACGCACTATATGGACTATACGAAGGATATAAAAATACCGTATAGAATATAATGTCTATTTTACGTAGGATACCTTAGATTAGGATTCGAGTATTTTCCACAAGGATTCGCCTATAGCCGGGACCAAGCGGGACCAAGCGAGACCAAGATAGATCTCGACGAGCTCTATCCAATGGCCATCTTNCACCAAATCCACTCAAATTCCTCAAGATCAAACGTATAGTTCAGTTTTTTGGCAGGGTATCGAAGTGGATACACCAAATCCACTCAAATTCCTCATTTTCTCACATGTAGCCTGATATTCGAGTATCGAGATGGATACACCAAATCCACTCAAATTCCTCAAGATCAAACGTATAGTTCAGTTTTTTGGCAGGGTATCGAAGTGGATACACCAAATCCACTCAAATTCCTCATTTTCTTACATGTAGTCTGATATTCGGGTATCGAGATGGATACACCAAATCCACTCAAATTCCTCAAGATCAAACGTATAGTTCAGTTTTTTGGCAGGGTATCGAAGTGGATACACCAAATCCACTCAAATTCCTCATTTTCTCACATGTAGCCTGATATTCGAGTATCGAGATGGATACACCAAATCCACTCAAATTCCTCAAGATCAAACGTATAGTTCAGTTTTTTGGCAGGGTATCGAAGTGGATACACCAAATCCACTGAAATTCCTCAAGATCAAACACATAGTTCAGTTTTTTGGCAGGGTATCGAGATGGATACACCAAATCCACTCAAATTCCTCAGTTTCTCACATATAGTCAGATATGCGGGTATTGAGATGGATACATCACATGGACTATCACTGAGGAAAATGATAGCAAGCTCTTGTTGATTACCCGTAGAAAAATGATGTCTTAAAATAAGGGCAGCCGCATTTTGACATTTGTGGATATCGGAAGGCGAAGATGGATACCGGGTGTATTGGGATTATGACACCACTCGCGAAACAACTGATCCGACTGGTCTTATAATATCAACAATCAATTCTGCTAGTCTTGAACCACAAAGTTCAATACTTTATTCATGTAACAAAGATCGATGCAATGATGATGCAACAGTCAATCGTGTCAAACAAATACTGATAGATAATAAATTGTTTAATACTACTAAGGTAACACCATTTCCTGGTGGTGGTGCTGACCATCTCTATTGTTTTGGTCCACATACATTTATTAGCTTATTGGTGTTAATTGCTTGGTATTGATGAAGTCTTTTTCATTTAATCAGATGGAACTAAACCTGAAACACACACTGTATTTTCTTCTTTGATTAATAAAATAATTTGAAAAAATCTCGAGTTCCGTCTTACATTGAAGAGAATGTTGGTGCTTATACACAGAAGAAGTAATATACATATATATATATATATATATATATATATATACATCTGGTCTTTCACACTCACCCTTGTTTAGCATCAACGGATCCATCGTTTGAAACAATATCTCACGAAGTGTTTAAGTTTTTGTAAAAGTTTTAAAGTAATATGCTAAGTTTTTTTTCTAGAAATCTTTCATAAACTATAATCGCTGCAATAAGTATTGTTATGTTATATTCTGTTTAGAATAATTTATCGAATTAGTTTTCAGTAAGAATTATTTCATTCAGATTTTTATTTTTTTTAAAAAGATTCTTTTGGAAATACATTCATTCTTTATTGATGACTTCCATCCTATTGACCATTGGCTGCACAACAATCTTTGTCACACAATCGATACCATGAACCTTGATCCATCTGATGAGCTTGATTCGTACGAATGAGAAGTTCTTGCTCGACTGTATATATGTAGCAATTGATTTCTTCATGATCTTGAAATACCCAAAAGAGTGGTGCTACAAATCGCAACCGTTGTGCGAGAATATTCCAATCATTCGCAGCTGTATGATCTAATTGGACCGTTGTAGAATTTAACATTTTCGACATAGCATCATGTGCTTCTGGTAATGTCAGTTCTGAAAGATATGGTGAAAAATCTGATCCATTATGCGTCTTTGAAGGTATATTCTGTTCGGCTAGTATACGATGTGATCCAACAATAACATGTACCATAAGTTTAGTAACAATACTATTAACTACAACAGGACATTCAGAAACGTTCTTACTTGGCCAAAATCGACACCATTCTAGCGTATAACCAGGAAGAGATGCATTGATATATGGATCTACGTGAGTCTGTTCTGCTAAGCCAGCATAGATACTTTGAACAAGAATTAATTGATCGCGTTCAGTAAATGTTAATGATCCATCTCTTCCAAAATGAGCTTTAAAAAGTGCCCAAATTGCTTTTGCTAAAGTGCATTCACCATCTGTACACACGTACTTTTGAATAAATTCTACTAAAAGTGCATCATCAGGTTTTGTTGTATATGAACAGAATTCCATTCCATAACGCGAATAGGAAGTAGCAATATCACTAAAAATCACCCTATTTCCTTCACCAAGTGCAAATGCTGCATGTTGAAGAATTTCTTTGAACAGTAATTCAACCAATTTAAACGGAATTCTATCAAGAATATTTTGCATCCGTTGTGGTAAATTACGAATGACATATGTCCATAATTCTGGTATTGACTGTTGACGAATACTAAATCCAACAACATGTGATGACCAAGATGCTAATGATACCCATGTACCAACTGCGGGAAGACCAGGTGTACTATCAGGAGCAGTTCGAAGTAATTTTTGAAAAGAATGACTAATATCTTGATACCAAAGATTAATTGCCCAATTACGTACAATAATATCAGTCATATTCAAAATTTCTACTTGTCTATCATATAAACGTCGAAAACATTCACAAGATTCTAAAGGAATGCCTGGACAAGCAGTAATTCGATCATCCGTAAAACAAATCTTTACTATCAATGTAATAAGAATACACGAGTTAACCAGTAAATTCATTTTATTTATTTTTTTTTTCAAATGAAGATCGAAAAATAAAAGATATGCTATTTTTATCATTTGTTTTAAGAAACAAAGGCACATGACAACAGATGGTGATTCTCAGACGTCTCGTTTTAATAAAAAAAAAGAGATCGGCTGATGATACTGTAAGTTTGAAAAATTTTATTTTGGATGTACTCGTGACGATCGCATTTGCGCAATTTCAGTACGTTGTGATAATTTATTGACTAATTGATTTGTATCGTCTGGAGTGATTTTTTCATCTGTTGCAGTTAGTGTTTTTGGTTTAGGTGAAATGATATAGAGAAGAATTCCGAAAACTCCTAAAGCAATACCAAGAGAAAGAACAGCAAAAGATATTGGAGCAAACGACCATTTAAAAACTGGTAAAAGAATAATTGTAATTAAACACGATAGAATTATTAAAGAACATAAAACAAGATTTTTAATTGTTTTTCCTAAATAAATAATAATTGCTAAAATTGTTGTAAATAATCCAATAAGACCAGTACAAACACCTAATTGATCTAAGACACTTTTTGTTGATTGAAAACGAATAATCCATCCATAACACCAGCCAATTACATCTTGTGAATTACTTAAAAATTGAGTTTTATTGTTTGGAAAACAATGAAAACTGACACTTTGATTAATTGGGGAAGATAAACTTGTCGTATCATTAAATATAAAACAATCCATTTCGAATTCAGGACAATCTCCATCAGGAACGACTCTCGCGTTACTCAAAATACAACCTTGAAAAAGTAATATGGCTGTTATTGAAAGTGTCATTGCTCCAAGAAGACAAAAGAGAAAAGCAATCCATCTATTACGTGTACATTTGCAATCACTACATCCAAGTGGTTCTTCAGCATTTTTAGTTCTTACACCTTTCTCTAACTCTGGTGGATCAACACCAATAATTCTTTGATTAACAAATCCTTGACCTTCATTTGAAGTATAAAATATACCAAATACAAGACCCAGAATAATCAAAATAAGTCCAATTGAAATACCAATGTTACATTCAATGTAATCTGAATGTGTCCATTCCATTCCGATGAATTTTTGTAAATCTTTGTATTGATTTGAAAATAAAATGAATACAGCCGTTCTGCATTTCTATTCATTTTATACTTTTTGTTGAAAAATTTTCATGAATCTCATTCGAATGTACATAATCAACTTCTCTTCATGGGAAAAAACTCAATCGAATTCACAATTTTTACTCATTTTGATCATGTTTGTTTGTTTTTCCTTGTAAAATCTTACCCATTGAGAGAATTTCATCTGATTTTCTTTTGTATTTCGATGAGGGTGATGGTGGAATAACTGACTTTACATTGTAATTCAGAAGTCTCATACATGTAAAAGTCGAAGAGACTATTCGAGTATTAAACTTTCAGTTCGAGTTTTCAACTATTCAACTTCTAAAATTTAGAATTCGGAGCTTCGAGTTTTAAACTTTCAACTAATTGGCTATTAAATATCCACTAATTAAACGATATTTATTAGATTACTAACTGATTATCAATTATTAACCAACTGATTACGACGGTGCGTGTGGGTGTGGGTGTTGGGTAGCAGTGTAAAACTCGAAGCTTCGAGTTCTGGATTTATAAGTTTTAGAAGTCGATGGAAGTTTTAATACTCGAATCGAGTTAACGATTTCTACACTACTCTGGGTAGCAGTGTAAAACTCGAAGCTTCGAGTTCTAGATTTATAAGTTTTAGAATTCGATGGAAGTTTTAATACTCGAATCGAGTTAACGATTTCTACACTACTCAGAACAACCCAACGATGTTATTGAGACTCAAATTTATTTTTGTAAAATCATGAATAAAAATCAATAAGTAATCTCGAATAAAAAAGTGTTTTAGTTCGTATCATAGATCAATGAAGCGTGATATTGATTTGATCAAGTGTTTCTTGATCAACACCTAATGATTTGAGATATTCGAGAAAAGAAGCAAACTGATCTGTTAAAAATTTCCAGTTAATACCAAAGAAATCGCAGAAAGAATTCCATATCTGTTTGAAGAGATGCATTGTCGGTTCAATTGGACGTGGAACTTCTAACATATTTCTAGCAATAGATTCCCATAAACATCGTCGAGTTTCATTTCGTAATGGTTCAACAATCTGAGCAAATCGACCACCTTCTTGAGCAGTACCACATACAACATCAGAAAAACCATAAAGTTCTAATGCAATTTTGTTTTCTTCGTTATTTATCCATGTGTTCATTGGTTCATCTGCTTCACAATGACTTAAAAAAAGAATTGCAGGTGTTTGACCATTTAATAGAGTTTGACAAAAGAGCATATGATTTTTTTCAAATGATTCAGTTATTCGACCTTTTGGCATAACAAAGATAATGCAGCTAAATCCTCGTTTATTGCCTTTGATGAACTTGATTAACATTTTCATTGCATCCTTCGGTCTGACAGTGCCTTTAGAACCTTCATTTAAACCAACTGTATCAATTAATTCGAACAATTCTCCATTATAATCACATTGATGAGTTTCAAATTTAAATGTACATCCATTGGCACCATCACAAACTTTTGCTACTTTTTTTCCAGCTAAAAGATTAACCAAACTACTTTTACCGGCACCAGTTTGTCCAATGACGAGAATACGATTAACACTGCCTTTTCGTTCAATTTGTTTCAGAACCATATCCATATTGTTACGATTTTCCAAATATGCACGTAATATGTTCATTGCCGATGTTTCGGATTCCATATCAAGTTCTTTGGCAATAGATCGCAGAAATTGTGTAGTGAGAGTATCAAGTACAACAGAAGCGACTCCGGCCATTATTGAGTTCAATAGTCACTGCTAATTGTATTTTATAAAGATATTAATCATATATAATACTTATCTTACCTTATACACTGGTAGTTGATCACAAAAGTAAGTCAGCAAAACAATACGCATCATTCTCTTATATATGTGGTCGAGACACGTACGTCATTACACAATCTTTAAAAAATAGTGATGTGATTGGCTCCATCGAATCAATATTTTCTTTGTTATTTAAAACCTTAGAATTTCCAACTTACCCAGGAATTTTCCACAAGCGTCGACACGTATTTGTTACTTATTTGAAAAAACCGACTCGACGACTAAAGAACACATCGAATAAAATTATCTTAAGACTGAATGAGGATGTGAATTTTATCAAAATAGATTCAAGGTGCCATACGACATGTTTCGACCCTTTACAGGTTCACTCAGATCAAACTTATGTCGTTGTCAAATAGTTTGTTTGACTTTTTTTTTATGGAGAGAAATTTAAACTAAATGATCAAATAAAATGAATAAAAGATGAAAAACAATCTCTCGATGCATTGATACAGAAAATATGAGTCATCTACGAAAATACCATCGGGAGGAATCATAAGTCATATGTTTTATTATTTGTATAAATACAGACTGATTAAAAGAACAATATCAGCCAATGAATTCTTAAGAAATCAGACAATCAATCATTCTTCAAATCATTTCAATATATGTTTTGGACATTCACAATTGGATGTTTGTTTTGAAACAACAAGTTACTTATTCGAAGCTCTGAAACATTTTAAACAAGTATATGAAATTATGGAAGAGAATGACGTTAAGTCTCATTCTTTGCTGCGAACAATTCTCTTTCACATCACGTATATTTACCTTGAACATCGAAATTTTGGTGCAAGACTGATCACATTCCATAAATGATAACTTCTCGAAAAATCTTCTTCTGTAGTATCTGATGTGTATCTTGGAAATATTCAATACGTTCCTCCATGTATTGTACGACATTATGAATGAAAAGATTCAGAATATAAAGCAGAGAATGAATGTGAAAGTGATGAACGGTTAACAAATATTTTTCCTCTAAAGCGAACAACATTCCAATACAATATTTTATTATCAACTGCATGGTTTTAAATATTTGGGGAAAATATAGACGACCTACAAAGGCAAGACTGATCAAAATTCTCAGATCTATTAGATTGAATTATACATTATACAAACAAGTTTCTGATGCTTCACCACATTTTAAAAAAATGTTTAGTTCTACAACTGAATTCCTTTTGTATTGATCCTCTTGAAATAGTTTCTACATATGAGTTAATGATTCTCTTATGTAATGAAAAGAAAGATTATATTGATGAACTTGTTAATATGCAACATGCTTTGGATATTTATCTGACATAGATCTTAAAATTGCTTTCATTTACTCTTTCATGGAAACTACTCAAACCAATTGGAGTCAATATAAAAATGCTTTGTCAACCTTGAAAAACTCTTTAACTATTTATCTCATTCAATCAGAGCCAAATTGTACAGAAATCGTTGAAACATATAAATTAATGACATTTGTGTTACAATTAGATCACAAAGATATTTAGAGATTCCAATTCAATCGCTTAATTCAAATGATTTAGATCTCGTCAAAACGTATGTATCTGTTGGTGACGCACAAATCAATCAAAATAACTTTTCTGATTCCTTAACTGTGTTAATTGTTACTAATTTTGTTTGGTTTTGAATTATCGTTTTTTGATTAATTTATTCAAAAGAATAATATTTGTTAAAGACGACTTGTTCGAAAGATTCATATCGACTCATTTGATAATTCTGTTCTTCCTCGAAAATTCTTTTGTCGATAGAGTACCATTATGATACGTAACATGATCATTTTTATCAATATGAGTAACAGTACAACAAAGTCGTTCTTTGCATCGTCAATACTTGACATGTATATTACTTTCATTCAAAGTGTACAAACAACCATCACATATTAATAGTCCTTTTTCTTTGGATCTTAATATGGAAAACTTCACACGATTAATTTACATATTCAGTAAATGATTAGTGAATTATAATATAATACTAAATACAAACAGAAAAGTATGAATGACAAATATAGACGTAGATGATCATTGTTCTTATCTTGAATATTCTATTCATTTTATCAAACTCAGAAAAATAACTCGACAAAAATGAACATCGCTATGATGATGATGATAACAACATGATATTATATATCACTTTCATTCGAAATTTGTTTGAGGAAAAATTCAATAAATTTAAACGAAATTCTGTCGAGAATAATTTGCATCCATTGTGATAAATTACGAATAACATATGTCAGTTAATTTGGAATCTCTCTTATTATCTATTCGCCTATGTTTATTCATTAAATTCAAAAATGAATCAATAAAAGGACATTTTATACATTTCTTCTTGTTTTCTCTATAACTTCATACATTGCATAACTCATAAATAAACAAAATCTTTTTCGATGATTATGAAAAAAATGCCAAAAAAAAATCTTTTTTTTTTCTGTTAATTTATATGTAGAAAGAACAAAATATTTCTTCTTCCTTCCCAAAAGATAAACAGAAGAATTATATTTNAAAGTGCACGAAATGCTTTTGCTAAACTACATTCACCATCTTCACACACATACTTTTGAATAAACTCGATTAATCGTGTATCATCGGGTTTTGTTTTGTCTGAACAGAATTCAATTCCGTAACGTGAATAAAGCGCAGCAATATCATTGAAAATCACTCGATTTCCCTCCCCAAGTGCAACAGCTGTATGTTCAAGAATTTGTTGAAATAACAATTCAACTAATTTAAATGGGATTCTATCAAGAACAGTTTGCATCCACTGTGGTAAATTACGAATAACATAGATCCATAATTCTGAAATTGATTATTGACGAAGACTAAATCCAACAGCATGTGATGACTAAGACGCAATTGATGTCCATATACCAATGGCAGCTAAATCTGGTTCACTATCTAGAGCTGTTTGAAGAAATTTTTGAAAAGAATGACTAACATTTTGATACCAAAGATTAATTGCCCAATTACGGGCAACTATATCAGTCATGTTTAAAATGTCGATTTGTCTCTCATATAATCGTTGAAAACATTTACATGATTCTAACGGAATTTCTGGATAAGCACTTATTCGATTATCCCCAAAAATGACCGTTTATTAACAGTATGACTATAAGAAACGAGTCAATCAGTAAATTCATTTTATCTTGTATCAATTGGAGGAACGTGTATTCAGAGAAATAATACACATGGATTTTAAATACATATTCCATATGATTTTTACCATTTGACTCATGATAAGCCTATACAAAAATAACAGATGGGAGTTCGGGATGGATAAATGCAAATCCAATCACAACGATCCGATCAGTCAAGAATTACCTAAAGTGCGTTATAATACTATAAAAAGTCTTTCCCGATTGGCAACCAAAACCGTCGTATATGAGTTTGCCGATCTAATCAATAAAATCAAAGTTCGTTTTATTCACTTATCTACTCGATTATCTTCAGAACACGAGTCAAATCAATTGAATATAAAATAAAAGAGAAAAATATCTCCTGTTAGAAAACAAATTTCATGAGTTGATTCTTTTCAAAATAAAATTTAACTGTTCTCTTTTAAAATCTTGGAATTTGTCCAATAATTTACATAGAGTTGAATTAGATGTGAATCGATTTGTGGACAATTTTTTAAAGTTTGTGAATGTTCAACAGTTTTTTCTGTTTGAAATGTTGTTGATGGTTTTGAATTATCTTTCTTTCGATAGATTTGTTCTAAAAACGATGATAATTTAATTAATGGATTAGTTTGATCCGTTGTAGTTAAAATTGCATCAAGAAATTCATCTTTAGAAACAATATCAAATCGAAGTCCACTTTCACGAAGTAAATCTAAATAATTTTGATATTCAATACAATTTGGATTCATAAGATGATAAACATGTTGATCTTCCGATGATTTCAATGCTAATTCAACTAATGTTTGACTACAAATATCTACAGGTATCCAATTAATATCATTTCCAATATTTGGCATTTTATGTAATTGTCCTGCACCTGCATAAATCATCATTGCAGCCGTTTCTGTTGAATTCCATATTCCATTCAGTGTATCTCCACTAATTTGACCAACACGATAAATCTTTATTTGAATATTTGAAATTTGTTTCGCTTTCCAACATAAATGTTCACTAATGAATTTACTTTGTCCATAACCTTGTGGTAATGCAATTTGTATTTGTTCAGGCAATGGTTTCTCTTTAATAATTTGTAAAAGACCTGATGAAGCTGATGAAATACTTGAAATGAAATGAAATTGACATTGATTGAATGAAGATAATTTTAAAAGATGATAAACACCAAGAATTGAATCAAATTCAAAATCTTTCACTGTTTGATTGAAATTCATTTTCCATGCAGAATGAATTATATCAGTTAATTCGTCTTTTAACTCTTCATAAATTTCATTTGATAGTCCAAGATATTCTTCGGACAAATTCATTGATGAAGATAAAATAACTAAACGTTGATCGTTTAAAAGGGATAAATCCAATTTTCTTTGTTGAAATGAGATAAATANCCTTTATGAGTTACAGGTAAACTTTGATCATTCGAAAGAATATGAATAAGTTGTTTGATAAGACGTGAATGTGATGGAGCATCTTTATTTGCTTGTTCAACATATTTCCAAATTTCATCCAGAATTTTCTTTTCATTCAAATCTTTTGTTTTATCTTTATCTAATTCGATCAAAGCTGCTGTGCAGAATTGATTATGACCAACAAGAACAACTTGTTTAACAAGAGGACAACTTTGAATTGAATGTTCAATTGGAATTGGATTTGTTTTTTCACCGGTGATATGAACTAACGTATCATCTTGTCGTCCTAATATTCGATAAAAACCAGAATTTGGTGGATCTTCTAAAAGAATATCACCAACAATATATGAACCATCGGGTTGATTTGAAATATTTTGAGCTAAGAAAGGATCTGTTGGAAGATGAATAATGATTTTTTCATTGGGATCCTGTGAACCAGCAGGTGTTTCAATACGAACATAAGGTTTTCGACTCAATGGTAATTGCATAAATTTCCATCGTTTATCATACGGATGAAAATTATTCACAAGAACAAGACCAGTTTCTACAAAAAATACGAAATCAATTGGCATTGTTATAATCATTTCAAAGACAATTACCTGTTGAACCATAAACACTTAATAGAACAACATTATTCTCGACTAACGTTTTACATAAATGATCGGGACAACCAGCTCCACCATACATAACAAATTTGAGTTTTTGTAAAGGTTTCAATCCGATATGTTGATTCTTTTCCGAGAGTAATTCACGAATTAATTGTTCAAGTAAACTTGGTACAGTGACAAGTACCGTTATACCATTTTGAGATTGAATATTATTTACTAATTCATCGGGTTTTAGAGGAAATGTTGCACATAATGGTAATGCATAAGTACAACCGGCTAGAATTGCACGAATAGTTCCATTAAATGCCAATAAATGAAATCTATGGAAAGAGAATGAAGAATTTGTTTGAAGAAGAACAAAACAAGAGACTTACAAAGCACCCCAAGTTAAAGCAACATCATCTTCTTTCCAAAAATCTTTGTTAAGTGATTGATAAGATGAATAGGAGACTAGAAAATATCGATTTGATAGATAAATTGGTCTCGGATGAGATGTACTTCCAGAACTAAAATAAAGAAAAGATCAATTTATTGTTATTTGATGAAAAATGATTGACCTATGAAGAATAACAACGATTCTACTTAATTCTTCATTACTTTTAACGATCTTTGATGAAAATGATGATTGAATATCTTTATTTTTCAGTAAATTTTCCACAAGAAATTCATTTTGATCTAAAAGAATGATTTTCATTGATTGAAGTTGTTGATTATTTTCTTGAATTATTTTTATCATTGGTAAATAAAGTGTAGTTGTTAACAAAAGATATGTTTTTGTTTCTTTCAATAAATATTCAATCGCTGCTGATGAATTTCTTGAAGATAAAGGAAACATAATTACATGAGGAAGTTTTAATAATGCATATTGACTTAATAAATATTCTAATCCACCAATTGATAACAAAGCACAAGTGATCGACTCATTTAAAGAAGTTTTTGGTAAATATTCAGAAATCTTTTCAGCTAAATGATTTGTTAAATTGTTAAATTGTTTATATGTTAATGAAGCATATTCAGTTGAATTTTTAGTTGAATCAGGATAAAGAATTGCTTGATTTGTTGGTTTTACTTGAGATTGATATTCAAGTGCACCAATTATTGACGAAAATGGAAGATTTTCCAAAAAATCCATTTGTTAAAAACAATGAAAGAAATATTTGATATTATCTTGTCTCTTTATATCTTTCTTTTCTTATCTTTTCATCTCATATCGTTTTCATATTTTGAAGAAGAGAAGAGAGAAAAACAAACGTTCGAACAATTCGTTTACAAAAACGATTATCATTGACCTATGAAAATTCTTTGATTTAAAAGAAGATAAAATCTTGAGAAAAAACAAATTTTCCAAATGTAAATTGTGAAATTATTTTGATTTTGATGAATAAATATATGAAAATATCTTAATCAATCAACACAAAAACAAATTCTTTTTCTTTTTTTTTTTGTCTTCTAGTGACATCCTTTCTTTCTCTTTCAAAAGTTTTACATGGAAAATCGAATGAAATAAAATGACCTATTTATATTTTAGAAAAGATAAAAAAAATTCTGATAAGAAAATCTTATTTAAAAAGAAGATGAAATTTTCGTTTTTCTTCAATTGAAAAAAAAACATGAAGAATCAAAAAGGATTTTTAATTCATTGTTGTCTTTTCTTGTTTATAATTATCAATTCAAGTAAATCAACACCATTAGATGATTATGTTCATGCAGAAGATCCTCATTTTGGTTGGACTCTACTTCAAACTTACGAAGAAATTGATTATAAATTATATATTCTCAATTTTACTTCTCAAAAATGGCTCGATGGTTAAAAATTTCAATATTTTTTTAAACACACAAATATTTTCTTGATTATTTTTTCTTTAAAGAAACATATTCATCTCGATCAATTTGGTGGCATTATTTATGTATAACTGTAGCAAAAAAAAATTAACTCGANTTTTGAATTTCTTTTTCAATTAGAATTTACATCATATGTATCGAGTTAGTTAAAAAAAGAACTTTTTTCAATGAATTTAGAATAATTTTATATTTTAGTCATTAGTTGGTTGGACATTTGCATTTCAAGATTATTATAAATTAAATATAACTCAATATGTTGATAATGATAATATGACAAAATTATCAGCAATTATTGATCCATTAAGTAAGAAAATTTAATAAAAAACAAAAGATTTGAAGTAAAATATTCTTTTCAAAGATTATATTGATCGATTCTCTAAAACAAAAATTTTACAAATTCAAGCAACTGGTGATGAATTCTTTCTACTTGATAATGAAGTAAAATAATTTGAAATTTTCATTCCATTTAAATGATTTCTATGATTAAGGCGGTTTTTTGGAATGATCTTCAAATAGCCACAGGTGGATCATTTCTTCGGTAAAAAGATTCGAATTTTCATTTGATAAAAAGAAAATTTTTCTTTTTTTGTTGATAAAAGACGAATGCCAAATGCAGATCATGTTTGTGTTGGTCATATCATAAGTTTATTTTTTACAATGCGAAGTTTTTATATGAGTGTTTATGATGAAAAACCATTACCTAAACTTCAATGGATTAAATCAACAAATAATACTCATGGTTATATTCGTGCAACTGTAGATATTAATTCTGGACCAAAACCAATTGGTGCACTTGGTTATCGTGCTCAAACTCTCGATGATAAACGACGAGATTTTCGTCTACTTGTTGGAAATCCAAATGATCCAACAAAAGCAATGGCAAATCCTGTTTTTTGGTTTACAACAGATCTCGTTATTGAAGTAAATATTCAATTGATTAGATTTTATATATTTATTTTTAAATGAATATTTTAAGGAACAAACGAGTACAACAATTGTTTATTCTTTAACAATTGAAAATCCAATGAATGGTTGGGAAGGTTTTCTTATTCAAGTGAATTTTCCTGGTCCTGATGGAACTGTTTTAGAATTAACAACAGAAACATTAATTATTCCCGATACTTATCCAACTGATGATTGTCATGGTGAACAATGTTTAGGTTCACTTGTTTAGCTTTTATTCAATTTCTTTCTACAATAAATGAAATTATAAGAAAACAATATTACTTGATTTTTCTCTGATCAAAAAAGTGTTCACTAGACAAAGAAAAAATGAACTTCTCTTCGTTGTGTAACATTGTACCATTGTATTTAAATAGACCCAAATTTAGATAAAAAACTACTATTGAGGAAATTCTTTAAAATTTTATGATCTTATGTGTAAGTTATTATATCACAAAATTCCATCAACTTTGTTGTTTTGATCATTTTCATATTGTTCAAACATTCAAAAAGAAATTTCACATAAATACTAAATATTTGATGATCACCTCTTTTTCCTGCTGTTCGTTACAGTATAATAATTCTTCGATGTTCTTCATTGAAAGACAAATTCAAGGAGCAAATCTGTATTTTATTATGTGAATTGATAAAAAAAAATATCACTCAGAAAGTTTGAAAAAATCCTCACTAATATTAATGTACAATATAGAAGAGAAATAAGGTTAACTCTTGAATAAAGTACATTAGAAAGTCTGAAACATATTCTCGGGAAAAAAATGGATTGAATTCTTTTGTACTTAATCTTATCTAAGGAGATTTGAATTAGGAAAAAAGAAAGTTCATCTCGTTAGAATGATGAATAAAGTTATTGATGATGTTGAATGAAATTACAGAAGAGTTGATTTATGAATTGAATGTGAACCAGATGAACATTGACTTGCTTTTACTTGTGAACTTCTTTCAGCTCTTTTAACTTGACTTGATTTGACTTTAATTGCACCAAAACATGTTGGAATTTGATAAGATAATTTGTTTTCAAGACATTTCGAATCAGCTGAATTCACTTGATATTTTGATCCATTTGCATGATGTGAATGAGATTTAAGTAATTTTTGAATTGGATATGTTTCAATTGCATCAACACAGACAATTGGGTTAGTTGTACCTGTAATAATTGCAGCTGTTGCACCTGAGATGGCTGTTGCTGCTGAAGATCCAGTGACTGTTGATGAACTCATTTTGTTTGAAATATTTGATATATAAAATAGAAGATTTGTTTGATTGATTGATGAAAGTGCAAAGAATATTGTCTGGTATTTATATGGAGAACAGAAAAGGGAAAAAAACAAAACCTTAGTGGTAAAAGTATGACATTATCTAATATTCTGATATCAGATGAGAAAAATACATCACGTATTGCCCCTTTACTATGTTTGATTTCACGGAGTAAATTATATTCTGTTAGACTCTTCAACCATGAAATTAAACGTACAAAAACGAAACGCTTATTAGAATATGTTTTCTCTCTCATTTTTCAATTCATTTCAAAAACATATTCGATATTTGTGAACTTTGTTATGTTAAAAATAATGCGTCATTTTCACAGAAATTAATTGAAAAGAGAATAACATGAATTGATATAATCATAAACCACATGATGCAATATCAGAAAACAAACTATTTGTTTTTTTATGCCAAATATTCCTTTTTACCCTCAAGTGCAATAAATGACTAATATTACCCATATTTGTACAACGACATAACATCAAAATAATTATGAAATGAAAACATATCAAAATCGTTATTTTGAAAACATCAATAATATTACCAATGTATTAATATGTTCAAATTCAATTTTTCGACAAAGATTTTAAATTTGGAATTTCAATCTGGTTTCTCACTTCACTTCTTTTTGTAGGTAAACAAGTAGTTTTGAAGAAAATATAAAGAGATTTTTAGTAAAAAAAAAGTTCGATGAAAAGATTAAAAATTTGTTATAAAGAAGACAAATTCTAATCAGAAAGAGAAAGATTATGATTTCTTTAAAGAATTTTGCATATTTTAATAGATTCTTCAACGGCGTTTGGGACAGTTTTTAAACTCCGACTGAGTAAAAACAACTTTTAATGAAATATGGTTATTCAATGTTTTGACAAAAACACATGGAGATAGAAATAGAAATTTTCAGCACGATTTTAAAAATATCCTCTGTGAATAAACGGAAATATACAAGAGTTCGATTGCTCTTTTGAATTCCGGGGAAGATTTCGTCTATCGTATCTTCGAGACATCATAATCTATTCAATTTAAACGTGTTTCATCGATCATGATAAAAACTTGGCTTCATGTACTTAATTAGAAATTGATGATATGTTGTTTTACATGATTTAACCATAGTTGTGCTGTCTAATGTCAAGTGAACTTCAAGTTATTCTCAATCCTTAAAACAGATTATAAATACATTGTTGAGTGTAAAAACTACTTTGCTGACACATGTTCTAAACGTTTTTCACAAATACTTCTGAGAACAGTTTTTGAAGTTTCTAATTAATCGTATTTCTCTATGATATTCTGCAATATAAATACAATACATAGTCTTTTTGTGCTTTTCTATTGCGTTAATTACGTGACTTGTACATTGAAAATAAAAAAGATTTTATAGAAAACTATTTTGGAAAGAAGTCGAAACCCTTTTGAAGATTTCATCTCTTTTTTCTATGAAACCCTTAAAAGATTTCGAATTACTTATAAACTGCGAAATTCTTCAAAAAATCCTTTTTTATTTTTAGTGTAGAATTACTTTACTAGTGAAACATTTGTTCTTTTTTTCTGTGTCATTTCTTTCTAATAATGCTCTGTCTTTTGAATATTAAATACATTCTCTTTCTATTGATGTATTGAATTAAGGACATACTATTCTATGAAAGACAACTTTTATGGTACACAAAACTGACTTTAGAATATATTTTCTATTCAAGTTCAAAGATTCAGACAGATTTTATATTGTGATTTACAATATTCACACATATTATATTATTTCATTAAAACTTTGAATTCATTATTAAACTAGTAATAAAATATCGAGAATAATAAGAACATTTACTCGCAAATGAAAAAAATATAGGTTGAATTTTATTTTCCATATCAAAGATTTTGGTTCAAAAACAGAGTTCTTTAAAATAAAATAAAATGAATCGGAATTATGTTTCAGTGAAAGAAACTATTCGGGTGAACAGTCTGTCACTAAATCAATTGATTGAGAGACAGAAAATTCATCATAAGATTATTTGAATTAAAATTGAACAAATTTTAATATGTAAAATTTACGAGTTTGTTCTTAGTGTATAGAACAAAAGTTCCTGAAATTAGTTATTTTAATTCTGAAAAGAATATTCAAATCTGCCGTAAGTAATCTATAAGAAGAAATTCGAAGAGCTATTTAAACGAATTCTCAGAAAGAATATCATTTTTAGACAATGTCGAGCGACTTAGTATATGCAGGTCAACAATTAACAATTTATTTCGGCTTATTTCTTATTATAATGGGTGTAATTGGAAATGGAATTAATATTTTGATTTTTTCAACTGTTCGTAATTATCGTCAAACACCTTGTACATTTTATTTTCTTATCGGATCAATATTCAATTCGATATTTATCTTAGTAAATCTCACAACACGTGTTGCTGCTGGAGGTTTTGGTATTGATTTAACACGTACATCACTTATCTGGTGTAAAATTCGATCATTCAGTTTAATGACTGTGGGTTTAATTACTTTTACTTGTTCTTGTCTTGCGACAATTGATCAATTTTTTATTACATCAAAACATGCTTCTCTTCGTCGTTTAAGTAATATTAAATTTACACATCGAATTGTAATGATTATGATTTTATTTTGGTGTATTCATGGAATTCCAGCATTACTATTTAACAATATATCATCAATAACTAATTCATGTGTGGTCACCAATACTTCCTTTGCAGTCTACTTTGCCATATATCAAATAGGTCTTAATTGTATCATTCCTATATCAGTTATGTCCATTTTTGGTTATCTTGCATATCATAATATTCATACGACAATAGCTCTTGCTGAACAACAAGCAGATCGTCAATTATTAAAAATGGTTTTACTTCAATCAATACTAATTAGTCCTTTTTTTCTATATGGAATTAATTATACTTACAGTTTGATGACATCTGGAATAAAGAAAGATGCAGATCGATTATATCAAGAAGGTTTTGTTGTCACTATTTTCAATTTGACAAATTATCTTTTCTTTACTGTACGTTCATTTAAGATTCAAAAGGTTAGATTTATTATATTCTTTTTCTCTCATTTAGGGAAGTTGTTACATATTTTTGATTTCTTCAAGTCGATTCCGACGAGCTGCCAAAAATCGATTATTCTCCTGGCAAAATAAAAATCAAATAATGCCATTAACGCGTAATATACTTACACAACTGAGACAGTAAACAAGACTATGATTTTCGGTTAATACTTTGTCGGTCTCCTTCATACATCAAAATGAAGTCTAGATGTTGTCAACTTGTGCTGGAAAGAAGAAGAATTGAATGACATTTCGAGAAAAGTATCAATATTGAATTTGAAAACTAAACATGAAAAACACCTAACAGTCAACCAGTATGGCGAAAACGGGAGTGGTGATCAAAACAAATTCAACTTCATCAATTTGTAGAGCATACTTTATTCTAGCAGAAACTGATTTACATTTTATCTTTTGATTATGATTTCTTGTCGTGTATACATACACTGTAGCACAATAGGATTTAATAATCGACTTTACATGTTTATTAATGATACACAAAACGAAATGGTGTAGTAAGAAGAAAACATTGAGATGATCACTTATTCTATACCGTTTTGAAGTACTGAGTTTATAAGATTTCATTTTGTTAATTTTTAAATTTCTTCACATCATTGTCGAAACGTTACCAAAAATCGCATATAGTTTAGTTATCGACCAAACTACATCTGATAGTTTCGAGACTTTCATTTATCTTAGATATACTTTTTAAGTAAGTTATTCTATTATTTTAGTATAGTTACAAATGATTGGTTATCGTTGCTACTATATTTATGAGTATTGAAGTTTACATTAACTGAAAACAAGTTTTTATTTGACAATATTCTTTTCTACTATACTACCGTAAGTTTTCTCATATCCAAGAACTTTTTTACTTCAAAGAAAAACTGTACTTTAATGGCATGATTATATTTCAGTCCCTTATTGTTTATGCAGTAGTAAAAAGAAGTGCAATTTTTCTGTTCATTTATGCCAATATATTAATATTTACTATTTAAAATTAAAAAAATCATATGGAAGTATTTTTCATACGTAAACCTTATTCTCTGAAACCTTAGTTTCCTTCATTTTGACTTGTACAGTCATTGAGTTCGATGCGATGTAAATTTTTGAACTTTTTCGTTCAAATTATTCAGTTCTTTAATTAATTCTTCGATCTAATATGAAACAATATATAACTGAAACTTGTCTACCAAGCAAAACTAAACTAAAATAATATGTAGATATAACTTATAAGATGAGTAAAAAATATCGATGGAAACATTCCTAGTATTCATAACAATAATCGTCAATTCATATACAAGATAATTTCAAAAATGTTCTCCTTTCTAACTTATACTGGATCGATTGCCATTAATCATAGAGATTATAAACAAGTTCATTAACTCAAAACTTAGACAATGTAAAATGAAGATGGAAGAAATATAATGCATCATGTGGACAAGAATTATTGATGAAGTGTCTGAAAACGTGGTTCTTTCCGGTGGTAAATTTTACTGTTTGATTTTTAAAAAGTAGAGGTTTATTCGTTTAGGTACTACATTAGTGGATGGCTTCCGTGAACGATTTCAACGAGAATTATCACTTCAAAAGATCAAAGCTACTGTTTTCTGCCCAAATAACAGGAACAATTTCCCAGGTCGGTCATTCCGGCGACTGGATCCGTTGAAATCTGAGTCGTTTCCGACTCGAAGTTTGCAGGAAACGGTTAGAAAATTACTGGAACCTACGTTTGAACTTCCGGCTGGAATCCGGCGGCAAGGAAATCGTCGGAAAACAAAGTTAACCGGCCGGAACCGACCAAGTCATAATAACCTGGGCTGTCGCCCATTGGTGCCAACAAATTGTTGGCATCAATGAATGACCTGTGGATCAATCGAAAAGAATATGAAGAATCAGGAACTTCTATTTTATTTCGTAAATGTTTTTAAACATCTTTTTTAGTTTTAATAAAAATATTAAAAAATCTTCTCTAATACTTCTCTTACAATTAATATAAATTTGAACGAAAGAGAGAAATAGAAACTAGAAAATGCTTTTTATTGAGGAATTTTTGCTCTTTTGTCGATCATCATCAACTAATGAATGAAGTATTGCTAATTACTCCTTGTCAAATAATAGTAAACATGGAAGGAATGAATTTAAATCTACGCTCAATAAAGAAACATAATATTCAGAAGTTCCTTGCGGACAAGCAAACAAGACAAGGCATTGATCAAGGTAAATTGGTACAATTTCCTTGATTGTCACGAATCAAAACCAAAAGAAAATTTTAATTTGTCAACATATTTAGGCATTCGCGACTACGTAAACATTTCAATTCCTTGGCTTTAGTAAATCTTAACTGAATCTAAAAAATACATGAAAATCAATAAAGAATCTCTTTAAGCCTTTTATTTCACGTACCTGATTACCTACTTCAGCACACATATACGATAGAAGTTTTCTAGTTTTGTTGCTCGGATTGTCGACTTCTTGCGTCAATAGTTTAATCTAGACCTTTTGTCGACGGAATCCAACACAAATAAAATAACATCATTTTACAATTAGAAAGATTATAACGTGAAAGAAAGAGTTTTTTTCGATAAGATGTAAGAGAAACTAATTTTCAGTAAATAAATAAGAAATTATTTAAGGAGTCTCTACTAAATATATTGTTTAATAATCTATTATATTATTGGAGTGGCAGTTATTTCAAAATAGATGTCGCTTTATTTTTAATCTCGATCAGATAAAATTTAATAACTAAATAAATGAGAATAAAGAATATAATATATATGAAAAATTTTCAAATTTTCTTCTTATAAATTAGAAAAGCCTTATAGAGGTTTGATCAGTACAATGTTATGTGATAAGAATCGATATATGGCAACATCGTAGACAAGAAGATGATGACTTGAAAAGAAATCAATAGAGGTTTGAAAAAGGAAGAGAATTGATGGCCACAGTAATTGAAAAGACTCGCAATTCTGATGAAAAAATACCACGTTCATCAAGTGTTGATTCAGCTATAGATGATGGAGAAGATTCACCAGATGAAATATTTGAATGTGATGAAGAAAGTTTAGATGAACTTCATGAGGATAATCAAACAAGTGGATCATGTAAAGCACTTATTCCACGTTTAATTCGTTATGGATCAAAACGTATACCAATTATTCAATTTTCCCCCAAAGTTGTGTATGGTCGATGTCCAGAAGCACGAAAAATTGGAGAAAAACATGCATTAACATTTAAATTTCTTAAAAATGATACAAAATTAATTCGAAATATTCTTGAAGGACATGGATTTCGTGAAGTTCNGATGTTGTTCGTTGTTCAAAAAAACTTGAAAAAAACTCATAAGTATCACTTGTAGGAAATATTCGAACAAAACCACCACGTTGACGAGATTCTTCTTTTACTGTTCGTAAAATTCGAATTTCTTCTTGAGATAAACCAAAATATTCATTTCGAACATTTTCAGTTCCATTAGCATTTCCTGGTCGACCTGGACGTGCAACAACTGCGAATCGTCCAAGTCGATCAGGAAATGCTAATGGAACTGAAAATGTTCGAAATGAATATTTTGGTTTATCTCAAGAAGAAATTCGAATTTTACGAACAGTAAAAGAAGAATCTCGTCAACGTGGTGGTTTTGTTCGAATATTTCCTACAAGTGATACTTATGAGTTTTTTTCAAGTTTTTTTTGAACAACGAACAACATCATTTAATCAAATGATTCATCAACGTCTTTATCCATCACGATGGTCATCAATCGCATTGAATTCTCAGTCAAATAATGGATCAATTCGTCGTACAACAGCTCCACGTTGTAAACTTCTCTCATCAGCATTCAATTATGGACATTCATCAGAAAAAGATTTAACACCGAAAACATCTGGTTGTGATCTTGATGAAGCTTTAGAAAGATATCGAATCTATGAAAGAAGATTAATTGATATAGCTCCTCCATCATATCCTCATTCATCAGCATCAACAATCACAACAACGAATGTTTCGGAGACAAGTAAAACAAATGATAATCTATCAAAATCTCAAACTCTGCCTGATAATTTTGATCAAAATCCATCTCGATTAACAAATCTTCATCGAACCACATCTGTTCCTCCTTCACTTCCTAAATCCAATCAAAAAACTGATTCTTCACCAAAACGTTTAACAACAGTTGGACAATTGGTTAAATCGACAACAACTTCTGCTCCAGGTGAAAGTCGTCATTCAATTTATGCGAAAAACGATATTCTTCAAATGCTCAATCAAGGTTTAACACTCAGGTAGAAATTTGCTTTTTCGAAAAAACTTTATTTTTTCTTTTTATATTATAAAGTCCCCTTCAAGCTCGTACAGCATTTGGAACATATCTCCAACGAATACAATTTCGTTTAATGCTTGATTCAGAATTTAAAGAAGAAGTAACTTCAAGTCAACATATGGATTTAGTTATTCGATTTTTAAGACGTGCTGGACAAAATTTAACACCACCATTTCGTGTAGAAATTCCTTCACGTCGTTTATCACAATCTGATCAAAAACGAATTTTAGCCAAAGAATTATGTGATTTTCTTCATTTATATAACAAAGAAACAGTTTCATTAAATCCAACTTCACTTTGTTCAACAGTACAAATTGATCATCATCTTTTTGAAAATTTTCTTCGTTCAGCATCTGAAGCTGATTTAGAACAAATGATGACTGCATATATGAAAACAAATAAAGAATCGGCTATTCATTTAGGTGTAAATCCTAAAGTGACAAAATCAAATTCTGATATTGTCGGAGCTGATCAACAAGCACAAACAATTTCAACAAAACCGACTTCTTACGAAGAGAAAACAATAACAATTATTCAAACAATGTCACCGAATGAACAACAAACATGGGCGACAACAACACAAAATCAATTAAATAAACGTTTATTAAGAGCATCAAGTGCGTCGAAACCAAAAACAAATCAGAAAAAAGAAGAACAGATTTATAAACTGTACGGTGTGACACGACCTGTTTCAGCACTCATTTCTCAAAAGAGACGTACGTTTTAAACACTCTTTTTTCTTCAAAAANGTATGGAAAAACATGAAACGGAATTAATACCATTAACATAAGGATCAGCATGTTCGAGAAATAAAGCATTTTATTATTATTATGGAGATCTCGCTGCACGTCTTCAATTAGCTGTCAATGTTTGCGAACAAGAATCAGCTTTATCATTGAAAAAATAATATCAATATCGACAAAACTTATTGAAATTTGAAAAAAATAATGAAAAGTTTTTCTTTAATTCATTAAGAAATCATCATTCACAATTCCTAAATGTATTTAACAAGACTATTTACATCAATAAATGATATTATAAAACAGTTTCAATATTAAATTCATTGAAATATGTAAAGAGAAGATAAAGGATTTTGGAAAATTTCGAAAAACGAAAATATTCTTTGAGATGAATGTGCCATTTCTATTTGAACTCAAAAAAAAAATGAAGATCTCATTGAAATTATATATAAAATTAATAAACAGCCATGAAATGTATTCGAAAAATAAAATACTCATCTCTTTTGAACATTTCAACATCAGATTTTCGTACATATTTATCTTTATTTATGTACCTTTGTTAAATAGTAAATGATATGTCTACTGGAAATACGATGTTCTTTCATTCTTTAAAAAATTCTCAAATAGTTCATCTGGTTTTTCTCCCATAAAGTATTTTGGTTTATTCCGATGGAGATGTTCTATAAATGTGCACCAATCTCTTCCCCAATGTCGGTTTTACACTTCAACTAAATCTATACACATCAGTGTGCACAGATAGAAAATCGTCACATAAATCCACCAATATTACACTACTTCATTGCAATTCTAACAGTGAGTTAATATGTCTTCTCGAATATCAATCTGGTTTTTTTTTAGAGTTATTGAGATACTGATTTTTTACCACGAATGGGTGCTGTTCTTGATGTTTTCGAGTGTGAGGATGTTCGCCATAGAAGAATGAACGATATTGAAATCGAAAAACAGAAAGAACTTGATCAACTAGAAGAATAAAAACGATTAGCAACAAGTGATGAAGAACGTCGAAAATTAGAGTATAAACAGATTAAAGCCGAAGCTGAATTTCAGTTAGAAAAAGCCAAATTAATACTTTCATTTCAAACAGAAATCCTTTGAACAAGAATTGCAGCTCAATCATCCTTATACGAAAAGTTTATTCAATTTATGGAGAAAACATTGGCAACAAATACAGTTTTGCTTGAACAAAATTTCTTGAACTCTCTCTCAATAGAGAAGATCCAAAGGCAGATGCACTTTTTGAAATAGCACAGAAAATCGACGTTTTGAATGTTGAACAGTTAATCAATCTTAGCTTCGAAAAAGTCCGAGAATTGAATTTACAGAACTCTGATGAAGTCAAGGTTTTATCATCGAGATTGGAACACACTTTCACAATCATTCGTTATTCGAACAATGATGTTGCTGTGATTACTCATCCTGAAAATGATTAACTATTTCACTGTTTTCTTCTTAATTATTAAATTTTTAAAAAATTAAGAAAGAATTTATAACTATCTTTTACTTTCGAAACGCACTATTTTCACGTACTTATTCTCAACGTTCGCGTAAAGAAGAATCTAAAAGATGATGTCATCTATTTGTTAGCTTTATATTTGAACATAATTCACTAATGACGAAAGAATCGAGTGAATATCAAGATGAATGTGTTCTTTGATTTCATCATCGATAGAAATCTACAAATTCATTCCATAGAAAGTAAACCGACAGATCGATTCATTGACTTTCCTATTTTTAATTTGAGAATGTTTCACGAATGAATAATTTATTCACAAGTACGAAACATTGAATGGAAAATCAATCAAGCGTGCAATCGTTGTCAGGTTTTTTTTCTTTTCTATTTGTAATATCGAAGTAGAGACGAAATTATTTGAAGAAATATTCTCCAATGCTTTGGGAAAAATTCAATTTTAATGCTAAACCTTGTTTCATTATTATCGATAAGAATTTGTTAGAAAAATCATCGAATTTGGTTTATTCTCTTTCCGATAAA